AGTCCGGCCTTTCCTGCAGGAATGATGATCTCTTGCATGGAGCCAGACTGACCGTTACTTGAATCGTGACCTCTGGACACAATGTCCTCTAGAAAAGCCTTGGCCCTCCTGGGAGAAAATGTAAATTTTGGAAAAACACATTTTTTCGGGGGTTGCAAAAGCCCGAGCAATAAAATCTTAAAGTCAAATTTGGTCCTATGGTCGTATTTTTGCATTTCGTATTTTTGATTTAGACATTGCTCAGCTGACTTCAGAGGTCACACAGCATCATGCTGTTCATCAGAAGTTGATGAGCTGCAACACATAGGTCACCGACTATAATTTTCCAAAAACGTTGCATGTATTTAGGATCTCATTCATTTACCGGTGAGTGTAAATGAACACTCCTGAAATATAAATCTAGTGTTTACATCCGTCGCCTCCATGATTGTTAATGGCTTACACTGTGAACAGACTTACTCACAAGTAATTTGAATTGCATTTTTTATTTACCTGAAATACCGCAATTTGTGAAATTGTGTTTTTTCGACATGAGCAGAATATCGACAATAGCTTTGCATGCATTCCTAAAGGAAATGAAGCTTGTCATCAAAGCTGTCAGAAAGTGAACACATTTCTAATGGTAACAGGAAGGCTATTTTGTAATGGGTTTACCAACCCTAAAATGAATAAGTTTAATTTTTTTTAAAAAAGCTAACTGAATTCTTTAAAAAATATAAAAATAAAACAAACAAACAAAAAAAAAAAACAACAAAAAAAAACCCAGTTTCTAGACTTACTGTACTGCCTCTGGTGATCCAGTCAGGGAAATGCTTCTTTCTGGAAGCCCGACGCTGTCTGTAAATAAACGAGACAAAATGCTTGTTACATTTAAAGCAAATCATACAACAGTTTTGCAAAATAAGGAGATTCACGCAACTCACCATGCGCAATCTGAACCTTGCAGCCAGAGTCGTGCTGTATTTTATTGATCTGTTCCCCTCCCCGTCCAATGACTGGCGGGAACAAAAGAAAAAAAAAAAAAAACGTTTTGAATTTAATTTGAACAACGTGAAGCTCTTTTCCGCATTGTTCAAGTGAAATATTTGGGTTTGTACTCACTGAGGCCAACCATACTGTCAGGCACCTTGTACTCTTCTGTAATAGTGGAGGACCTGACACTGGAGATACAGGAGAGGGAAACGATCAGTTTAACACAACCACTGAGGCTGAAAGCATTCATGTAAAAAAACAAAAAACAAATGCAGAGTAAAAACCCACCTTTGTTGGGACAGAGCAGCTAACTGAGCTCCAATAGCTGTGAGGGAGGGAAACATGGAGAACGCAATTAATTGGAGAATAAGTAAAGCAAAAGCTTTTCAGAAATCCACAGAGTTGAACATACACATTGCTGAATCTCTTTCACTCTGTGATGCTAACTTCTTAGCATCTGGCTCATCTGAAAGAAAACAAATGAAAATAAATAAACAGCTGGGCATTCCTACTAAGCGAATGTAGGAATTCTTAAAAAAAAAACAATTAGATTTATTTGATTTTGATTTCCCACCTCCTTCTTCAAGGGATCGTTTCTGTGCAGAGAACGGATAACTTTCAGCTCCTCCGTTGTTTGTCACTTGGGGCGCTGCCTCTCCACCGATTTTGGCTGCGATCTGGAGAGCAGAGGGTGAAGAAAAGGACAAACTGATTACTAAGTGAGAAAGACCAGTTAATATTTAGGACTGGTAGTGGGTCAGTTACTGGTACCAGCACTAGTCTCAAAATCAGTCACATTTTCCATCATCCTAAACCTCCCGCTTGAAGTATTTTCACCGAAATGCCAGAGATGAGTTTTCTGCGGCTCTATAAGGAGTAGGGCTGAAAAAGGATTTATCAATTATTGAAATAACCTTCAACTAATTTAGTAATCAATTAATTAACTGGAGAATTCAGACTCAAAATGCCTTTTACTGAAAAAAAATGCATGTGTTCAGAACAGTAACAGTCAAAATTGTACAAGAAATAAATACATTTTGTACTTCAGATAAAAACATAAATGTTTGCAGATATGGTTTAGTCAAGTCCTGTGCAGTTTCATCTTCACCTGGTTCACATTTCCTAAAGGAATGCTATGGTGTTGCATTTTAGGCAAAAAAATGTTTTTCTTAATTTAAAAAGGAATTGAATTAATTGCACCTTATAATATATTTTTCATATTGCATAAAGCTGCTTAAATTGTTGAATGAAAAATTTGGATAATGTGCCAATTTCTTAATCCGAATGGTTGGCAGAATAGTCTACCGAATAACTGATTGCTAAAAGAGTCATTGGTTGCAGCCCTGATAGAGAGGAGATTTAATCCTCTCACAAATGCTGCTGAGCACAGCCACTCAGCTGGCTGAAAAGTCTTCAGCTGCCGCCATCATGTTTTTGGTCATTCCGTTTCTGTTCCAAGCACAGTTTTTACAACTAAGGTCCTGTTTAGTTTTAACCAAATCGTAATTTCTAAAAGGTTCCATGAAACTTTCGCGGTAGAAAGTCCAGTTCTCACTGGACTCATTCTGTTTAGCAAACCGACTTCTCAGCAGGGTTGAAGCACGCAGAACACAAACGGCATGTAAAAAAAGATAACAGCTGCAGCTCACTTAATATTTTTTTGTTTCTTTGCAGCCTCCATCTCTCTGCGTTTGAGAGAAAATTATTTGCATGTTGCAGTCTTCAATATTAATTTTATTAAACTGCTTGTTTTGTTTAAAGACCCGGTCCGACCAAAAGTAGACGAAATTTTCAGAAGCCACGGCAACATGCCTCTGTTTGATCGTCAAAGAACATACAAAGAAGCACCACATTGAATAAATCATCAGAAACACAAAACTAAAGTTGTACATCGTCAGCACAGTAGTGTGTGAAATATTCATATTTCATTTGAGCCGTTTCTTGGTATTGGTGCCGAGCGTCAAATTCTAAAACATGTTTAGAAATTTTGTAAGTGTCCTCTGACTGAAACCTCAAACTACTGCTTTCACTAAAGGGAGAAGACGAACAAATACAAGAAAAAAAATCTAACTAATTAGATTCCTTACCCCCAGATTCACTGCCACTGATTACGTATGCAACATAGATTTATTTCTTGAGAAAGTTATTGTTTTCGTCTCTTCAGTAATGTACTAAATAACAGAGATTCAGGAGTATTGGTTGACGTGACTTCACTAATAAATTGACCAAGTCTACTAAGCTTTTCACTAAGATCTGAAACAAAAACAACGGGTGCAGATTTTATAATAACAATTTTATAAAACTGTATTTTATAAAATGCTTCCAAAAATTAAAAAAGTGCACATTTTATTAATAGTTTTATAAATGTTAAAACAGGTCAATCATTTCGCTTGATGTTTATCTGCCTTCCTGTTGGTCACCTACATGAAGCAGTGATTCAGTTTTACATAAAGTAAATTAAACATTGCTGGGATTTCTGCTCATTTATTACAGCCTGAACCTCAGGTGTGAAAAACGTGGGACTTCACCATTTTTGAGCCACACGCTTCTTTTGTTTGTTCAAAAAAATTGTCATGTTTGTAAAATATGTAAAAAAAATATAATTTTATATATATATATATATAGGGCCTATATATATATAAAATACACTGCAGATGTCCAACAACGTCTTTAAAGTATAAATACACAATAAATGAAAGATCGTATGCATTATATTTGTTTTCTAACCCCAGTTAAATACCTTGGGTTAGATGGGCGCTCAGTTGTAATAATTAACAGACAAATCAACTGTGAAATAACGTCCTCCGAGTCTGTTTCAGGTCCTCAGACACGTTTTCGGCATGCGTCCTCTCATCGACTGACAAATAAAACGTAAACAAGACGTTTTCGGTCATTCCTAAATGATCTGTAGCAAAACAGCGAGACAGAGCTTAAATATAGCAGCAGATGGTTGAGTAACATTTTAGATTAGGTTTCATGCGGGATGCTAACAGACCTCTACGACAAGCTTAAACATTAACTAGGTAACCGGGCTAACTTAGCTTGTTTTTACTTAAATTCATTCATAAAAACATACCAAAATCGTCCTATGTGTAAATTAAAGGCTTACATTTTCATTCTACGGTCTATGTTTTTCTTAAAACGACGACTCGAACAGAGTTAAAGACAGAAAACCAATGAATGGCAGCGAGACGCTAACGTCGGCTATGCTAGCAGCTAGCTAGCTTCCCCCGTTCCAGACCGACCTGTCTGGCTCGCTGAACGGCGTCTGCAAAGGCGTCTTTCTTCACCCCAGCGCCAACACCGTTAGAGGAGACTCCGCCGTAATCCGACATGCTGCCCTAAAGGAGCAAACGGCTGCAGAACAGGCGAGGCTTTGTCCCGGGTCGAAGCTGCTGGGGAGCGGGAAGGTTACCAGGAGCGGACTCGGGGGGCAGGAACGCGAGCCGCGCAGCACGCCCGGCAGAAACTTCTCAAGATTACCAATCACAGTGCTTCCTGCTGCACAGGGTTTTCTTCCGAAGTCTTTTAACCGGTTTACCAATTCAGCTACAGCTATCGCCACCTTCTGGCAGGACAATTAACCCTCGTTAGGCGTTAATTACGGCGTGGCATCCTCTCTGGGAACGAAGCCCTGTCCGCGCAGACCTTCATCGTGACCCACCGGGTCGGTCTTTTCTGTTCTGCTGCGTCTCCCTCAGACGGAACAGAAACGGGAAAATGTTGCCTGATTCTATGAACCATCTGCCACATCCTACATGCAGATGGTAGAGTCAGCATCGAGCATGAATCCGTCCTTACTTGTATCGAGGTTTCAGACCTGGACGTCCAAAGACGCATAAAGATAGCTACAAAGTTCGGTCTTCTATCACCTGGAGAACCTTTGTAGGATTGAAGATCTGGAGAAACTCATCCATCCATCCATTTATCTTTGGTGGTGGCATCTATTACGGAAACACTGCCATTACAACATATGGGATGTTTCATTTGCCTTCAAAGTACTTAACAAATCAACTGAATGTAACATGTTAATATTTAATGTCTCTTTATTAAACAAATATAAATAACCCAGATTTCCACACACAATAATACAAAAGACCTGTAGAGGAACAGATCCAATGTCAATTCTGTCTTTTTATTCAGTTGACAAAAATGTACAAAGGTTTAATAAAATTCTTTTAATTTAACATTAAAACAACCTGTGCAAATTGTCCACAAAAGCAGCACAGTGCATGCAGTTTGTCTGAAGTTACAGTGAATGTAAGTTCTTGTTGTACAAACAGATACAGTGAACCTTTTAGAAAACACGCCATGCCAGTGCACCATGTCAAGTCTTTTGAAAGGTATCACCCAATCCACACTTTTCTGCGTAGACCGTTGTAATGTTATGTCAGGTGAAGTCACCTTAACCCTTTGCGTGTCTTTGTCTTTGTCAGGTTCCAGTCCATAAAGGCAGTTCGGTGTGCGTCTTTTCTTCTCACCACCGTCCTTTCACTCAAAGATGTGGCAATGATACCGACCGCCTGCTTTCCGTCAGGCTGTCATTGTGCTTTGGTTTTGGTAACATTAGTTTAAGACTCATCAGTAACTGTCCTGAGTCTGTGCAGGTTCCTCCCACAGCCAATCTTCGCTATTCCCCACCTGGTAGAGAAAACAATGCTGAAGGAATGTACGGTGAGCTGCCTTCCAGAGGTTACTTTGTGTCTGGCAAGTTCATGCAAGATCCACACATCCATGCAGATTCCTGCAGCAGCAGCAGCAGAAGGAGCGAGATGCTTGTCGGTTCAACTCCCCACACGGCTGTTAGCTTTCAAAAGCAACACATCACTCCAGAAATTAACAGCAGCCTGTGCAGATGGAGGCTGATCATTCATTACATTTAGCAGCATTTAGATGTTTCCCCATCTTTTCACCCTGATTTTGAAAACAAACTGCTTGCGTTTCCCTTACTAATGGGGTTTGGTTAATGTCATCAAGGGTTCATTTCTATCAGGATCCACCAGTGGTCTAGAAGACCAGCAGTGAGTTTCAGGCCTTTTGGTTATTTGACCACAGCAAAGCCACAATTCTGCACAGGCCATATTATGCCAGTCAGCTCTTTCTTCCAAGTCCATTTTTACCCGTTAAACCTTTTCACATTTTCATCATGTCACAACTACATACCTCGTTGTATTGTATTTGGACTTATGGCATAGAGCAACACAAAATAGTGCAGAATTGTGAACTAAGTTCCTCCTATAGGCATGGAGTTGCACTGAATTTTATTTAGGAGCATCAGAGGAAAAGAAGGTTGAATGCAAACGTGCTCTCATCTCCCCCATCGTTTCACTTCCACTTCTCAATGATTTTTGTTTTGATCTGTTACGTTGACTCCCAATAAAATATTCTTGTTCCCGTTCTATTTTATTCTTCTTTTTATATTCTTTTATAGTTTGTCCAGCTGGTTTGTGCTGGTGACCGAGCATGTGTCATAATTTTGTCCAGCAGTGCATGTTACGCTGAAAGACAAGAACATCTGAATCTGTTAGCAATAGTTTTAGCTGACAAAATGTGAAAACATGAAAGAGGTCTGAATATCTTTGCAAGACATCATGCTTGGGCCTGGTAACTTCTTCGTCCGGAATTGCAGTAGTCTTTTTTTTCTTCAAGGCGTTACAAAAGCAAGTCGAGTTGTCTCAAAGTTATTCACGAGTGAAGCCCTTTTTCCATGCACTGACAACGTTTCTGCACATGCTTGCAGATAAAAACTCACAACAAACCAGGTCTCTTTTATCTACCCATGCCCCTTCCCGTCCCTCCTACCCTCGAAGTCCATTCCTAGCATTATTCTCATGTACTCATAGACGACGTAGGACACGCTCACGGCCGGGACGATCTTTAGCAGGTTGGGGGAGATTCCTCGGTAAAGTCCGGCGATGCCCTCTTGCGTAACAATGTTGCGGAGCAAGGACAGCATTGAAAGTTTAGGGGATCCTTTCACTGAAGCTGATTGGAGAGAGATATAGGAAAGATCAAGTTAGGAAAAATGAGAAAAATACTTTTAAAATATTTTTGATAGAATATTAGGAGCTTTGGGTCTCCTTCTAAAAAGAAGAAAGTAGTTTGGGAATTGCAGCCGAAGATGTTGAGTCTTTGGATTTCAAATATCAGCAGAGAAACTGACACAACTAATAGACCTAAAGTAGTTGATTTTTAGTAATTTATCAGTTGATTAAAGTTAGTCGGTTTTGATTGCTTTCAACCCTTATTAAATTAAATCATTATTTGAAAATTGCTTTTTGCATTTCTTTCAATTTAATTACATTCAGTTAGTCTAATTTATTTAGAACTGGCCATTGCCTTCCTGTGCAGTTTCGCCTGAATTCAGTCTCGCCTGCAGCACAATCTGGAGTTTCTGTCCTTCACTTGGATCGCCCCTGGTAGATTTTTACCGATCAGTGAACAGAAAGAGAAATTATGAACGATTATGTCGATTTTCTGCACTGTTTCAGAAATGTAGTCTGTCTCTAGTTTTAGCCAAGGCAGTGGAGGAAGTAAACAAAGCCGTTCAGTCGGCAACCCTTCCAAATACTGAATTAAAATTAATATCTGCCTCGTTCGGAATAGAACTTTTCTCTTTGCAGAGGAAGACGGTTGTTTGCAGCGCAGAGAATTTAGGTAAGCTTCATACCACTGAACCGGTAACAAACGTTAGGGATCGGGGAAAATTTAAAATCTTAACACAGTCCACCCCTCCAGGAAGCAAATGTGGGAAAAGGACAATTTAGAACAAAATGTCGATTCAATCAAATCATACATCTGCTCTAATTAGAATTATAATGCAATTTGGCTGACATAAAACTATTTCATTCTCTGAAACGTTTGGTGGAATCCAGATGCCAGCAGCTGTCCTAACCTTGTGCTTGCATGCGTGTGCGGACCAGCGCCAGCGGGTAACTCGCAAGCATCCCGCATGTACTGGAGACTGCGCCGCATCCCAACAACACCATCACCCCCGGGTCAGGCAGGCCCGTGTTCCGGTTCAGCCAAGCAAGTTTGAGCGTCTGTGGAAGACAAGAATGAGTGGGAAGTGAAGAGCCAGGGGAAATGCGCCACACTGAGAGCTGCGCGTCCCTCTGACCTCATACACGGCCAGGTCAATGCCAGCATAAGGGATGATACTCAGCATGTTGGGGACGTAGCCCTTGTAGAAGGCCGCGGCGCCTTCCCGCTGCAGGATCTGGTTGGCGCAGTCTGCTATTCCTCTGAACTGACCTGTTTTTCTGAGATTGAGCCGCGTCTTCAGCACCTGATGCACAGACAGAGGGACTGAGATGACTCACTTATAAGCAACCGTAGCGTTTCCTCTTAGTGCCGTCCAATGATTCGTACATGTTTGGCCCATTACCTCCATCGGGTAAATGACTGTCTGAGCTGTTGCTCCAGCCAAAGCGCCGGCGACAAACCTCTCATGAAGCCTCAGTGTTCTTGTTTCATCATGGCCGCGCATCACACTCTTGATCTATGCAGAATACAAAGGAAGCAAAGGTTTGGGACAAGTATCACTGTCAAACATTTATGCTCTGTGAGCTCAAATAAACTAAAAAGGGAAATATAGCTACAAGAATTAGATTTTGTATTAATTACATCTTAGTTTCATTCGTAAATATCACAACCCACTGAACTGAACTACAATGAACTGCAATAGAGTAGAACTGAGAGATCCGAACTGATGGGATTTGAACTGAACTGATCTGAGCTCTGCTGTACTGGACTTCTTCAAATGAAAGAGAAATTAAACTTAATGGAATAAAATCAAATTAATTCCAGATGTCGATGCACATGAAATGGAAATTTGGATATCTGAAACCTATTAGGGTCTGACTGTCATTTGTGGAAGAATCTCATTGTCTGTTGTTTGACTTTGACTACAGTTTTGACCTTCTTACTGCCAAGTTAGATGTTTTTTTCTTTTCCTTTTAATAACGCACAGTCTATAATCCATCTGCGTTTGACTTACAAGCTAAGTGTTGCCGTATTTACAAATCATATTTCGTGATAATTTAACTATACGATATGACAGATCCAACTCAAATCTCAAATCCAACAGGTGTCATAGAAGTGTTCACCTGTTCATAAGCGGAGAATTTGATGGCAGTCTCAGGAGCGATTTTCAGGACATTGACTCCGTTGCCTCTCCACAGAGACCATGGTCCTCCCTCGTTCAGCATGTACTTAAACCCGCTCAGAGCACTGCCTCTAAAATCAGTGGAGCCGTGTACCTGTACAGAGCAGGAATAGTCAGGTATAAACGATTCCTTTTCTCATACATCTTACTGCTGTTAGACTGACTTGTCTGAAGACTTTGAGGCGGTCCAGTGGAGCGGTTCCGGTTCGGGACACAGATCCAGCTATGACTCCCGCCATTAGCTGCCGCCACATATAGCCCGACTTCTTCTGCTCTTCTGAAAACTCCTCTGGGACTGTCAGCTGCTCGCCTGTGTCCAATATCTACTGAGACCACAAATTGGGAACAAAGAACAAGCTGCACATTTCAAAACAGGGAGTTAGAAATAAATCTCAGACATGATATTCCTGGAGACCAACTGTAGGAACTACTTCCGCGACGTTCCGACAAACTGCACCGTCTCTGTTATTTCGAGACGTTCTTGTTCAAGTTCAAGTTCTGCAAGCTCGTTTACCATTGAACGCTTCCAGAACCGAGCCACGTCCTGCACGTCGTTCAGGTGTTTGAACAGGAAGTAGTCGCGCCACTCACTCCAGTTAATCGTCATGGTGCCGTCCTTGTCCATACTGAAGAAAAACCAAATGTACTAACAGGCACACTGACATAGACACTGCAGCCGTAACGTATGATAGCACAGTTCATTTCTAATAGGATAATTAAGATTCATTGTGATGAATTCGGTTATTTAAATAATTGTCAATTAATTTAGCAATCAATTAATCAATAACTTGAGTAAATAGTAAAACAACAGTTCAATGTATGTAACCGTGTCAGCAAAAAAATGTGAATGGGCGATCTGGATTAAAGCGTTTATTATGATCTTTTCGGGTATTTGTTGGAATAATGAGAAAAATAGTGAAATAAAGCATTTAAAATATACTGCAGTGTTTTTTTTTAAAGACTTTATGACTTGGGTCCATTCATTTATTCATTCACAAAGTTCTTATCCTGGCATTAAGTAAACATAAATTATTTTTGCAAGCCTAACTAAGATAAAACAGAAAATATTTACTCTGACTGACCATTGGATTGTGTGAAAAAGCCAGACTCTGTGTGGCTTTTCGAACGGTTTACAAATCTGGCTACCACCGTGTAGTGATATGAAGAGAGCCTGGGTGACAAACCTTAGCAGAATCCTGGTGGCATCTTCAGGGCTAACATTCACACCGATGGTGTGCAGACAGTCCTGGATGTCTTCCACATCAATGTGACCTGCAGATATGAAGAGACAGCAGAACACAAGAAGGAAGTTAGAAGGGCTGGGATTAAACAACCTGTAACGAAATAACAGTGAGGTTCATTGTTCTTCCGTCAAGCTCCCTTCGGCCACAGACCGTCTTTGTTTCTGTCCATATGGTGAAACATGACTTTAAGTTGCTTCTCGTGGTTGTGAAGATACTCGACGAATTCCTCGAAGTCCAGGACTCCGTCTTCGTTGGTGTCCCCAGTCTCTACAATCTGACAATGTAGATATATAAATTTAAATATGCTATCTATCTGTCTGTCTGTCTGAACGTCCCTCCCTCCCTCTCTCCATCCATATTTACTGTTACATCAAAATAAAAGCAAAAGGTGCGGTTGATAAGAGAAAAATTACTTAAACACCTGTGCTGATGGGTCAAACGGGTCACACTTTGCATTGCCACCCTGCTTTACTGGAATATCCCCTCCAAAACACATACATACATATGAACCTAAAATACTAAAATATAACAAATTGTTGGTCAGTAAACCACCGCCCCCCCCAAAAAAACATGGTATTTACACTAACTGAACAAAACTTCTCGGAAATATAACCAAGAAAACTAGATAAAACATGAAAAAATACAAGGAGAATAGCAGGAATAAAGGTTACCATTCTCAGCTTACAAGAGCAGCTTCCTCAGACAGAAATAACCGCCACGCTGCCCTTCACATGTCCACATGCAGAAACCTTTACAGATACGTGGCCACTTGCACACAGCAACTCTTCTCCTGTCGTGACTTTTATGTTTTCTCTAACTTTACAAATTAAACACATAAGCAGAAGAAGAAAAAGAAACAGTAATATGGAGAAACGGCGAAAAGCAAAGCGCCGCAGACAGACGGAGGAGAGTTAAATTGTCTGCCTGTGTTCACAACACAGCCACGCTGCTGATGTTCCGGTACAAACTGTACACAAACAAACTGGAGGTTTCACGGTTCAAGAGCGTTTACGGGATGAAAACAGTGGAAAGGCTGCACACTTTGACTAAACGCAACAGAAACCACTGCGTGCTAACGCCCACAAACGTGCTATTATTACACTGTTACAAAAATCTAAAACTATTGTTTTTAATTTTATCATTTCATAAATTATTTGAGGTGGCAATTATTTAAGAGTGGTTAGATAAGAAAGTGGGTCGTGAAGACACACGGCAAAGGTCATCAGGTCAAGTTTGGAACCTGCATCAAGGACTAAGGGCTCCATATGTGAGTTGTGCTTTACCTTTGCATCTCCAAACCTCCCATCAGACTTTTTAACATAGTTTCATTCAGTCTGTGATCAAATACAAACCTGCTTTCCTTATCCGCCCTGAATGGAGAGTGCGTCAGGCCTCGTAGTTCCTTACCTTCTGCAGGCAGCCGTCGGAGAGCCCTCTGTGAGCAAGCCCCGCCTGCAGCTCCAGCATGTCAATGCGTCCATCTTTGTTGAGGTCCAGCTGTTCGAACAGCTCTTCCCAGTGCTTCCTCCTCTCCTCATCTGGAACAAAATGTTCACCTTCCAGACACTGCACCTTCAGGATCCAAGTCGACCGCAGGGCTGTCATGACCGGGCGTCACTCAGAGTCAGCTGAAATGCAAGAGCATCAATTCAATAACCTTCATCACGAACGATGAACGTCCTCCATACCTGCACACCGAGGCAGCGATGGACTTTTAGACTTGGCTGCTTCACCTACGGCCCAAAACGAGAGCCAACGCAGTCGTGCTGAAGGTCTTTTCAATTAAAGAGTCAAGCAGATGTAACTAAATGTCGTATTACTGCACATATCAGGCAAGGTATTGAAAAATCTCACCAAGAGTACTTGAACCGATTTAAGGTTCATAGTGTTACACTTTTATTTCTGTCATGGGACCTACAATACGAGCAGCTCTAACAATTTCTTTAAGAAAGCCGGGCTTCATCTTTCAGTTTATTTCAATTCATTTTATTTATATACCGTCAAAAACACTTTCTGTGTTGAGAAAGCACTCGTGTACATTTCTGTCAAACATTTTAATCGATCAATGAACTTGATGTGCTTTTCACGGAAAGAAAAAACGAGGAAAACAATGATATGAGCTAAATAGCTCCATCAAAGAATCACAACTATACATAGATATGCAGAGCTAAGTGCACTTTCTTCAGAAAGGATATGAAAAAAGAAGAGAACACATTATAAATGACGTTAGTAGCTCCATCAGCGGCTTTTACCAGTAGAAACACAACTAAACACAAGATCACAGGGCCAGGAGTCATTTCGTTGGAAAGCAAAAAAGAAGAGAGTACGTCAATTTTTGTGAGGTTTACATCACCTTGAAGGTGATGTAAACATTTCTCGAAACCACACCATGTTTATGGGCAACCTTTCAGAAAGAAGCGATAGAACGTGAGTTGACGCAAACGTCAGAAGTCAATGTCGCGGTATGGAGCGTTTCCTTCACCTTCATCCCCCTCCCTGCCCATTTCCTGACCGGTTGCCACCAGTAAACCCCTAGCACCACTGAATCTTCCCAACTCTTTGAGCACATGGCACCCAAACTGACTCCAAGCCCAGAGGCCCAGATTTTCCTAAATCCGCCCCTGGCAGGCACAGTTTACAAGAATGAAAAAAACAACAACAACAACAAAACAATATTTTCCCTGTTGACTGTGGGGTTTTTTTTTTTTTCAACCAGCGAGTACATTCAGGTTCTTTCGGGTCAGCTAAGGGCACATTCTTGTCCTGTACTTCTGCTGAAGCCCAAATCATCTCTCATGCTGAAGTCATGTACAAATTACACGACAATGACAAAAAGACACATTCGCAATAGTATTTTCAGCTCACAGCTCGGCGCACTGACGCAGGCAGGCTGCAATGATAATCGCGTATAATCTAATCCTCGAGCAGTTATGGAGGCTGTTGGAGTCTAATTATGAAACCCGGCAGACCGCTGCAGCCTCAGCCTGACTCACTGTTTATCTGCCGCCGTCCACAGCCGCATGCAGAGGGAGGGTCGTGACTGGAGGGGGGCAGGAGGAGGGAGAGGGGGGTGAGGCATCGGCCGCGTCCTGGAGCCAGTTGACGCGGATCCGCCGCGTCCCGGCCGTTCGCTCCGTTGAAGGGTGGATTTCCTTCACGCAGCTCTGTTCACGGAGCAGGAAGAGGCGAGAGAGAGAGACAGAGAGAGAGAGAGAGAAAGAGAGAGAGAGAAAAAGAGAGAGAGAGACAGAGAGAGAGAGAGAGAGAGAGAGAGAGAGAGAGAGAGAGAGAGAGAGAGAGAGAGAGAGACGGTCCACTGGCGGCCACGGTGCGTCAGATGAGTGAATGTGGAGGATGCGGTCCTGGTCCAAAGCTGCGTTTCTCCTCTTTAATGTTCAGCTCACTTATTTTTCCCTCAAGCTCTCATTCACCAGACACGTTCAGATTATTTGTGCTTTTTCTTTTTTCTTTTTTTTGGTCTTGACCGCCATAACAGTTCCTCTTTTCTTTTACGCACGCAAACTTTGAGTTCGCCCCTTTTTGCTTCCATCTGTGCACTTGCAGCTATTTGGATGCCCCCCCAAAAAGATGCAGGAGCACAGAACTATTCTCAGTGTGATAACTGACGTCCGCAGACAAACATTTCGAGGCAGTGGCCGCCGGTACTCGATGTCTCCGTGTGTTGAGCAGCGCAGGCTTCAGGTTTCCTCACATGACAGCTGGCATTTCACTCCCGCTTCTCGTAAACAGTGAGGACATCAGCTCCTTCCCTCAGAGCTAAGCTGAAGCAGCTTCCCGGGGTCCAACCCGGAGCAAACCTGGGCCGCCAGCGTTGAGCTGCGTGACAGCGCAGGATGGAGCCGCGCAATACGGCTGCGCGACGTTTCATGTCAGCCGATGTTGAAAATAATCCATTTTATTGTTTTAATTTGAGATACTGACAAACAGGTGGTGTGACCTTTCAGTTCCTTCTCCTTTTACACCACACCGTTGATTTATTATTATTATTAATTTATTTCTAAGCAGTTATGAAAAGGTATAACTGCTTAGAAATCGCAACGAGTTTACTCGACGGGTTGTTGCTAGTTTACCAAAGAGACAGGGAGTTAGTTGATGCCACCCGGAAATTTAGGCGGTTCAATTTTTTTTTTTTTTTTAGCAGATTTTAGCTGGATTTTGTGGAACTTTGTGGAATTTTAGCGTCTTTCAACGGGGCAGAAAATTTCAAAAAGTACATTAGTGAGTTTTTTTGCAAAAGTCAAAGCAGAAATCTCCAGAAGCAGAAGGAGCTGAAGGTAGTGAAACGTGGATAAATGTGAAATTAATGGGTTGAGAGCAGATTTAAGCCATCATCTTAAATAATTAGGATTGCACTAAAAGTTTGGTTTTTTTTTTTTGGAAGAATTACAATTTTTTTTAAACAGAGCAATGAGAAATTTACAAACCGAAAAAAGAGCATGCATGGTGGATAATAAAAACATCCTGCCAGCATTTGCATTGGGTTTTATCTAGGGGTATTCATGCCAGTGTTTTCAGATTTTTATTTATAATTTTTTTTATTATTATTATTTTTTTCTTTCCACTTCAGAACTACACTGTAAAAAAGGAACCTCAGGGGTTATCACATTAACAAAAGAATATCATGTACTGTTAACTAAATAATTGCATGTTTGAGCCAAAAACATGATACAATCATGTTGCATAAACAAGATATTCCACAACTTCAACGTTTATAAAATTGAATCATGTTGAGCGAACATGATTCATTATAGTCAGACCGATCCTATGCTGAAGACCACGAGTGAGATCACGCGATATCACGCAAGTTCACGCAAGATTACGGGAAATCACGGGATATCACGCGAGAATACGCGAGACAATCGGTTTTTTCTCGCAAATGGAATAAAATGTATTCAAGGTGAGATAACGTGATTCAATTACGTCAGCTAGATCTTCCGCCAAAAAAAAAAAGAACGTCGGGGCGTATTACATTAACAAAAAAATATCATGTACCTTTCACACAATAATGTTGGGTTTGAAGCGAAAACGTGATAAAATCATGTTGGATAAACAAGATATTCCACGACTTCACATTTATAAAATTGAATCATGTTGAGCTAACATGATTCATTATAGTTAGACTGATATTGTCATGACGACAACGAGTGAGATCACGGGATATCACGCGAGAACACGCGAGACAATCGGTTTTTTCTCTCAACTGAACTAACGTGATTGAATGACGTTATCTCAACTTGAATACATCTAATTCCTCAAGCTCCCAGGCCTCTACCAGAGGCCTGGGAGCTTGAGGGTCCTGCGCAGTATCTTGGCTGTGCCAAGATATATATATATATATATATATATATATATATATATATATATATATATATATATATATATATATATATATATTTTTTTTTTTTAAACATATATATATATATATGTTTTTTTTATTTTATTTTATTCAATATCAATATTTGTCAAAGTTAATCTAATAAAAAAAAACACAGTGACGTCAGTTCCAAAGCGCTATTGTGTCAGACTCATCTCCCGCTGAAGAGGATCCAGCGACATCAAGAGATTACGGAAAATCACGCGAGATAACTGGCTCGCACCTTGTTGGGTTTTTTCAAGGGCAGAGGGGAGATTCCTGGCGTGCATCTACTTAATTTGAAGAAGGTAAGAGTCAAACTATTTTCATCTAAATCCATATAAAAATATGTAACTTAAAATTTCTCTACCATTTGCACCATTTTCTACTTGTTCCATACTTGTGTCACATTATTTCATGTTCTGTAGATTAAGTCGGTTAGGTTAAGGCAGATAGCTTTTTGTTTACATTTATCGCCGCACCATGTTAGGTACATTCTGTGCGAAAAAACTCTGCAGAGCCATATGTAGTGTAAGGGTCACAAAGCTGCTGCCAGAGACACAAATGGACCCCGGAAATGTCACAGTTTTGCTCCTCCTGAGCTCCCTGGAGGTTTAGTGGATTTTTAACACACAGATCTAACATCAGTCTATTTTTAACTATTTTAATTCTATTTCAGTAATGTTACTATGGAGGTAAATGTAGATACACACACACACACACTTTGGTACCTTTCTATCATCATCGAGATTCTTAATTAATTATGGTAATAAAAAGTCCTACATTTCAGTCGGTGAAACCTGCAGAAAGCATTGCTTTCTGAGCTTTGTTAAATGTTCCTAAAATACCTGTTAGTTATGGATTTCTAGTATATTTTGTCAGGCTAAAACTCTCAATGGATTATCCATTATTACAGACTTGAGCTTTCTATTTTTTTTCTTTAAAATACATATTCCTCTGCTGTAAAGATGTTGGGGTTTTTTGGACTCTTCTTTGTTGTCCCCAAATAATTGTAGCTCAGAAACAATATTGAAGTTCATTGGTTTAATTTTGAAATGTTGATGTTTTTTGTGTTGATTGATTGTGCTCATTTTGACCTTTGTTACTATTGCTTTCTACCATGTTCAATTCACCATTGTTCTGCACATATGTGCTTGCATACAAGTGTCCAGTGGTTATATTCATGAGGCATTCAAGGGACTTGTACTAAAAGATACAACTCAGTTCAGTATGAATTGCATATTTTAATGGCTGAAAATATATCTGATCTCTTTCAGAACATCACCTGTCTGTAATCCACCTGCGTAAGTACTGGTCAAGGGGCTCATCGGCTATCAAGTTATAGATTTCAGTGGCTAATAGTAAGTTTTGCCAGATCTAAAGTGACTGAATGTAGTGTTAGAGAGCTTATAGAGCTAGAGTTCAGCTAAACATTTATTTGGCCAGTCTGTTTTATTTGTCTTTATTTGCGTGGGGATGTGGAAATGTAAGGAGTGTAGTCTCTCTCTGTCTCGTAGATATGACCTGTTAAAACATTTTACACTTAAACACCGGCATATGCGACGTTATCCATGCCCACACATAGACTGTCCATGTACTTGTAAGACATGGAATGCTTTGCATATTCATTTAAGTAGAAGGATATAGACTGTGTTGACCATTCTGTACTTTTCACATATTTCTTTGGTGATATATTCATGTCTTTATTTAAACCTCTAACAGCTTCAGTTAGATGTTTAAATGAGATGTTAAACTCCATTTTAGTCATGGCATAATGAAGGGATACTAACAATTTTAAATATCTTTCAAATAGACTGCAAGCCACTGATCACTTTTGTTGTGACTTCCTTTGAATGCAGCTATGTTTTCAAGTGTGTGAACCTATACTGCTGGAGTTTGGAGATTGTTCTCATTGTTTTTTGATCTGCATATTTAGGAAGACACTGCTGAGGTCAGACGAGAGTGCATCCTCAAATGTCTGTGTGTACCTAAATGAAGATCCAGAGAAGCTGGTGGGGAGTACATGGTATGTTAAATTCTCTTTGTGTTTACAATAGAACTCCTAAGAGTTGTTAAAATACTTTCACCAACTAAGGTCCATGAGTGACTCAATCAATGTCAATCTTAATTTATTTATTTAATTACATGTGAATTGTCTCTCCCCCAATACCCTTCCCTAACTCCCTTAGGACGTTGATGAATGCGCAGAAATGGCCAAAGCCGAGGCTGTCCTCGGAATCGTCATTTGAGCAGAGGGTGCAGAGGCTGCCGATGCACATCTGGATGTTGGGATTGTCCTGGAGGAGGTGGAAGTTATGAACAGCTTGGGCAGTGTATCTTCTGCAATAGTGATGCTGCTGGGACTAATCTACGCACTAAACTTGAGCTACCCTCAAGTTTAGTGCGTTCAGCACTCAACTTGCTCAGTAACTCAAGCATACCTTTGAAGTAATACAGAAAATAATAATGAAATTGGATGGAAAGAACTTATCAAAGAAAGCACAAGTTCTCAATATGAAACTCACCGCTAAGTTGAGTAAAGTTTCATATGGAAAATGAGTGTTTAAAGTCTGCAGTAGAAAAGATTTATATTGTTACGGTTCTCTAAGTTGAGCAACTATACTGACATGTTTTATGTTGTAAAGAATTGGCTGGGAAATGAAACTGTAACCTTTTTGTAGTTGTTTTTTTATTTCAATGTCCAACTCAGCTGTGTTTTGTGCTGTGTAAAAAAACGATGTATAACAATTCTGAAAATACAATTTGTTGTACCTTTTCTAATTGTTGAGTGTTCTTCCTACACTTTCACCTAGTGCTATCTTAAAATGCTTGATTAACGCTTGAAAATATGTCTTTGAATTAACGTCATAAAATAATGGAAAGGATTTCCACACGATTAACTAGCTGTCTTTTAGCATGAAGCATATTTGTTGAGCTAACTTGCTTTTAGTGAGTTGGACCTACTGAATCAGGTAGTGTGAAGGTACCACTGTAAAATAAGGTGGTTTCAACTAGATTTACATTCATCTTAATGAAGTTACATCAATGATTTGGTCCTAAACATTGCAGATTAGTTGGGCGGGCTGTATTGCACTACACTGGGTCATGCTATAGTAACTGAGTTAAAGGAACCTTTAAAACATATGTTGAGCCAACACATTTCATTTGAATTTGGATAACCTTAATGAATGGAGTTGAGCCAACTCATTTGATTTACAATCATCCATTGCCTTACCATAATTCTGTTTAAGCCAACATATTTGGTTTAAATTAGAACAACCTTAATGAATTATGTTTTGCCAACTCATTTTATTTATATAAGAATAACCACAATATATTACGTTGAGCCAACATGTTTGATTTAGAATCACCCATTGAATCACCATAGTAACAAGTGGAGCCAACACATTTGCTTTACATTGGAATAATCTTAATAAATTAGGTTGACCTAACACATTTGCTTTAAATAGGAGTAACACAAGTCATGGTGCTGAAATAAAGCAAAGTAATCAGGTGGAAATCCTTCCATAATTTTTTTATGTTCATCCAATGACTTATTTTTTTCAGTGTATGCACTACTTTCAGCTGGACTATCAGATGAAATACAATAAAATGTGTGGTTTTAAAATAAGAAATTGTGGAAAAGTTCATCCATTTACTCACAATTTCAAGGCCCAGCATACACCTATACGCTGTCAGTGCTGTGTGAACAATAGCAACATAATTGACACTGCAGAGCCAAACTGCTTGTCCGTTATAAAACTCATTCTCAGACGGCTCCTCCACCTGCTCCTCCATCATCACTTCATTATCTTTCTGCAGAAGTCCACAGAGCGTCCATGTTTGGACCAACACAGGCCTTTGTGAGGCGGCCAGTGTACCCTGACCAAACACACACGCACAGGGCTGCTTCTTTGATTTTCCTTTCATATACACTGACCTGCTTTGTGTCTCCTGCTGACAGGTCTGCCTGATCTGTTCCCCATCTCATCCCCGTTCCGCTCCCAGCTCCACACCTGCTGGCCTGAGAGCAGCAGATGGACGGATCAGATAAGCCACATGTCCACCGCCGTATATAAGAGCGGCGCATTCGAGCCCCGGAGACAGACTGACAAAAGTTATCTACCGCGATCACACTGAGTTGATTCTGAAATATGTGTAAGGGACTCTCCAACCTGCCTTCCTCCTGCTTGGAGAAGTGAGTGTTTTTCTAGGACACCTTTGTGATTACACTTTGCTGGGATTCAAACTGCTTAAAATGTCATTTCATGCGTTTCAGGGCAAAAGGGATGCGAGTGAAGCTGAGCCACCTGGCTGAGATCCACCACAAGCAAAAGTAACTAAGTGAAGTTGGTTTTAGGTGAAATATGTGGTAATAACGATGCATTTTTAAATGAATCGTTTGCCTAATTTTCAGGGTGCAGGATGGAAAAATCCTTCAGGATCTGGAAACTCTGCTGGGCAGCAAGAGTAGGTCACTTCATTTCTATTTGAAATTCTGTTGATAAAAATCTTTTAAAATGACTTTTGGTTGAAAGACACTGAGAAAATGTCTCAAAGTCTTTAATTTTATTCGTATACAAACTTATTAACTATACGGCAGACATGTCAATAGAAATTTGCTGTAAGACGACATTTAATTAGAATGTCATTGCAAAAAAAAAAGTAAATAAAATCACTTTTTAAAATAAGCATATAAATTATTCTTGTAGATTTATGTTAAAACTGAGAAATTATGCTCATCGAACTCAACATGTGTCATATATAAAAAAATATATTTTTTTTAAAATAACCGTTTTGCAACTAAATTTACAATTAGCTACACTTTTATTATTTAAAAAAATATAACTGAAACATATTTGTTTTCGACCTGTACTTTATGTTTCAGATTTATAGGTTTAGAAATATTTTTTATGTTTTTAATTTATTACCACAAATATCTGAAAATACAGAATAAGAGTACTTTTTGTTGTGTTTCTGTTGGGTTTTGTTTCATGGCAAACCTAACACCTGGAGGCTTATTTCCTTTTTAAAACACGTACAAGAAACTCACCTCAGAATTACTAACAAAACACAAACGGTTGCAGAAAAAGGAAACCATAATGATGTCTTTCACGATTCATTCTGCTGTTGAAAGTTGTCCCGTGAAGAGTGAAATTATTGGCACATTTGGGAATTTACTCTCAATAAATTGGAAAGAGAGAAAACGAGATGTGTGAGGATTAGAGGAAGGACTCAGGAAGAAGCGGAAGTGTATTAAAGTCAGGCCGAGCAGGTTGTGCGTGACGCTTTATGATTTTTCACACAACTTAAAACAACGTTTACAACGTCAATTAACTTTAGTTTTGGAATACAGTTAGACAACAGTTTACGTCACACAGTATTGAAAACATTTGATGTTTTTACCTTCTGCCTCCGTCAAGTGGGGCTGCTAATGACAAGATGCATTTTAAGCTCCGTTACGCGATTTATATTTTATTTGTTTTGCCGTTAAGCTGCGTTAACGCTGACGGTTAAACCGGAAACCGTCCCTTCAAAATAAAAGCAGCTCAACAGGAAGTTCACCATCATTAAAGCTAATTAAGGGTATTAGTCACGAGTGTAGTACATTTGTATTTGGTAGTCAATCCTTTATCCACTTGCTTTCCAGATGCTGCAAAAAATGTTTTTACATTTAAACTTGACTTGTTGAATCTGTTAGGGACATCAGAGTCGGTCACTGGTTACATTTATTCAGCTAAGTTTACTCAAGCCAATTTACGTTTAGGAGTTTTTAATTTTACTTGAGTTATCTTATCATGAAGTAAAACTTGAGCAAAATTTCTGGACTCTACCCACCTCACTGAATGGAGAACAATCTTGTTTTAATTTTAAATTGACCACACATGCAGTTTAATATTAAAAGAAATTTATTTGCAAAAAAATGTATATTTTGGCTGGATTTTGGTATTTAAAATGCCAGAATGTAACTTTATATTGTGGTTTGTCTGATGGTATAATTATTAAACACTAAATGAAAATATAAAATGACTCTTGCCTTCAACAACAGTGCGTGGAAGCTTTCCCTCCAGGCTGATGTCTTCTTGATGCTGCTCTGCATAACTCTGTGTCGCTGTCCTTTCAGTCGGTCTTCAGGCGTTTAGAGGGTTCCTGCGTTCAGAGTTCAGCGAGGAGAACCTGGAGTTCTGGCTGGCCTGCGAGGACTACAGGGTTTCCCCTTCAAACATGCAGAAGACCAAAGCCAGCAGCATCCTCAACCAGTTCATCAACCCCGACGCTCCACTGGAGGTCAGTGAAGGAGCGCAGTGCCAAACATTTCTGAATCTTCACGCTTGTCTTCACCTCCAGTTTTTCATCCATGTCAGGTGAACCTGGATGCTGAGACCCGTGAGGCTCTGCTGAGCGTGATGGACTCCCCGTGTGCCGACACCTTCAGCCTGGCGCAGCAGAGAATCTACAGCCTGATGGCCAAGGACTCCTTCCCTCGGTTTCTCCGCTCTCACCACTGCGCAGAGGCCATCAAGGCTTATTAAACTTCCCGGCTGAGAAAGGCTTCGGAAACTAATCTTTTCTGCTGGACTTGACTGTAATGTGCAATTCATTCTTGCAACATGTTTTGTCATGCAACAGTCTATTACATGGTGTTAGAAACAGAAGCATAGTAGCACTAAAATGCTTAAATAGATGAAAAAAAATACTTCCCCCTCTATACTGCATAAGCTACTAACATTTACAAAGACTGAAATAAAGAGTGGGTTATATAAATCTCTGAATGTTCTGATTTATTCAGCATTACTGAATAGATTCACTATTCAGTAATAGTGAATCTATTCAAATTAAAAGTATAAAATTACATTTTAATTTGATAGAGTTGCAAATATAACATTCCAGATATATAAAGCTTCCAACAGGTTAGGACTGGGTAATAAATCAATAACACACACATACATATAAATAAAATCACCTTTAGATGTGATTAATTTCAATCATTTCACAGAACTCGGAGCAAAAACCAGATGGCATTCTGGGGGATGTAGGCTGAGGAAAGGCTTTAGCTGCTCAACCTCTCATGCATCAGCTAACTCTCTTGCTCTTTGGTTACCTAGCAACAACCTGTTGCGTAACTTGCACAGCAGCAGTTTTATGTTTGGCCACTGTGCCTCATAAAGGCTTAAAAAAGAGCAGAGTGAAAACGTTGGATAAAACAGGAAAGGTCATGTCATCGGTTTAGCTTTTTCTTTTGAAGGTATGAAATACTGTTAATCAATAATTATCAACATGAACTGCTATGAAGCCCATGTATGGTGATATAGTTTTTCAGCCATAATCGCTGGGTTACCACCAGAGGTCATTCTTCCTTATTCTGATTGGCTTTATTTTAGATTCAAGTAGGTGTGTTCGTTTCTGTAAACATTACAACACCCAGGCTGAGAACAGCCTGGATGTGCTTCTGTTACGAAAAACAGAAGCACAAAACATTTACCCCATCTTTTTAATTGTACAAAAACAGTAAAGTGACTGAAGGGGAACAGAACCTCGCTAAACATCAAATTCTGTGTTTGAATGAGCCTCTCCAGCCCCAGCAGGGGTTCCATTAAAGTCCATAACTTGGTGAGACCCGGTCGGCGGTGGTAGGTCCTATTTGGAGCTGGTTCCAGGGTGGCCAGCGGCGGGCTTTCCTTTCCCCTCAGCACCTTTGACCACAGCCAGGGGCTTGTGCAGGGAGGAGCTGGCTTTCTGGGTCACTTCCTGCTCGATCTTGTTCCTGATGGCAACCTCCAGGCCCTTCAGGAAGCGGCACAGTCGAAATGAATGTGTAAAGAAAGATCAAAATGTTGACACTGGAGAACGTTCTCACCTTCTTTAGCTTCTGTTGCTGAACGACTTGAGCCTTCTTAGGTGCAATAATCCTCCCTTTAGAAGAAATGTAGGTGAACATGTTAACATACTGTCTGCTTTTCAGTATAAGAGGGAAACATCCTACATATCTTTACCACTAAGCAAATAAAGAGTAATATAACTGTGGAAACGGCTTAAAACAAATAACATGTCTCAACACATAACTCCAAGGCAACGTGTTTGGTCACGTGTTCAGTTCATATCCGGCTCTTTTCCACTTCAGACCTAAAATACAGGCGTTACTGAAACAACAGAGTCGCACCTCCTTTCTTCGGTCCTTTCTGTTTGTTCTGTTGGTGTTTCTTTGACCCTCCTGGACGCTGAGCCTTGAACTTCTTCGATCCTTGAGCCATTTCTACCGAGTAAGAGCTCGAGCTTCTTCTTCGTGTCACAGCGCGACGCGTCACGTCCGCCTTTGTTCGGTTACTGCCCCCTGCTGGTTAGTTGGCGTCACACAGGAGAGATTCCTAAAGAAATCCCAGTTTAGTTTTCTGCGATTTTCTCCAACAAAAAAAAGTCACCGTGGGATGATGCATTCACATTTTTTAATTAGATTGATTTTTTTTTTTTAAATTATGTGTATGCAGAAATGTTAAAGCCCAACCAATCATCGGGGTGAATGCTGTCTGATGAAGTGAACTGAACTGGTGAGAATCGTACGGAAAGGTAGTTGGCACGTCATTGGCTTATTTCTTCCATTTTTGCTTTTTGTCCCCCTTAAATGTTTCAGATTAAATAAATTTTAATACAACCAGAGTAAGATCTCTCTGATCTCAGAAATTTTGATTCAACAACAGAGGAAATCTGCATCAATAAAATTTCAAGGTAAACACCACTCTGATAACAAAGACACGCTTACCTACAACATCTGTTTCATTTAGTACCTTAGCATGAATATTGTAAATCTGCACTACAAAACTTGACTTTTTAAGCTGAAAACTAAAGCATTTGTGAAGAAACCAGAGGTAAAACTACACACAGACCCATTTATAACTCGAGACATTCTTTTTTTTTTTTTTTTTTTTTTTTTTTACATTACAACCACAACATTCAATGTATTTTATCGGGATTTATTTAAAAGACTCACAAAGTGGTGCATGACTTTAATGTGGAAGGAAGCTGACAAATTGTTTTCAACTTTTTTTGAGTTTGGCAAGCACATGCACGCAGTCCTTCTGGTACCCATTTGTGAATTTAGTTTTGGCTGTCGGAGAAAAAAAAAAAAAGACAAGGAAAATATGCCATTTCACTGTGGTTTTATTCTTTTTTTGTATCGATGTGAAAGAGAAATCTCTTCATTCATGACAGCCTTATATTCATATACGTATATATATATTTGTATATAAAAAAGAAGAATCCAATTTGGAACCATTTTCACGTTACAAACGTAAACAGAGATCAAGTGATTATCAATAACAATGAAAAACTTGCACTTAAGGAGGCCATCTGAACAACACTCCGTCTACTTTAATTCCTTTTTTCGCAACACAAGAGCAGCTACTTTAAATCGATGGAGTCAACGTGGAAACTCTGGACTTTTGGCACCAGAACATCTTAGTGCATCTATTGAACACCGCAGTGTGCTGACGCAGCTTCGGGACATGTTTAAAAAAAAAAAGACAAGACAGCGAGCCTACAGTCCAGTTGACTCAGAATCTAGCCACAAAAATTACACTTCGCTTTGGGATAAAGACCCGATAAAACTTTCAGTCCCGGTTTTCTTCGAATCGGCTCGCTCTGCTGCAGCCTGGCGCTTGAGAGGTAGTGCGTTTGTCTGAGGAGGCCTCCCCGGCATGGCGCTCTGATGGCCATCTCACAAAGAGTCACAATGGGAACCAGGAAATGAAAACAGACCACAGTGAGACGGGTATAATTATCGCGGACAGACAGAGAGGCCTCGCAACGCTCGGAAAAAGAAAAAAAGACGGGGGTTTTGTTTGCGACGGATCTGATGGCCTCACAGCTGCTACATACGTGTGGAGCGTCGTCATAGAAACGCCCCGGAAAACGCGTCTCGAGCAGAAAACGGGCATTTGCTTAAAAGTTTTCTACGCTCGCACGTGACCCGTCTCTGCGTGCCGAGGTTTAATGGGAGAGAAAAACGCAGTGAGACAACGTTACAGTTTTCTAATAACATATAATCAATCAGGTGGTAGATAGTGATTAACAATGGGTTTTTTCCCCTCATCTTCTTTTTTTTTTTTTTTTTTTTTGGATAAAAACGGTGAATTAAAGTTGCAAGTTAATAGGAAAACAGCAAAAATGTACAAGATTAGGGTTATGGTATAGAGGCCCCCCCACCTCCATTTCTTCTTCTTTTTTTTAATGATTTAATGTTCACATGTAGTCAAAACTTTTTCCAGTTGTGTGTAGTGAAACAGCAACAGACTGATTGTCTAAAATATGTTGTGTTAATCATAAATGAATCAATGATTCCAGTATCTACAGGAAGATGCTGGTCTTCCTGTAGCGTTACAGTGGGCTGGCTTTCAATATAAAAGTTTAGCAAAACAATTTCTAGAGGAAGGGATATTTTTTTCATTTTTGTTGAAAGGAAAAGCTCCTAAGAAACCTGAAATTATGTTGGACATAAAAAATAAAAGCTCCTGCGTGTTGAAAGCATCTTCCCCACAGCCTTTTTCAGATATGTTGCAATCTTGAGGGAAAATATATCTAATAATTGCTCTGACATGGTTTGCAATGTTCAAATCATTTGCAAAAATAAAAGCAAGAAACAAGCGAACCCATGTTTTTCCTTTTAGCAATCGATTAGAAAAAGGTAGCACAAGCTGTCAAAATAAAAGCTTCACTTTGCAGTGTTTGACCTCTCATATATATATATTAATATATAACATTTTCCCCTCTTCTATAAGCTACATCACAGTGGCACACATGGAGACAAATGCTCAGAAAATTAACCAAATGGTTTATATGTAACCTTTCCGAAGAAACAAAATAGCTGACAGGCATTAAGTCATTGATTTTATTTGTCCTCATTTTATCCTCCCTGATTTTGATGCATTAAAACGGACTATTTGCACACACACAAAAAAAACCAATTACAAATGCAGCCAACCAGAAAAACGTTTCACTCCTGAAGCGTTTTATATCTCTGGAGACGACACTGAATCCGAAATTGAAGCCGACCCTGAATTTCCTCATTTTCCCAAGATTTTCCCCACTTTGTTTGATTTTTATGACCTTTGAGTACAAGTCATCTGAAACTCTTGACCTTTTTATCAACGCCAAACAGACCTGGACGCATCAAAGGATTTCTCAGCACCCGAATCGCTCTTGAAGAGGAGGAAACTCGAAGCTACTTCTGAATAACCGTTAAAAATATCTATGTATGCGTGTCAGGAAGGTTGTTGGGTTCAGAGAGCAGACGAATGTCAGCAAATATTATGCACTCACTCATTGCCAAATACAAAATTAGAAAATTTGTAAATATATCTTTACCAAATCTCTCTAACTTTTCCATATGATGTCAGCGCTACCTGATCGTAAGTTGTCGAAAATGTGCCAAGCCTAAACATATTGTACAATAGCTATGGAGGAGATCATGTTTTTAATGCTTCATACCATCAAGTATACAAGACTTCAAAATAAAACATCAGTTAAATTTAAGCGGCGGGTTGAATCCAAACAGCTGAAGCACATTCTGAAGTGACAAGGAAGGCAAGAAGTGACCGAGAGTCTGAAACGTGTCCGGCGGAAAGAGAGAAAGGCTTTACATTCAGACTGCAGATGGTGTTTCTGTGCTGGTTGCAATAGTTTTTTGTTTGTTGTTGCAGTCGATGCGTGTATGGGCGGGGCAAACCCCAGATTTTCTGCCAATCTGCCCATCAGGCATCCATTTATTAGGATCTCTCACCGTTTTCGGTTTATAAATGCAAAAGAACATCGATTCACAGAAGTTCTCTCTTTTTTTTGTTTTTTAGACTAAAGTCAGATTAAAGTTTAGGGAATATCGACTTTGGCGAATAAATGCTGGCAATTCATTCAATTATAATTGGATTAAAATCTTCGCTTTCTGAAAATACAAACTTTTCACAGGCTTTTCAATTTTTATTTTTAAAGTCTTTAGAAAATGTAAAAGAAAAAAAGAACCAGTAAGAACTGGAATTGACAGGTCAGACCCTAATGAACAGAGGAAAATGACTAATCTGTCCATCTCTACTAATACTAGAACCTTGCATTAAAAACGTCTTTAATAATAAAGAGGAACAGAGAAATGGCATTAAAGTACAAAACTACGCTGAAACACAGAAACCAGTGAACAAAATTCAAATTAAAGCCACAGGTGGCTGTTTTCTCTCTTCTTTTGCTACCGAGGAAAAGAAAAAACCTGACTGGACATAATTCACGAGTAATTATCGAATAATATTTGACGAGAAGTCGCACGTGAAGAAGTGGCGGTGAACCAAAACCTCCATTTTAGAGTGAACCATTCCTTTAAAAAGTTAGGATTGTATAAAAAAAGCCCCAGCCTCAGAGTGTTTGTGTCTCTAGTGTAGAGCCATCAGGACAGGTGTGTGTGTGTGTGTTTATAGGTATTATGCAAGTATACATGTGCGATATAATACAGTACAGTCAGTGAGATGAAGACATGAAGTGAGGTATAAATACATGCCATGTCCTGTAAAAGGCTTCAGCCGATTGGTTCAAATATCTAGACGCACAGGTTAAAAAAAAAAATACCAAGAAAGGCTGTGTATAAACATCTACCATCTTTCTTTTTAATTACTTATAGTGAAAAAGTTCTACACTGAATAACTGAAATTAAATGTTAATATAACATTTTAAGTGGCAAATTTGATTTTAAGTAACCATATTTTTGGTTAAAATAGCAGTACCTTTTTTTTTTTTTTTTTTTTTTTTTTTTAACAAGCAGAGGTTAGTTTTCTACATATTTACACTACCGGCAGGGAATATATATGTACAAGTAGGTAGCAGCATTCTGGAAATCACGACTGATATGTTATGGACAAAGTCGTGTCCTCCGTGTTTTATTTTACTTCTTTTATTTGCCTCAGCTATGACTCTAGAAGCTTATTTTGCCAAATTGAATTATATCGAGTCCAGCTGAGCTCTGTTGGCTGCAGAAGCTGTTTCTAAAGACTTGAAAAGGAAGAAAAGAAACGAAAGAGCAAAAGAGAAAATGATTCGTGAAATAAAGCGCTACGTGAAGATGACGGAAAAAGGATTTAAAAGTAAGGAGAAACTGCACACACCTTCTCAACTCCCTGCAGTGAAAAACATCCCGTATTTTTTTGTTTGTTTGTTTTTGTTTGTGGCTGGCAGAGAGGCTAAAGACTTTCAGACAGTGCACCACTGACACCTTACAGTGATTGTGCACCGATTAAAACCAAAGTAAGACCACAGACTGTGCGCCCGCAGTGAAGACAAGAGTGTCTTTTATAAAAGCGTGATGTGAATGTGCAGTGGTGCACCGGAGCCAGCAGGGGGCGCTGGGAGGTTTCGCTTTAGAGAGCGGTGAGGCGGCCAGTGAGCGCAGCCTGGAGCTCCGACGGGAGGAAGACCCCCAGCTCGGTGATGATGCCCCCTGTGATGAGCTGGTGAGGCGTCACGTCAAACGCCGGGTTCCACACCTCGACACCTGCGGTCAGGAAATGGTGGCTGTTATTCTGATGTTTTCAAATCCGGCACACAATAAAAGACCCGTTAGGTTCACTTAGATGCCTGGTCTTTGCTCATTGCCAGTCTTTCCTGCACTCGGTTGCTGTTCGAGTTCCTTCGTTTAATTCGGTTTACAGGAACGTTTTCTGAGATTTAGTGACTGGCTAACTTACCTGAAGACAGGTAAAACAAAAGACGTAAATCGGGAGAAACCCATCAAATGTCGAGCGGTCTCAACTCGTATTCTCACCCGAAACCAGGAGGCATTGCAGTTTTCTGGCTGATCACCAATTATCGATCTTTTAAAATCTGACTGGTCCATCATGATTTTGACAAATACCATTTTTTTTTTGGAGTATGAAAAGTTGCTAAACGTGGCAAAAAAGTTGCTAAATTGGCAACAGTGGGGTGACTGTTCATTTTAAAACTGCAATTGTAACATGACTGTCAGAAAAGATAAAGCACCAGTTTGACACTCGCAGTCCGTTGTCCTTCTTGAAGCTGGTGCATTATCGTGATGTCAGTGAAGCTTAATGAGAAAGCAATACATTTAATTGTTTGTCCTTTAAAGAAAAAAAAACAAAAACAACAACATTCCCATCTCACTGACTTAACCTCTGATGACCTCGTTAGTGCTCAACCTCATCAACGCGTTTGCTTTGTCTGCAACACGACGCCCCAGACTCGACTCAAATGTGGCGACGTTTCAAAGTCTGAGACATCAGCCAGAAAGGTCTGAGCTCAGGCTCATCCCAGACTAAATGCAGTTTGTGAATTTTGGTTCTTTTAGCTTTTGAGGCCAAACTTCCTGAGAACAGCATTTTTGGTGCTTTGTTTTGATGTTTTCAATGCAGTTCAAGAGCCACAGGTCCAGATGAGCTTGAAATGAAAGTTTTTCTACAACGAGAGATAAAAACTGGCCTGTTTTCCATTTTTGACTGAGTGTGCACTCAGTCAGCAAGTCAATATCCTGTAGTTTGATGGCTAAAATGCAACATTTTGCTAGAAAAGGTTAACAAATCAAAGGAAGAACGTCCAACTGATAAATAAATGTGGAAACGGCTGCCTTCATTAAGAATCAGATCTTTAAAAAGCAACTTTTCTCTCTCAGTATTTTTTCCATACATACTGACATAAAAGCAAACTCCTTCATTTTTGTCAAAGGCGCTCAAACGTTTCCCTGACAAAAAAAGTCCTGCGATACAAAACAGATTATATGAAAGTAAAACAGAATTTTAGACCCGTGATTAACATGTTTAAGGGCTGCCTTACTTTTTAAAAATGAATAGAAGACATTTTAAGGCCTTAATTTCAGACTTAATTAATTATAGACTTCAGGACACCCTGTTAACTGACAGGCGAGTTGAGAGGTTCGCGTTTCCTACCAGGCGCGGCGATGGGGACTCCGTTTATACTGGTGAGCTCCTCAGGGGGCCGCACTTCGATGATGATGTCCCGCCCGCTCTCCAGGCTCAGGTCGCACGACGTGCTGGGCGCAGCCACGTAGAAAGGGATCCCATGGTGCTTTGCGGCGATGGCCAGCTGGTACGTGCCCACCTTGTTGGCCGTGTCACCGTTAGCGACGACTCGGTCAGCGCCCACCACCACAGCTGGGGGGAGGGGGACAGAAAGGTTGAGGGGACGTCATGGGGCGAAAGACGGCGTCCTCCAGAGTCCTACCTGTGATGTCCATTTCCCTCATGGTGAGGGCCGCCATGCTGTCCGTGATGAGCGTGGCGGGGATGCCCTCTGCCACCGCCTCGTACGCCGTCAGCCTGGAGCCCTGGTTGTACGGCCTCGTCTCCGTGCAGTAGACGCGCTTCAGCCGGCCCAGACCGTGGAGGCTCCTCACCACGCCTGCACACAGAACCGCCGTTACAGACGGAAACGTCCACCGTCTTCACTCCCCGTCGGGTCCCAAGCGCCTCCCTCACCGAGCGCCGTCCCGTATCCGGCCGTGGCCAGCGAGCCGGTGTTGCAGTGCGTGAGGACGGTGACGGAGTCCCTCGGGACGCCCGACAGGATGTGCTGGGCTCCATAGTTACCGATCTTCTTGTTGTCGTTGACGTCGCGCTCCAACATGTCTTCGATCCAGGAAATGACACTGCAGGGTGAAAGTATGACCGACGTCGTTTTCTTAAAATGGAAAATATTTAGCATCATGTAGCCTACTCGTCTTTTCACAGCCAAACTTTTATAATAATTTATTTGGTCTTGTCTTGAAAAGTTGACTTGAAAAGTGTTTTGAAAGAAATTTTTGCCAAATCCTGTTTTCACAAGACAATAAATTTGTAAATTAGAGTCTGCTCTTTTAATACAGCAAATGTGCAACATCTTTTTCAAGTTTTGGATCTATGATGAATAACATCCCTTTCCTACAAAAACAAAACAAATAAACACTTAACTAGAGTGTTAAGTGTTTATTAAAACCTTACAAACTGCTTCAGGTGAAACAGTTACTACTAAAAATGGATCCACATAACCACTGCCCGTTTCTGTGGGTGTTGAACCAAACGCAAAGCAGCACAAACTGCTTGCAACGACACAATTACAAGGGATTCGTCAGGGAAAAAAATGCGCCTGTAAAATAACTGGAATGGATTTACTCGCAAGTGAGAAAGAGAGATTTTTATTTTTCTAACTGAAGCAGATCTGATCTGCTGTGGCCCACAAATCATCTGCAGCTGACATTTCTTGTGGCAATTACAAATTTCTTTTTGTGGCAAGTGGAATGCTCACAGCAACCAATTTGCGATTAAAAAAAAAAAAAGTCTGGTAACATTAACAGTTTTTTTTCTCTTCAAACTCACACCTGGAGCTGGTGCTGAATGTTAAAGCAGCAGCTACTTTAGGAGAGTCCAGGAAGGTGAAAGCTGGGGTTGAATAATTTCGCACTAAAGTTCAGTTCTGCTGGTTTCACAAAACTGTGCGGTGTGATTTCAGGTTTTATTTTTGCAGATTTTCAGGATCCTGAAGGGTTTTTTTTCTTCAAGTGTTAAGTAGGCTGGATGACAAATCGATTTCAGTTCAATTCAAAAATACTTCATCACAAAAAAGGGAAATTAAATGCAATCACTAAACCAATTCATCAATTTTTTTGTTTCTTAAAGATCTAATTTTTGGAAAATCTGTATTTTTTTTTTTACTAATGCCCTCCTTGTGTTTCTGTAGTTCAGAGTGACGTCAGCTCGCCAAGCACGCCATCTTGTTGGCGACAAGCTTCCCTTTATTTGGATTTTGAGTGAAGCTCAACTCTGCAGCAGAGTCTGAGGTTGGAGGATTTACAGCCCACCCAATAGGTCCTGATATATCGCCACAGAAAACAATCAGCGGGGTAAAACACCACCAGGGGCCTCATGCATAAAAGAGGGCGCAGTTTTCACACTAAAACTTGGAGTACGGAAAAATCTAGAAAAGTGTGGCACACAAAAACATTCGCTCCTAAACCATCATCAACATTTCCCAGCTGATCAATATGATCAATTGCTCCCTCTGAATTCTTCCATTGGCGATGTTCTCCGTCAGAGCCAAAGCGCTCCACAATGACGCGGCTCACCTTTACGCAACTACTTGAATGCGTGAGATTATTCACACCTTGATCACCTTAAAAATGATCAAACCTGCTGATTATTTTTGATCTGCAGGTTTGAGTTAATCTGCTGATCCAACCCTGTTTTCTTTTTCAGTTAGAATGAATGATCCCATAGAGGCATTTTATGCGCTTCGGCGCACGGACCAATGCGTTACATCTTTATGAGACAAAAACTGAGAAAAAACACTATTTACATTCGAGCGAGGTTTTCACATACTTTTATTTTGTGTGCGTGTTTATTGTCTGAGGATGAATGTGGTTCAGTTTCATCGTTTTCGTTTAAACAATAAAATATTAAAATAAAAAAAAACATCGAGTTTGATGCTTCTTGGTCTAAATGACACTGCATGGAGTCAGACTTCTGTGTGTTTAGGTGAGTTTTGACGTTTTGTGGTTTGATATTGTCTACAGAAAAACTTTTCGTGGCTGCCGCACATTTTCACGCCAGCAAAAAAGAGTGTGCATATTTTCACAAACTTTGGCGCAAAGTTAATTTTTGTACATGCCAACTTGTGCGTGAAATATGAGGCGCCAGGTTTCTGCGTGAGAAAGTGCGCGACAAAGGACTCGTCTGGGACGCCTGCCTACCTTTCCCTGAGCTGCTCCGAGTTCTTCTCCATGCTCTCGTTCTCGGCGAACTCCATCAGCTCGCGGGCGGCTCGGCCCATGTTGACGGCCGTGGGCCTGGCCGAAGTGAGGTGACACAGAGACTCCCTGATGAAGGTCACGGGGTCGTCGCCCCCGGCGCCCGCCCGCAGCTCCACGGCCAGGCTGAGGCAGCCCACGATGGCGATGGCTGGAGCTCCGCGCACCTGGACGGGGAGGGAGAAGTCGGTCGTCACGCTCAGCCTGAGAGATTCAGCTACGCGTTGGTCAGAGTGGCAGCGGGGCGATCAGAAAAATCTGCCTTTACCGTGTTGAAAGGTTAGCATGTCTGTAAAGCAGCAGGTTGCAGGCTAGGTGAGCAGCAGAGAGATCGACTGATAAAAGCTAAAATCAGTTCCCAGTTTTACTCCATTAAAGAGAGAAAAAAAAGGTTGACATCCTGCACAATAAGCATTTAAAACTTTGTTTAGTGGGTTTTTAATCCCCAGGTTTTTTTATTTTATTTTCTTAAGTCACAGCAGCAAAGACAACATAAATTTAATCAGTAACACTGTTGGACATTTTAAATGGCGAGATCAAGCAATGCAATTGACATACGGGCATTCAGATCGTTTCATGCAGTTTCGTCTTTAGTCGTGCTAAGGCTGTGACAATGTGGCATTTTTAGTTCAGGTTACCAACCCAGTGGAACAGAATTAAATCTGGGGTCTTTCCAATTACTATTCATGTGGGCAGTTCATGAAACACTCCTTGATATCAGCATATTCAAAGGTCAAGCCATCATTTATCTAACATTACGTAGACAAATGGTGAACATAGTAGATCACTTTGGCAGTCTTAGGAGACGATGCAAGGTGGAAAAGGTGACGTTAGACATCTGACTAAATTAGCGCCTACACAGGAAGTTAATTAACTTTAGTTATTCAGATCAAAAAGCAGAAATTGTGTGGATTCGCTACGCACAGGATGATATACATATATTTCAAGGTTTCAATTAGTTTGGATAGCGAGTTAATATCCAAAATTCAACATAGATAATGTAAGAACAATAAAACTTTTTTTAAAATTTAATTTCAGGATCACTGAGAAAGTATGTCTGTGTGCCAAACCTCCAGACTGTGGAAGATAAATTTAAAGTTAAATATAAGATATACTCCCCTCTGAAAAATTTAATTAGGTCACTGAGTCACAGTTTGGTCACAGTTCAAGTTCATGTCCCGGATATGTCGAGAAGCTCCCTCAAACTTTAGAACGGCCTTCACTCCACAACCCTCTCATAACTGCAGTTATTCCTATCGCTGGCGCACTCTTTTTTTCTACCACTCAACTTTCCTTTGCTATGTCTACACACAGTGCTCCAAAAGTCCATGTTACCAATGTACTTTGGCGACTTGCTGAATGTGTCATAAGCAATACAACACATTACAATGATTATCTGTCCCAGTCACCAAAAAAAAAAAACGGACCAGAAACAAATCTTCACCAGCATGTCACTCGGAGGCATTTCTGATGTATTAAAATGCACCTGAGTGAGATCGCTCCAGGCTCCTGCCCCACTCCTCGGTTCCGCCCACCCAGAGCCGGAGACAAAAGAGGGAAGAACTGCTGCGCTTTAATTCAGACTAAAAATTAAAAAAAAGAAATGAAAATCTCCGGGAACTTCTATGTCACGCATTCACTGTCGCATTTTCATGCATCTCGGGAACGCAACAACAACAACAACAAAAAACGTACAAATGGACCAGCTGGAGGTGTCATTGAATGCAGCACGGGGGGAAAAAAAATCCCTAGCTAAGGTCATTAATAATTCATCAATAATCTCTCCCAAAGAAAGGGGGAGAAGGATGGCTTCAAAGCACTTGATCAAAAAATAATAATAATAAAAATCATAAACTATGAATGGAGGGGAAGGTATCTGTAGCAGCTGCGGCTTCAGGTGACCAACAACAACAACAACAACAACAAGGAGGAGAAGAAGAAGAAGAAGAAGATATGGCCGAGGCCGTCAGAGACACATGTGAGCACAAAAGAGCAGACACCAGGTGCGCACGCAGCCTACCTTCATGGACTTGATGGCCTCGTAGGCGCCCTGCACGGAGCGGACGTCCTCATACACGGTCTGGTGCGGCAGCAGCAGCTGGTTGAGGATCTGCAGAGAACCGGACCGGTAGCGGATCGCTTCCAGCGTCATGACCGAACAGAAGAAGGAGGACGGCAATGGAGGAGGAGGAGGAGGAGGAAGAGCAGGAGAAGGGGGTGTCGGGGGAGATACACGCTCTTGTCACGTTCAGGTTCTTGCACAGGCGCGCGCGCACACGCTGAGTCTCTCCGTGTCGGAACGAATCCACGCTGAAGTGACCGCGGCCTGGCGGAGGAAGAGGAGGAGGAGGAGGAGGAAGAGGGGTGGGGGAGGCAAGAGTAGCAAGACGGGAAGGAGAGAGAGAGAGAGAGAAAAAGCAGCAGCAGCAGGAGATCTCCTCTATCTGTCGAGCAGCAATGAAAGCCAGAGTTGCAGGCAGGACTGGAGCCCTCCACGCACCGACAGGAACTGACGGCGGACACGGAACCACGTGTTCAGCCGAGCAGGAAGACCTCGGCTCCGGATCCACGCCCACCAGATTCCCGCTGGTTGTCCAATTGTTGTTGTTGTTGTTGTTTTTTTTTTATATCAAGCTGCTCTTCTCCCGGCTGCACCATCACACACGCCCCCATCCCCCACCACCTTTTGTCTGGGGAAATTTCACACTCACTCAAAGAACCAGCAGCAGCCCCCTTCCTCCCTCCCCCACACCACAGTGGGTCTGATAAAACGAGTCTATTATTGGTTCAGATCTTATTGTTTTGGCCCACTGCTTCTGTGCGAGATCATAAGAAGAATATTACTTCCAATAATAAGGAATATCAGAGAAACAAACCAGCATATGGTATGTTTTTTTGGTCCCGACAATGTCCAAGTTTTAAACAAATTTAGTGATGCACAAGGGATAAAATACAATCAGCGACTGCAAAATCGGCAGCAAATATGGACAGTGGCTGAAAAATAATCAAGTAATGACGAAAAAGAGTTTTAAAGATGGGAGTTAAAATAACCAGCAATCTGTGCAGCAGCTCCAGTTTACAAAGGAAGCTGGAAACGTTCAGAAGCTAATCTGACTGATGGTGCAAGAGCCCATGCAAGTAAATGAGCCCTGAAAAAATGGACGAAAATTTTAAACCGTATCCTGAACTGGTGGAGAAAAACGTAAACAAGAGTGGAACATCGATCAATGTTTTCCACAGAGCCATCCGTGTGAAAGCATGTAAAAAAAAAAATACAAAACCAAAAACCGAATGTACTGATCAATAAAATTAGATTTCCCTTTAGCTAAAAGAAATTAAAAATCAGGACAAGAGAATTTTTTTATTTCACCGTTTTATTTGTTTTAAAACCAAAGTCATACATTAAATCATAAAGCCTGAAGAATCAGGAACATTCCTACTTTTGAGCTGCACTGATAACCAAAACCTGGAATATATAAATAGAGCAACTTAGTTAGTGAAAAAAAAAAAAAGATTTATACTGACTGCCCTTTCATGACTTAAAAGAAAAAACGACAATCGTGGTTTTACGAACAGAGGAATGAGTTTCATACAGTTCGTTTAACAAAAGGAAAAAACAAAACAAAATGAGAAACAAGCTTTTAAGGACCAAACAATTAGTGTGAGAATGTGTGTGTGTGTGTGTGTGTGTGTGAGTGTGTGTGTTTAGCATGGTATAAAACCAGGAGAGGAGCGCGAATCATCAGCAGGACACATTTTCACCGCTGTCTTTCTTTTTGCTGTCCCATCACCATGAATGCTGATGAGCTTGTTGCCATGAAAACAGGATAGCTACGGAGGCCAGGAGGTCACATGAGGTCACATGAGGTCACATGAGGAATGCAGTGATTGTTCGGGATAATATGGGCTTTATATAAAACGGTGAAATGTTCCCGGTTTCAGGATCAGAGGCCATGTTTTAAATTGCTTTATTCTTATCGTTTTCTGTTTTTAACCTTCTGAAGGATCTACTGACATCTCAAAATGCATCACATATTTATTTGTATTAATTTTACTATCATAGCGGCATTGACATGACGCTACATGACGCTGCAACGAAGCCATAATGAGGCATCAAAAGCAGTTTTAGCCCAGAAAAAAAAACCCAAAACAAACTTTCCCAAAGCGCTACATGAGCTCTGATTGAACTCAAGCAAATTTAGAAAACAGCGTTTTAGCTACAGTTCATCATGGTTGATGCATCTTGGTTTTGAATTTTGGAGAAGACATTGCTTTGTGCGTTTTTCCTTTTCATTAGGACACGACGACTTTTAAGACAACAAAAACAGAGCATCAACTCCACCATCTAACACGGACGCTACTAAAATAAATCCCACATCCGAGCAAACGGATGTGAGATTTGAGTGCAGTCACCCAAAGTATGGAGACTCTTGCTAAATGTGAAGCATCGAGTCTATCAGTAACCCTACAAATGCACAGTCACGGTCAAAATAATGCTCAATATAAATAAGCACGAAGGTTTTGGCTTTTAGAGATGCACCTGAAGAGTTCCTTCAACGTGGTGAAACTCTCACACAACCTCAAAACAACTATTTCTGTCCAGGAATCCTTCTGAAACACTTTGGAAACAGTCAAGCACGGTGGTGGCAGAATCATGGTGACAGTATGCTTTTCTACGAGTTGTATTGGCGTACCGCTTCTTTGCAGGTCGCCAAAAATAATTTACGAGGGCATATGAACATATTTGTTCCCGTCTGTTCAACGTATGACCCTTATGATTTAGAGAAAATCCACAAAAAATTCCAACTTGTGCTCAAAATTATTCTACACTGGCAAAAACACTTTAATTAAAAAAAGAAAAAAGAAAGAAAAAACAACCTAAATCAACACGTGTCACATGAGTATTATGAGAGCAGACGCGCTTCTAATCTGACAATGTGAAAGAAAACCAACCTGTGACCTGACCTCTGGCTCGCTCTTCTATTTCTGCGATGCAAAAAACTTTAAGGAAGACCTTTGAACACAGCCGATCCATTGAGCCTGCATTAATACTAGTCAAAGTCACAGCATCTAAATCTCTCCCAATGTAGAGCTTTTCAGATTAATCAACATTTAAACTGCACTGCTGCATGCATGCGTCAGAGCGAAGCATCAACGCCGTCGCTTTTTGCTCGAAACAAGCGTTTAAATGTCTTTAAAGTTAGCTGCGCCACCCTGGAGTGAATGGAAATCAGCAGCTTTGTGAACAGACCGCCTTTGTCATTTAATGGCCATCTCAAGCTATGCAACTGAAAACGTTTATCCAAGTTTAGGGAGATTTCCGAGCGCCGACTTTTAACAGGGATTATTTGAGCAATTACCTCATCGCACCGACACAAAGCCTCCCCGGGGTCAGACCTCTCAGCGTTGGCTGTGCTGCTGCCAGCGGTCTCAGCTGGACGCGGTCTCAGCTGGACGCGGTCTGGCTTCCGCAAAACGCCACCACAGAAACCAGCGGCAAAAGATGCAGCAGCTGCTCGTGGTTTCCTAATAGACAGCTGGAAGAATGAATTGTTGTTTGACAGCGTGAACACATTCAAGCTGGGATAAGCCTCCGAAAGCAGTTCCAGCAGTTAATGAGGGAGCTTTCATTTGAGGGTTTTGATTCTGCGCCTTTTTGGGGACATGTGTCTACCAGGGCTGAAGTATGACAACATGCAGCGTTAACGCTTAAAGCAAGCAGAGTTTTAGTACTTCCTGTAGCCATCAACAATGTTGGCTTGACAAGTGACTGCCCTTCTTGGAGGAAATGCCTAGAGGAGCTTTTGAGCAAAGTCCACCTACATTCAATGCTTCGATACCGGGGCTTTGGAAATGTCGCCCAGGAAGATTTATGTCAGCAGTTCAAACACAGTTTCAATGTGACTTTGGCATTACTGTCTTGCTGGAATACGACTATCTAAATTTTAACCATCTGACCCAAACCGACATTTTAGGAGGTAGAGGAAGAACCCAAGAACCACCAAGACTCATCCCCATCATAAGAGAGACCAGAGTCACTTCCCACACTACTGGCCACTGCTTCAAAACCCACACCTTTAAACTGGCCCAAATCATCAGCCAGGTGTCCAACCAACAGGACCAAGATCCCAAACAAATCAAAACTGACTTTGGACCGGACGAAGCGGGATCTAGCACGGTCTAAACGTCAGTCCTACAGAACATTAGCGGCTACCTAAAGCTGGTCTGAGCAGGAAACCACAAAATAAAAAAAATTAAATATAGGTTTTCCACAATGAAACTGGGAAGTTTGTATTTTCATATTTGAGACCATCTGACCATTTCTAAATAAAAAAATAAAAAAATAATAAATAAAATCACAACAAATTCCAACTTCTGGTTTTTAAAAACCAGAATAGAAAGGAAAGACTAAAATAAATCAGTAAAATGTCAAACTGAATGACATCCACGCTGAAGATGAGCATAATGTGCAAGGCTGGGCTGGCAGACGTAGATTTAAACAAGCTTTTAATTTTACCGACATGCTTCTTCACATTCTGCAGCGCCGCAGCCAGAGTACAGACACAGAAAAGGAAGTAGATTAAAAAAAAAATAAAAAAATGAGGGTGATGGTGTGGAGGATTCAAAACTCACCACAGTAATAATCCCAATAACAATTGATGGAAATTACTGTGTGAGAAGTTTGACTGCTGCAAAGCCCATAAGGATTTTTTTTAAAGAGGAAAAAATTATTTTTGACATGACATGTTTAATAAAATGTAAATTAAATACAAAAAATATTATAGTCGAAATCGATACTCCCCTTTTGCACTGTTTTGTTGTATTTTAAATCTTCTTGGTTGAAGGAAAATCATTTTGGATTGAAATTTTTGGATTAAAATTTCTGGGCGGTATAAATAATTTTGGGCTTCAGACTGGAACCACACGAGGAAAAGACCTGAAAACACTTCAGCCGATGGAGGAGGAACCCAAACTCCTCTTCCTGCCTCCCTCTAACACCGACTCAACGTCTTCTAGTCACCTCCTTGGTGACTCACAAACTAATCCCTCATTATGGGATGTAAGCACAGGCACCCAGAAGCCCCGTTTTCTTTTTATTCCCCTTTAAGTTTTCTTTCCTCCCCGTATGGAAACCCTCCAAACAGGACAGATTACTGTAATCTGGGAACACTGGTGCAGACAGATTAGATTAAGCTCATTACACAGGGAAAATGCTGCAAGAAAGGGTTAATTCCACCCCAATCCACTGGTTCAATGCACCTCAGGTCATACACACACACACACAAATATATATACCAGTATACATATATTTATGTATATTTGTTCATTTGAGAACACCAAAAAAGCTGGTATGATACATCAAACATAAAATCCCTACATAGATTTTCTCCCACATCGTTAAAAAAATGATTGCAAATTTCTGTAGTGTTTCTTTGAATAAGTGCAAGTGATTCAGCACGTCCTTCTCCCCCATCATGCCTCTAAATGATTCCTTTAACATCCGCCTCCCTTGGTAGTTACAGCCCACATGGTGAACAGGTCATACAGACAGACAGAGGAAGGAGAGGTTGGGTCATGCAGTGGTCTTGGACACGACATCGTCACGCTTAAGGTGCGTTCTGCAGCGTCGGTGTGCAGGAGCGTGAATGAGAGAGATAACAGTACTGCAGCCAAGTCTCCACCTCACTGTTCTTTCACCCGGTGCGTTTTCGTTTTAGGGATTCCAGCTGAACGACGAGAAACAAAGCGTAACTACATATATTTGACTCACAGTGCAACAAAGAGGAACAAGTTTTATTCAACTGGTACCTCAATCTCTACCATCTTCATCCTTCCCAGGGCATCCTTTGCGGCTTCCTATGGGGAACAAAAATAAAAAAAATGGAGAATGAAATTGTTTTCCAGGGGAAAAAAGAAAACAATCTGAGTGCCCCGACCCGCCCACACTCACCCTGTTGCCTTGGCTGGAGTATTTTTTCACAGACTCAGAAAGTCCTTGGACGAAGCGCAGCAGCACGTGTTCATACTCTGCACATATTGTGAAAACACGGGGAGCGTAATTAAAAATATCGGCATGATTAAACATTACAGTCACAACATGCAAACGCACTCATCAAGACATGGATGTGATGGCAAAACTAGATGTTTGAAATAAATAAATAATGCAGTGTCTCTCAAATGCATTTGAGCCCTTAAACATTTACAGATTTGTCACACTGAAGCAAATTTTGAGGATTTTTACCATGGTTTCTCCAGGTTTCATCAACTCAAACGTAAGACTTTTTAATTCTGGTATGAACGCTCCATACTAGTCAACCTTTTTTTAAGACCTATATCTCTACAGGAACGTACAAACTTTGTCCAGCCAAAAATTATCACTTGCAAAAAAAGCTATGCAGCTAATACACCCAGGCTAGGTATGTTAGCAGTCAGTTAGCAATAGCTTTAATTGTCTGGAGTCACAGAATCAAATGGAAATTGTCTGCGTGCGACTCAAATGTTTGCCTGACAGAAAAATCATGCTAAAAAATAAAAACATAAAATATGGAAAATTAAGACAACATTTAAGACACATTAACATACCTCATATTAATGCTAAACTTACTTTTTAAAAATGAATTGAAGACATTTTAAGGCCTTCATTTTAGATTCCATGTGACATACCTATGCTATGATACCGAGGCTACTGCATTAACGACTTTCATATTCATGCAGCTAAAAAAAATTATAAAAATCAAGAAAACTATTAAAAATGACCCAGATATCAGTTGAAATCTTTAACTGCGCCCGACATGCAGTAGTCGGGAGTAATAATTCGGACGCAGCTCGATCGTTTCTGCTGATCTGAGACCTGGCGTGGGGCGACTGCAACCTTCGCTCACGTCCCGAATTAGAAATCCTGGAATGAGCGTGAAAGTGACCGAGCACAAGCTTCGGAAAGACGCTACGCACACAGAATGAAATTATTTAACACCTAAAGCCGTAAGATGAGTCTGATGCGCATGGAGATGAGTGTGCGGATAAACCTTTGAGCAATGAATCTGAACCTGCACTACCTGTCAGCAGAGCCGGAGAGGCTCGCTCCAGCTGAGCTTTCTGCCAGCGCAGCCTGTGCGTGACCTCTTTGTGTTGATGAATGAGGTCAGGCGGGGGATCGCGATGGTTTTTCCGGTAATCTGCAATCTGAAAGACTTCAGTGATGAGCGGGCGAGACCTCGGCTAAACAGATGTCGTGCGCACAGGCTCGGATTACACAAACCTTCCTCTCCAGCCGCTCCTTGTCGTAGTTGAGGAGGCTGAAGCTGTGGAGTTTGTACTGCGGAGGAGAGCCGTCGGGGCGACCGCTTCTGCCGCTCGACTCGTGTTTGGGTTTAGACGGAGGAGATGGAGCCTTACAGGGACAGAGGAAAAGCAAACCCGGCTCATCAACATGGATTATCCTCGGATACTTGTAAGTTATTTCCGTTTAGAGGTGATCAGTAATAGTGAACCGTGGTCGATACAGTCCAGCACATGCAAACAAAGTCAGTTTGAGGAAAAGTATAAAAAAAAAACAACCATTTCTCATATTCTGGACGCTGAACGTTAGTGTAAACTTTGCTAGACTCAGGTTGACGATTTCTGCAGGAGGGATTGTTGCAGATATTCACCAGCTGCCCTGGTTTGATAAGCTATTAGTGATCTAATTCCCATACATCTTCTCTCTGACATCATGGCACTTTGTCTCTTCTCCAAGATATTCGTTCTAGCGCCACATTAAAAAATGTTGGCGCGTGAAGCAAAAGCCTTTGCGTTTTATTGATTCTTAAATGATCCGGTCGGGCAAACTGTGAGCTACTCACTCGCTCCTTTTGCCTCCCCGGAGGAGAAAGCGGCGACACCGGCTCCAGAACGAACCACTTCTCCGTCGTCGGCCGCAGCTCCACTCCTGAGAGAGGCTCTCTGATCTTCACCCTCACCTCCAGCTTCCCCCCAGTAGCTTTACGGCCATCCATCACCTGTCCAGACACACCAGCTCTCAGAGAGAATCGATGCAAATGCTTGTGTGAACCGTGCGTTTGATCATTAATGCTTACTTCTATGATCTCTCTGATTTCACAGTGGTTCTCTAGAGCCTCTAGTTTCAGCTGCGCAGTGCCTACTGCTCTATCCGTCTTGAACAGCCCTCTAGAGAGTAAATGGCAAAAGACACAACATGCATTGATCGGTGAAGAATAGGAATGCAGCTTCCGACCTTTCTGGAAACCTCCCGTTGAGGCTGAAGCAGAACTTTTAAGAGCTTCTAAATCATCTCCTACTAAATGTTGAATCGGTTTCCTCTGTTTTTTACATTTAATTACTGCATTGACAGCAAGTCTTTGCATGCCTTAGCCAAGCCTTGATTGTGTTGTTCATCCTAAAAGGGAGGGTTTCTTATCCACGGATGCCATTTCTGTGAGCAGTTTAGTGATAGAAATTGCAGCTTTTTATGTGACTTAGTTATAAAGAAGCGCATTATAAATGTGCGAATGTTCTTCAAGAGCAGGATTTGTTGGGCTATAATCGCTTTGTCATGCAGTCACAACCATACGGCTACCTAAAAATGAAGTCATAAAGGGCTCATAGTGTCACTTTTATTGTTATCACAACAGTACCACAAAACTTTAAGTCCATATTGGCCCACCTCTAATCCAACCAGATGATGCTCTTAGTGCAGATGAGGTCTGAATTAAAGCAGAGATTAGATGTGGCTTCAGAAGCTGAAACAATCCGCTAATCAATATTTGTTCTTATTTTGAATATTTATCTGAGTCGCATCAGCCGTTTTGCATCCTGGGGTCTCTTTGTTTTAGCTTGTTTCTAGTCAGTTTTATTAAAGTCAGTGCTTTTTTTATTCAGTTGCATGTATTTCATTGAGTAGTGTATTTTTTTCCTGACATTTCGATGACGCTGTGAGTAGTTTTACCCCTTGTGGACGACTTCAAACTTGATGCCTTTGGACTGAACAACCCGTTTGAATCCTCTGTGGGTTCGGTTAATGTTGAGTCTGAACTGCTCTTTGAACTCTGGACTGCTGCTGTTCTTCACCGTGCCGGTTTTGTCCCTCTGGGCGTCCTCCTACACACAAAACGCACCGTTCAGCACAGACGCGCGCAGCCAACACCGACGAAACACAACCGGGCGAGAAAAAGACGGCGCCTCACCGAGCTGGGGAAGGGAAATTCGAATTTTACGCTGGCGTCCAGATCATTAGGAGAGACGCCTGTGGAGTCAAGAGTTCGGTGTGAATGGCCTCAGATTTACCAGGTCACGAAGCGCTGACCTCGAAGGCGCATACGTCCTCCGTACCTGATGGAGCGGGCAGGTTGATGCCTCGGATGATGTACAGTACCAGGTCACTGGGAGATAGGTCGGAGTTGATCCTGTGTGATGGAAAAACAACCAATCAGGATAAAAGCCAAATAATTTTGCCTGTTTTATGAGTCACGCAGCTTTTAGCTTGATATCATGCTGGAACAGAGATGCACTGAGTCACAATGAGTCACTCTGACTCATCTCCCAAAGCAGTCCATTTCCAGGACCAAAACATATTTCACTAAATTAAAACCATGCTTCATTGGAAGACAAATAAATTACATCAAACCAAATTAAATGGCATATTTTCATCTGTTTCCGGCATATTTATCTAATTTAACTTAAATCTATGTCCATCTCACTGTATAGAAAATTACAACATATTTGTTATACAAACTATGAATAGTCTCTTTGGGAAACTAATCCCAAGATGGATGCAACCTCAAGGATCCCAGTGATCACTCCTTAAATATAAAAAAGAGAGTAAAATCTGCTTGGGATTAAACTGATTTACTTTGCAGAGTTGAAGGTTCTCTCCTGGGTGAGGCACTTGGGGACCGGGTGGCCCTTGGTGTGGGCGTTCTTCAGCAGCTCTATGTACTTCATAGTCTCCTCAACCAGCTTCTCAGACCTGAGGGGAGACAGAAAGGAGGCTTTTGCACAAATACTAAGACATCTGAAGTCAGCAGAGACAGCTGTCGAAGCGCAGCGTGACAGACCGTGCTAATTGTTACACCCCAACAAGAGTGTTTGAAGATCAACGCATGATGCTTTCCAGAGTGTAAATATGAGGGAAAAAGGAGAAGTGAAAATGTTCCTTACTTCAAAGCCTCGCCTACGTTGCCCATGAGTGTGAATTGCTGAGAGAAGCCCAGACATTTCTGACACAAGAAGAAGAAGATTGTGGGTAAGAAAACATGTGGGGAAAACGTGGAGAAAATGGAAAATATCTTACAGACTTATGAAAAGATTTACAACCCAATAGCATTAAGAGCCTGGTGCACATATTTTAGAAAGTGATGTGAAGGAATGTTTATACCACAGACTTTTAAATGAAAAGGTTTTAACCTCGTGTTGCTTTCGCAGGAGATCCATGAGTGTTTGGTATTTTTCACTGGAGCGAGGAGAGGCCCGGGAACGGCCCAGCGAATAATCCTCCTCACTCACCGGAGCGCTTGGAATCTGATCCAAAGCAGGGAGGAAATGTGATGAAAGTCTTTTTAAAAAAGAAACATCAATCTCCAAAAACAGTAGAGTAACGAACACGACTCAAACTAAACAGCACTAAATCTGTAGTGTACATGTTCTTACCACATGGGCCAAAACTGTTGAAAATACTTGAGGGCTGCAGACATTTAAAAAGGTTTTACTTCTTTTTAGTGTCTTGAAGTAGAACATGTTTGTTTATTCTCAGCACCAAGAACAAGATATAAGTCACAAGTTCCAGTATTAAGCCTAGTTTAATGAATGGCGGCAATCAAGTCTGCTTTTGAACAAAATTTCTGGATGTCTATCAACATATTTCCTATGCAAACCAAACAAAATGGGTTATTGAAAGACAAATACTTTGTGTCGTGTCTAAACCTTTCAATTTGGAAAATTTGGTTTGTCTGCCTCTTGTCTGAAAGGCCTCTCACATCAGTAAAAAAAACAACATATATCAGAGATACCCCTCTGCAGAGATACCAAAATACTGGCAATCAAGTAGTTTAACACACAAGCCACTGCACTATCCAAGCTACAACTTTTTTATTTGCAACACGTCACGGTATCTTTGAACTCTATTCACATATAGTTTTTTTTTTTCTGTTGGTTTGAAGTGAGGATCCGGTTTGACATCTGTGTGACGTCCCGTTGATAATGAGACAAACAAAAACACAATATTCTGGGGAAATCCATGGAGGGGCTGAGTCAGACAAATCAATAGGTTATATGAAGCATAGCTGAATAAAACAGTCGGATATGAATTAAAGAAAAAAGAAAATCACTTGGGATGAAAGGTGGAATAATAATGTATGACTGATGACGACAGATACAGAAAACCTAAGTCTAAAAAGGTCTCGCTTTCCGCCATCTTGTTACAATTTTGCATTGAGTGCAGCTGTAAGAATTATGAGCCAAAGCCAATATAACCTTTGTGATGTCAACAGGAAGGCCAGACTTTGCAGCCGTAACCATGGGTTCCAGTCCTTTGGCGTGTCTGAGGTGCTGTGCTGCTCCCGTCATATCCTGAAAACGACCAACTTATGTGAATACACCCGTTGCCGCACAGCAGACTGTCAAAAACAGGCAACAAAACGTCCACAAACAGCAGAGAAACACCAAACAGGTGGGGAAAAGAATAAACAACCAGTAGCTCACCTTCATCTGTTTGGAGCGAAGCGCTGCGCGCAAAAAGGCCTGTCGTCTTAGCAAGAGGAAGTCCACCTGTTGCTGGGCTGAAAACGTAGTGAAAACATAAATGTGGCTTTTAGGTTTATGACACATTTCAGACATGAGCAGCACGCCGCTAAAGTATTCACACCCCAGGAACCTTTCCTCGTTTTGTCACGTTATTGGCATTTCCTGTGCTTGAGCAACCAGGAAGTAACATTCATGCCCCTTACTGTGTCACCCCTAAAGAAAATCTATTGCAAGCAGCTGCTTGCGATAGATTACACTGTGTTTAACAGAGAGTAATTTAAACTCAGTGTAAATCCAGCTGTTCAAAATAAGTTTGGTTTCAATTAAACCATTCTGTTTCCGATTCATGATGCACTGCTTTTTGTGGCAACTCGCATAAAATAAAAGTTATTAGGGCTGTAGCAATGAATCGTGATGAATCTATTACAGAAATAAAGTCGTCAATTAATTTAGCTATTAATTAATTATCACATGGAGTATACAGACTAAAAATAAGCTATTTGGTGGGGAAAAAAAAACACATTCAGAGCAGTAATTATCCCAAATCTGTACATTTTTTAATTCAAACTTAATTTTCAAAGTCAAAAACAGTTTATTGAGCCCAAAGGGAAATGAAAAATTGTTTTAGCTCTTTTAATAAAGAGGCTGTGAGCAGGAAAGATCTTCTGTAGCAGTCTGTATCACAACAAATTTAAAGATACCTCTGGCTAAAGATACTGTTTTTCTATGAGTCTCATAAAGAGGGAGCTGAAGGTTGTCCATATTTTTTTTAAACTTTTGTCTTTGCACCATCATCTCAAACGTTCCATTTAAGATTTACCCAAAATAAACTTTGTCAATATGCTTCAAATTCTTTACAGTAATGCTATGTTCCTTCATTTTTAACAATAAAATGTTCATTTCCTTATTTAAAAAAATGTGTTTTGTTTGCTTATTTGCATATTTACATGCATTTCGAATATTGTATAAAACAGCTTTAAGTAGTCAAATGAAAAATCTATAGAATATGTCACCTTTAAAATCCGACTGATTGAATAAATGACTACTAAGATAATGTTTCTCACATTAAGGCACTGCAGGTCGAACATGCAGAGTTTTGAACCAACCTTTCGGTCCCAGTTTTGGAGTTGAGGATCCTGCAGGGCCTGGGGGAGCCGGAGACTTTGCTTTCTGCACAGGTGGACGCACTGCAGGCTATAAGAACGGAAAATCATCAGACAAACCAAATACCTTCACTAACAGACGTCTGGCTGATGGGTTAAACTATAGCTTGGAATAGAGACAAATCTAACATATTGTACATTAACATGAAACGCTTGGTTCTGTAGTTACTGCTTTGTCATAATAGCTCTTAAAACAGCCAAACAATCCTGCAGTGGGTAGGAGGTGCAGAGCAGAAACAATACTGATAAAAAAAAAATCTTTCTTTGAAGCTGCAGGAGTTGAAATGGCACCAAATGAAGCTTTTCTTTCTTTAATCCACAGACAGATTTCCTGGCTACACTGGGACATTTGGGCCGTTTTGTGCAGCTCTCCATCTTTTTCATCCCCACCTTGGCAGCCTCTTTCTGTCCATCCTCATCATCGTCATCTGCGTCGGCATCCTGATTTGCTATTTTCAGAGCCGTTTCCAGGACACCTATCAGGTTCTGCTGACTCCCCTCTGAGCCCTGGAGAGGAGGACATCCTGGAGAAAACACACGCACACTCCAATAAGTTCAACAAGTCAAAGCTTAACAAATGGAGTCAAAACCTGACACAAAATATCCAGGAAGTTACCAGGAGGCACCGGGAGATCGTTCAGGTTGACAGGTCGGCCTGCGCTGTGAGCTTTGATGGCGTCCTGGTATTGCTGTTAGACAGGAAAAAAGGGAGAAAAGAATCATGGATGGTTTTGACTTAAAACAAAACTCTGGGAGGCTCGCTATTGAAAGAAAAAGGGAGGCAATCAAAACCAAAGTGGCTGACGCAAACAAATAACTCAAAATTGCAAAAAACGGCGAGTAAAAAAAAAAGAAAAAAAGAATCAAACTCATCAATACAGCCAAACCTCGGTAGAAGTCATGGAAACCCACTGAGTAGGTGGAGACTATTTCCAAGAACACATTCAAAAATAACTTGCACAAAATCCATGCAAACATCCTCACATCTGCAATAGAGTCACAAAGCAGACACAGATCCAGCCGGGTAAATCACTTTCTGCTGATACGAGATAGATCTGCACCTTGGTTCAGGTCAGGATCACTGCTGAAGTTGTTTTAGTCACAAACACAGCAGATGCAGACAAATGTATTCCTGCAGTGAGCTACAAGTCGAGACTTGACAACGCGATCCTCAAAGCTTTACAGCATCTGTCGGTTTCAGGCAGGAATCACTCTAAGATCACCTGAAGTATGTGATGTTTCATCTAAAACCAGGCAAACTGTGTTAACACAAAGAGGACCATTTGTCCAGTTGATGCGACCCAAGAGCAGATCTTCCTCTGCATGTAATTTCAGAAATAAACAGACACCTGTTTATTTCTTCAGAGCTAACTGTGAGTTCAGAGGGGAGACTCACAGTTAGCTTTGTAAATTTGCCCCAATGTATCAAAAAGGTTATATTGATAAAATAGCTAACTTTGTGGCATGTTTAAAGCAAGTGAGCTTTTAAAATGTGATTAATGTGTGCAGCTCTATTTTCACCTCCTTTAATTTAGAGAATTAAGAGAAAAAATCAACAAAACCTTGAAGATTTCTAGGAATTTTTCACACTTTTCCCTCCATTTTTCTGGTTCATCAATTTATAGTGTCCTACAATGACACTATAATCTTTCCAGTCAAATGTACACCACCAAGATACCAAGCCAACAAAACAAAAGAAAAAAAGGTCAGTCACACAGACTGTGTAAGTTTTATTTGATCCAATAGATTGATCATATGCCAAGGTGGCATCGAGGCTACCTTGATAATCCGCTGGTGCATGCGAGCTTTGCGATCGTCTCCTTTGCTCTTGGCTCCCTCTGCTGCCTGCTTGTAAATGTCCATCCTCTGCTTCAGGGCCTCTGCCACGCTGCCGGGAGCAGGAAGGTCTGCAAAGAGACACACAAATACTCATGGATGCTAAATTTTACATGATTATGTTGTTTTCACAGCTCAGAGACAACATTTGAGCTACCACTCAAACATTTAACACAGAACCCAGGCATGGCATACCTTATTTTTAAGGCATGTTTGTTAAAAATATTATCATCAACCCCGTTCCCTTTATGAAAGGTTTTGTGTTTTGTCTAGAGTATTTTTTTTCTCATCTTGCCACCTGGTGGCTAAATTCTGCAATTGATCAGAACTGATTAGATTCTTGTTCAGTTGCCATTAATGTTTTTCTGGCTAAGAGAAAATAGATTTTTTCAAATCTTATCTACTGAGAAAAAATAGAACAAAATCCTTCATCCTCTGATCAACTTTAATAAACAAACAAAAACTTTTTAAATACACTCAAATCTCACTGTGAAATTTTAGGTACATTTATTAAACGATTGTGTTTTTTTTTGTAAGAAAATAGTGAACACAAAGTATTTAAAAGGAGGATCTTACTGTTGGTGGCTATCTGGGTGGGTGCAGGAGCAGGAGCAGCAGCAGGAGCAGCAGCAGGTTTGGTAGAAGTCTGAGGAGGAACAGGCGCACTCTGCTGCACCACTGCATCTCCTGCAGATAATCAGAACAGTGCAAAAGTAAGCACTGGTTCCTTAGTAACAAAAACTTTAAGGTGGCATATTATTCTGACCACAATATTCTGAGTAAATATGAGCTAAATCAGTTAATTTATTATTTATTTAATAAGCACTGATTATAATGTAAATCAGGAGCAATGTAGGCAGGTAGGCCGTTTCATTTTATTTACTTAAGTTCAGTTCAATCATACCTGCAACTCATCACATAATGCTAAATATCTTCAGTAAATCAGACAGTACTGACTCTCAAAGACAAAGAAATCATAAAGCTTGACTGCAGCATTTAAACATGGTGATAAAAATCAACATTTATAACCAATAGCTCTGTCTAAATGAAGCCATTAATATAATTCTTCCGTGTTCATAATAACCGTAAAAGATAAAGTGTCCTGCACTGGCTCCCGTCTTCAATCCTGAATCCACAACAGAAAAGATATCTGCTCCTGTTGCCTGAACCTCAACTGAGATATTTGTCAAGTCTCTCTCATTTTAACTGCAGCGCTGCAGACTCACCTGGAGGGGGAGGTAGTGAGCTCAGCTCCATTGGTTCCCCTCGGTCCACAGCCTCCACTAGCGAGTCGAGCTTCTGCAACGATGGAGGGCAGAACACGTCGTTGACTCTCTGTAACTTTGAAGCAAACAGATCTGCCAGAGCGGCCGTGTTACCTTGGCAGTGAGGTAGTGCTGCTTGGCCAGGTTGATGTCACCGCTCTGCTTGGCCTGAATGGCAGCCATCTTATACTCCCTCTGTCTGGACAGCACGGCCCGTTTCACCTCTACAAGGAGCGAAATTATGAATACAAGTTAGTTTCCTGTCAAACAGAGAACTGTAATGGAGACTAAGTGATTCTACACAGCAGTAACATAAAATCTTACCAAGTATTTATAGTCTAGTTTCGAGTGCAAGTATATTGATACACTTGGGATGAAATAAAAACAACTTTTCAGCAAGATACAGGAGCTTGTTTGAAGTCCAAAATTCCTTAAACATGAGGAAAATATCTTGTTTTAAGAGAAAACATGTCAGTGGGACAAGTTATTTATCAATATTAAGAAATTTTCAACTTGAAACAAGCTCCTATATCTTGCTAAAAAGTTGCATGTAGGGCCCACTTAATGATCATCAGGAGATCTGATTATTTTGATGATTAATCAGATCATAAAATGGGATATTCTACAGATTTAAGTTTTTTATGCAATATCAGGCACATTTAAAATGCAAATAAACAATTAAATTTCTTTTTAAATGAAAAGGAAAAAACATTTTATTGCCCAAGATGCAACAACAGAATCCTTCAGTTGAACACTTTCTCATTTGTAGCAAAAACACATCAACATGTGAAAAGCTCAGTCCTTTCTACTTGACTTATCAATACAGTGAATAGATCTGTTGACTATTTTTTCAATTCATTGATTAATAAAATACATTTTTCACTGAATTTGAACCAGGTGAAGCTCGTCTTACATGCAAAATGTAAATATTTCTTGTACAGTTTTGGCTTAATTACCACTCTGAATACGTTGTTCTTTCAGCAAATAACTTTTTTTAACCTGGATGCTCCAGTTAACAGTTAATCGATTACTAAAAGAGTTGACGATTATTTCACCAATCAAATAGTTACTATTAATCTGGTACTTTTGAATTGGTTTGTCTTATCTCAAGCATAATAATACATTTGGACTAGAAACTAGACTAAATATACTTAGTAAGACTTGTGAAAGGTGTTCCCAGTTACCCGAGTGCCGGGCGTCAGGTTGACTGGGCGTCAGGGGGGAGATCGCAGGCGTTTCTGGGGTGATGGCAGCAGCTGGTTTTTGGGGAGGGGTCAGATGTCTCGGTTTAGTGTTCAGAGTTTCTGGCGCTGGCTCCCTCAGTGGTTTCTGATTAGAAGGAGGGGAGGGAATCAGCGCGGGCGGTTCTCGTTCCTTGACGGGTTCAGGCTCGGCTGGAGCGTTCGATTTTGCGCCAATGGCAACCGGAGGAGGAATCTCCTCTTCATTGATTGGCTTCCCTTTTTTCACAGACGTCAACATGGACTGCAACGTCTACAATTAGAGAGGACAATCATAAGCACACAGAGTCGATCTGTATATAAACTGAGAACCATAATAACATTTTTCCATTTCGTTTTATCAGTTTACCTTCAACCCTCTGTCATATCTTCGAACTTTACTAGTCTCGCCTGCGGCCTTGGCATTGGCTGTAGCCTTCTGATACATATCAAGGCGCTCCAACAGGCGAGACTCCAATCCTCCAGGAGCGCTGGGAGAAGAGACGCTCACTTTAGGAGCAGTGGAAGTGACGGCGGGGCGCGTTGGAGCAGGAGTGTCCGCCTCGTCGTCCTCCAACACTTCGTTTAATTCTGCCTGTGAAGACAGCACGAAAAAGAAATACACAAAGTAACTGATATAGTAGTTGAGTCATCATGGCAACAAAAAGGTAAATGTGGGATACTGCGAGTTATTCAAAAAGTGCCCAAAAATATGACTTAAGACCCTATTTTTAATGTCTAAAATTGATGAAAAGTGTTTGTTTTACCAACAGCTCTTCATCATCCAAATCTTCGTCTCCCATGTCGTCATCGTCCAGATCTTTCATACATAGAGCCGCCATTCGCTCAATTTCAGCCATTGGAACAGGAGCTAAAAAGAAATAATCAAAAACAAACCAAGAAGGGTTTATTGTTGAGTCAATTAATATGAATCAATGATTAACACTTTAAAGTGAGGTCACAGTCGTTGTCCTTCTCTTTGATTTTCACTGATGTTTTGTGATTTTTCCCTCTGAATTGGACATTCTTCTCTCCGTATTGATTAAACAAAGAGTTTCTTACATTTTTATTCTTTAAGAGAAATAAACTGAGTCTTGGTTTCCAAAGTTCTCTGTAATCCCTCGGGTTTGTTCGTATTTCTCCTGCTATCTCTGAATCGGTAAAATGCAAGAGAAGTACACTCACATCTTCCATCCCCTTTCTTCCCTTGTGGTCTCCCTCCTTTCCCGCCTCCTCCCACCAAACTGAGGAGCTCTGCCTCCAGGTCCTCGTCATTTCCATCATCGTCCATCCCTCCATCCGGGGTAAGGTCGAGAAGAAGCCCCATCTGAGAGGCAGACAGGAGGAGAGCCACTGAATTCATGTAAAACTAATATTCTATACATCAACAAAACATCATTTTAAATTCACATTAGACCACCCTAAGCTTTGATCGCAGCATAGATTTGATTTCAGTCAGGATCATGAACTGTTTGAATTGCTGCAGGAACTATTTTCACACTCATCCCAAAAATATCTGATGAGTTATAATATTTTTCCATGGTCCTACAATCAAATGTTTAGCACTAATAGAAAAGCAAGACTTTTTTTTATAAGTAAACCACAACCTTATTGTGCTTTCGATAAGTAGCCACACCTTTAACTTTTCCACATTTTACCAGAATATAACCATAAATGTCAAGAAATGTTATTAGGGTTTTATGTGAGCGATAAACATAAAATATGCAGTTTTTTTTTTACAATTAAAAATAAATTATGCATTTGTTCTTTACGCCTCTTTTACTCTCATATCCCAAGTTAAAATTCCAAGTTAAAATTCCTGACAAGCAGCTGATTTCAGAAATTGTCCAATTAGTTATTAGAGTCCGCCTTTGAGTATTTCAATTAAATTCTTAGTTTAGTTCAATTCAGAATATTTATACTGCACCAATTCACAACGCATCATTTCAAGTTACTTTACAAAACAAGTTATTTCAATTCAATGACACATACAGTCCAAATGATTATCAAATGGTGCATTTAGTTCAGTTTGTCATTCAGATTTGTAAACGTTTTCTATCCAACATAAAAGGTTCAAGGCGTGGAAGTAGCTTTCTGTAGGATCCACAGCTGTTCGTTCTGGCATTTTATATTTTACTGACATATTTTTTTTACATTTTTTTTTAAATCTACATTTCTGTGTTGTTTGGTGCAGTACTTTTCTACTAGACAGTTTTCACTTGGTTGACTCCAGGAGATGATTGTATTGTCTAGCAGTGAATTAACATCAGGCACAATTCACAAATTTGCTTATGGGATATGACAGGTATTACCTGTTTGGCTCTGGCTGCCCCTTGACCCCGGGGAGGAGGGTTCCTGCTGCGACTCATGGGCTGTAAACACCTGTGTAAAAAACAAAAACATAGTTAAAATAATTAAATCCCTTTGTTTGAGAAAACGCGGCAAAGAAAATGATCCAAACTGTCACATATCGTATTAGCGTCTCCACTTCTTGTTAGCTTCCAGCTAAAAGAAACCTCAGAGCTTTTGCATTTTCCGACAGGCTGTTTTTACCTTCACAGCTCGACTCAATGTCGCTTTGCTCAGCTCCGTCACTCAGATTTAAAACTCCTTCCGTACAACTTCAACCAGATGAACAGAGAGGGGCATCCCGAGGTGTACGCGCTTACTTTGAGGTGTCAAAACAAGAGCAGTAAGCCGTGTAAATGACTTCCTGTATGGCGCTTTACGGCTGGTCAAAAACACGCCCATAGTTGACGTAAAGCAGTGACGCGTGGTCCTGTTAAAGGCGCACGCAGCTCAGGTGAGCAGTTTCAGGTTGGTGAAAAAAAAGTAAAAAAAAAAAAAAAGTCCTTAACAATAAAATAATTAACAGAGAAAAAAAGATAAAATTTCGCTCGAGCTCAACCGATAACTTCATTTAAGATGCCGGTTATGTTCACGACAATTTTCCACTCAGCTAGCTAGCTAGCTAGGTGTCATTGTTTTGCTACACGCTCAAATATTTTGGTGAATATTTTCTTTCGGTGTAAATTGCTTTGTTTGCCCTAAAAAAATTATTGGATGGTGAGTAAAGTGAAATTTAAATATCTTGTTTGCGTTGTGTTGTATTCTGTCATATCTTCAAATGAATCTTTTTCTTTCTTTTAGTTGGCAAAAATGACCAAAGGGAAAACAAAGTTTAACAGCAACGATAAAAATATTTTTTAAAAAGTTTAGAGGTATTAGAGTATCTCTCAGTCCCTATCCATCAAATATGGTTTTAAACTCCAGTTAACGATTAATCGGTTATTATACTAGTTGACGATTATTTCAATAATCAATTAATTGTTTCAGCTCCACTGTCTTTGGTTGATTCGCAGTGGTTTTGTATGTTTTAAGAGGACATGGCTCCACCCCAGACTCGGTCCCTGAGGTCAAAGAAAAGGACCTGTCCAACTGATGAGTCCTCCCAGACACAGGAGGTCCAGGTTGTTCCCCTTCAAAAGGTATTTAGGACTTAAAGCGGCTTCGACTGATATTATATTTAAACAAACTGGCAAGTCAGTCTTTTTCTTTAATTATTAGGATGCAGAAGGAGATATTAAAGACGTCAATAAGATGCTGCAGCAGACTGATCTCCAAGAAAGTGCTGCAGACCCAAATATGCAGCATGAGGGAGAGGAGCGGTGCAGTCTCTCAAAAGCAGATGAAAACAACTCAGAAGAGGTAGATGCCACAGATGTCGCAAATAATGGGAAAGAAGAGACCACTGTCTGTGAGCCCAGCCATCGTTTTGAGCTGGATACCTGCTGCGAACAAACTAATGATTGTACCAACGGAAACAAAACAGGCTCAGGAGAGTGTAGCACATCTCCACGCCAACCCAACTGCGATGTTTTGGAGAAGCAAGTGATCGGAGAGGAACGCTCCAACTTGAAGAGAAGTCAAGACACCAACGACAATAAGCCCAGCTGCGGCACGGCGGACGTCAGGGAGTCGGCGGCGGGTTTACCGGCCAAGAAGAAGCGAAGGATGGGCATGTGTGGTCTGACAGAGAAGGAACGGAGTCACTTTCTACAGGCACAGCAGCAGGAGAGTGTGGAGGACGGAGCAGGGAGCGCAGGAAAAGCCATATGTGATGAAACCGCTGTGCCTTCAGCTTCAGAGGACGATGTCCCCCCAAACCATTTACCCGTCACATCTCCTCACGTCTCAGCAGACGACAGAGAGGAAAGGGAGCCTGATGATTATCAGTCAGTGTCTTTTTAATATGATATTATGCAGTGAAGAAATTAGCTTATATTACATATATCTTGAAATTATATTTTTTGAAAACGGTCCCAAAGCAACAATATTATTGTTATCACAATAACTTCTGGGACAATTTATTGTTGAGCAAAATTTGTTATTTTGACAGGCCTGCCTCAAAAGATGTTTTATTGCAGTATGCTTCATTGAGGAGTATCAGTACATAAAAGGAGCTGAATTTAAAGACATGCCGCACTGTTTATTAATAAAAGAAATGAGACAATAATGTATATTTCTATTCTGAGTAACATACACTGAACTTTGTGATTGTAAAGTAACAAAATGCAACAAGAGAACAAATGTAGACACCTTTGCAAGGCCCTTTAAATATCCTTCTTTCATTTTTACCTTAAACTTTACCTTCAATGCAGAGCTGAAACCGAAGTCCACAGTTCTGTGACCGATACGAATGGTACCGGTACCACATGTACCCCAGGACGCTCAGAGGAAAGAGATTCCGAGGCTAAAGACGGATCTCTGACTGATCCAGAACTAAATGGCAACACAGAACCAATTCAACTCGCACAGGAAGCGGAAGAGAAACATCTGGAGGACCCGCACCCACCAGGAGTCAAGGACGCCGCTCCATTGCCGGAAATCCAGACCAAAACAGAGGAAGATTTGTCACCAAGAGAACAAACGAATTCTCTCCACGCTTTCATTGCAAGGCAGCAGGAGGAAAGTGATGCTGACGCGGCTCATCCACAGATGTGCGGTGTGATCGGGGCAACAGATGAAAGCAAACTAGAGGTGACTGATGGGAATGGTGGTGAAGAAGGAGCTTCCTTTGCAGCGACTCAATCTGCAGAGTTAAACTGTGAGGCTTCACTGGCTCCCACTGCCCAAGAGACGAGTAACAGCGTAAGTGGAAGACCTGATGTTGACCCTGAAAATGATTATGTCTTGACCGATTTTAATGGGTTTTCTGTCATTTAAACGCACATTAAGAAGGAATGGATAGCGGAGGATTTGGGAGTTTAGAACAAAAATATTAACGCATTTAGCTCAGGAGATGATTTAATATTCACAGACAAAACCCAACTCTGAATCATTTGTGTTAAGAAAGCGCTAGACTTCATATTTATTTAAAGCTCCCTGTGTGTGTTTGCACAGTGTGATCCAAATGATGCTGCTGGTCCCGCTGTCGTCCACACTGAGCCGACCAGGAACCCGGAGAACTCGTCCGGCTCTGGAGTCTTAAATTACGTGTCGGACTCCCAGCTCAACAACATTGTTTTCATGTAAGAAAAAGATCAAAGACAATACAGGTGCATCCCGGCTGATTTGAACATAATCAAAAAGTATTTTTTTTCCCCCAGCAGTTTAATTTTAAAAGAGGAACCCAAGTATTGATTGATTGCACAAAGAGAGATAAACTTCAAACATTTGCTGTTTAGTTATTAGTCATCAGAGCTTGCAGCAAATGGAAACCCAAAATTAACTTTCTCACCAAATAAAAATATAAAACCTATCAGAGTCAGTTTTAATACAGAAATGCTCTGTAATGTTGTCAGTACAAATAAGACTCCTGACTTGACAGTTGGCTAGCAGGCAGTCATTCATGGTGGGTCGTTGCTAAAGAAACTTAATGTTTATGGAGCACTGTATCCAAGCATGTTCACAGAAAGTTTAGTGAAAGGAAAAAGTGTTGGGGTTTTTTTTCTCAGAAGAAAGCAAATTCCTTCATAAGACTTCACAGAAGTGAAGATTGGTATTTGAATATTTTTAAGTGCTTAATAAGCCTGTAAGTTATAAAATCATGTCTTTAATCACCTATTTATGATCCAACCAACATTTTGCTCTCATCTAGTGAGGAAATGAAGGAAGGACCCGATCCATTGGGTCATCTTGAAGATGCCACAGAGCTGATGTGTGGACTGATCAGAGAACTCTCCTCTCTGAAGTGAGTAGAAACCATTTCTGTCAACTACTTGATCTACTTTTACGTTTCATTTCACTACTTTTGTCGTCTTTTTTGTCCTCTTAACTCATCTCGGTCTCACTCCTCAGGGAGTGACGTTTTTATAACTATTCGCTTTCATTACCTTGCTTCATGCTGTTGCCGTACATCCTAACCCATGATGTACGGCTTTAAAATTCTAACGGTGGATCTTCATTTGCACATGACGAAGCTGAAAATGGAGAGCTTAACCCAGTTTTTTCCTTTTTGTTCTAGCCGAAAGGTGATGGTCGCCCATCGAGAACTGGAGAACCTGCGGCGTAAACCTTCAAGAAGCTCTGTACGTTAGACTGTTTTCCAGAAGATTTTGATCTCATGCTTTTCTCTCGTTTAGAGTTCCTTGGTAAAGTACGAAAGGCGACACTAAAAGTATTCCCCTAGTTTTCCATGTTCTTCTGAATGTTTGCTTTGGCTATGTTGATGATCTACTTCATCCTCAATAAATCTATGAGATTCGTGCGACCAGAATCTACTCTTAACCGATGAGCTGCTTTTAATGTTGCAACAAGTCTCAGTCTCAGTGGCTAAATTGACCAGTTTGCTGTCACAAGAACCCGATGGTTGCTGTCAGAGCTCAAGCTTTCTTCTGTGGAAAATCTTATGGAAAGGACAGCTGTCTCTGCTGGTCAGGATAGAGGGAAAGATAAATGTTCAGAGACATCGTGGATGGAAATCTGCTTTGGAGCATATTACTCTCAGACTGGAGCGACCGCTCATTTTTCAGGACAATAACCCAAAGCACACGCCAGTATCTCAAAGTCTCCAGAGCCACTGTGAATGTTCTGGAGTCACCAAGCCAGAATCCAAACTTAAATCCATGGAGAGAGCTGAAAATGGCTGACATGTCTCCCATCCAACCCGATGAAGAACTGGGAAGACTGCGAAACGACCTGAAGATAGGCGAGATAACTTATTATAGGGTTGGACAACATATCACAATATAAGCGTTTTCCATCAGTTAATTGATTTGGTTTTTGTTTTAAATATCTGAAATACTGCCAGTGATGTGACCCTTCCTGTTTTATCCAAAGTTTTTCACAAGAGAAAGGATGCAAGTGCTGCTAAAGCAGGAACAACAAAGTATTAATAGCAATCAATACTTAAACAGTTTTCTATTTGTAATGAATTTGCAAAAAAACCCCAAAAACTTCCTACATTTTAATTTATGTGTAGCACTTAGAGTAAATAGATTAATTTAATACAATTTGGAAGAAGACTAAACATGGCAGGAGTGAAGTGTGAATACTTACCAGATGCTGTGTAAAAATGAAACAGCCCCAGTTGATTAAAAGAAAAATTAAAAACTCTCCCCAGTTCAGAGAAGCCTCTTGCATTCAACTTCCATATGCAATATTTTTGACATAAAACATCTGCTTTACCTTTCACACATTTACCACCATTTTACCTTGCTCGTCATAAATGAAAGTGTATGCCAGGCGTTCGGACAAACAATCTAAGATCATAACGTAACAAGGTTCTGAACGCGCGCTGATGCTTCCTTGTGATCTGCATTTTCAAAGCAACAACTACTTATTGCTTTAAAAGTATGTGGAAGATTTCAGGTGTCGGTCACTACACCAGCAATGAAAATGAAAAAAATTAAATAAAAAATTGCAACTTTAAGTTTAGCCACTTGTTTATAACTGGAACCACAAAAATATTTTCAAACTTTACATGAGTTACAGTGGCATAAATGGGAAGTATTCCAAATAAAACATGCTCCCAGAATCTGGTACACAGAAGAGAAGGTGCCCCATTAAAAGCTTAAAATGCCGACATGGTCACATTATGTAAACATACTGTAGAAAAAGGTAATATTGGTGAAGATGGAAGTTCTCCCAGACTGCTGATTTCGTTATAGTCCGTCAATGCATTTGGTAAAATGTATGTGAACCAGGACATGTGTTGACCATGTTGTAAAAGTATTCAACCCAAAAAAATGCAAACATTTCCTTTTTTTCTCTCTCTCTCCTCCCAAGTCGTCTCTCTCTCTCTCTCTCATTCTCTCTCTCTCTTTTTTTTTGAGTTAGTCCAAATTTCAAAACAGACAAGAGTTTAAATTAAATGACTCCAAACAGAAAACATGCATTAAAAAAAGAAGAAGAAAAGCATGCAAATAAGAACACAAAGCAAGCAACACACAAAAGTAAAAGCCACACTTATATCGACTTATTATAATAATTAAAATGCACACAGAGAAAGAGGGGGAAAGGAGAAGCTTCTTTCTGTTTAGGGTCTCAAGGCCACCTGTTAAATCAGCGCCTGGTCTTGGTGTACACCGAGCTGTAGGAGCTGTCCACTCTGGGACAGAATCGCTTGGTGTGGGCTCTGGCCCCCGTGGCGCCGCACAGTGGACACACGTACTGGCGCAGGTAGGGACACAGAACCTCTCCAGCCTGGTTCTTCAGCCAGTGGGATCCGTAGACCAGCTCGGACTCGCCGTTGTGTTTGCAAAAGCTGCAGAACTTGGACGAGGGCGGCTCAGGAGCCGGAGCCCCGAAGCGACCCGGGGTACTCCTGCGCTCCCTGGGGCGACACCCGGAACCAGGCGGCGTCTGCGGCGGATCGGCGCCGGCTGATTCCGGTGCGGACCGCAGCGCATCCTCCTGGTGCAGCGCAACCGCGGAGCCGGACAGCAGGGAGTCGCAGGACTCCGCGCTCAGGCGCATCGACGCCAAAGTTCCGCCGAAATGATCGAGTCGGGAGCGACGCGCTTTGAGATCCGGCAGGACGGGATCCCCGGTGCTGTTCCGACGCAGGATCTCTCTGACCGTGTCCGACAGTCCCATGTAGTCCCTCCAGGGCTGAAAACTTTTGCTGTTTGACTCCATGAAGCGCGGCAGGTGGTGAAAGAGCCCCAGCACCAGGCCGTTCATTCTGTCTCCTTCCCTGGGTTTGTTTTCTCGACTGCCTGGCGATCGAGTTGCTTTCTTTCTTTCTTTCTTTTTTCTTTTTGTTTAAAGCAGAAAGTCGCGACACAGAAAAATTGCACCTGGGTGCGCTCAGACACCTGCGATCGCTAATTAGGCACACGAGTCTCCAGGAGGGCCAGCCGGCCAATCAGGAGAGCTCAAGCACAACACGCGCGAGCCTCTCAACCGTCCTCCAATCGCAGCGGACCCCACGCGACGCCCCGGTTCTTCCTGCCGCGCGAGGACACGTGTTTATTAATATTTTTCGTTTGTTTTTACTTCCACGGCTCATTATCATTTCTCTCTCCTGCAAAAAGTGCTTTATGTCCTCGTTCTTTTAAGTATCCACGTAATAACTCTACAAATTAAAACACTTTTTGTGGGCAAGAAAATTGATTCGCTGATGGAAGTCGTGTCTGAATCACTATGCGGAAGTACAGGACGTTGTGCTCCCAGGATGGATGATTTTCTCCCTGACCCCCAACCGAGACGGGCCTAAATCCACATGTCCCTTACAATGTCCCAGTGAACAGGCTTCACTGGGACGAGTTTATTTCTTGTATGGGATTCTAAAAAGTTCTAGCGTTAAGAAAATATTCCCACTGTATTTGCCCTTTAAACATTTGTTCGTTGCCTTTTATTGATATTCCCTCTGTGTGTTGATCCACTGCTAGTCGGGTATTGTCAGAAGATAGCATTCATGCAATCTGCATGATATGGAAATAAAAATAGCACTTTGTGTCCTTCCAGATTGAGACTGGGTAATTGTTTGTTTTGCTTTTGAATTTAAGTTGGAAATCAAACGTCAGAAAGCAGCCATGAGACCGGATGGCCTCGGTCAGGAGACGACTTTTACTTTTAGTCAGGGGCGCAGCCTGGGCGGGGGAAGTGATGACAATGACCCGTCCTCTCCTGAGTGAAATTAAAGCTGCAGTAACATATAATTTTTAACATATTTGTTAAAGCTGTCATTATGTTATGACAGTATGATATCGAGATGATCAGTGAAACATTATTTCCTCTGCCTTCTCCCAGTGTTATCTAGAAACAGCTAATCAGAGACAGGAGAGTTTTAGTGCTGTCAATCACAATCTCATGTTGCTGCTCATCCCTACGCAGCAGCTAATGCAGCCTATGACAGTAGATAAACATTTTTCCTGTAATAATATTTTTTTACCATCAACAGTTAGTAATGAGGATGATTGACAGCACTAAGACCCTCCTCCTGGTTCTAATTGGTTGTTTTGGTCAAAACGTTGCATTAATTTAGCCAGTAATAGCAGTGGAACACAAAGACTGATTGTTTTCACAGATTATGTGTCTCAATCTGTCACAACATAGTGACAGTTTTAACATGTATGGAGAAAATATTTTATTAAAGTTATTTACTGCAGTTTGAATAAAATGCAACTTGGGTTGCTTCATGTATATTTTGCATGTTGCCTATGACTTGCTGGTGGAGAGATATTTCAGTCATCTCAAACTATAAAACAAATTTAAGCAACCTACTTGCATACTGTATGTTGGCTCCATGTAAAATTCATGAGCAGTAAATCTTGTGCTAGAATCAGTATTTAACCAAAGAAAGCAAGGCCGTTGCAAACCTTTAAAATTGAGACACTTTCGATAAGTCAGACTCAAAACATTGTAACAGCAGCTGTGCAGGGAGGGCCCCAATTCAATTTTTGGGCATGGGCCCCAGGATTCCTGGCAGCGCCCCTGCTTTTAGTGATATTCAGTGAATGTCTCAAAACATCAGCCGGCAGTGAATCATGATCGACAACCAGACTTTAAGACAAAATAAATGCTTTTATTAAATTTGTTAAAAAGACAAATACTGCAGGTGGAATGTGCTTTAACTGCAGCACTTTGAATCACGACCAGCTCAAAACTGAAGGCCAGGCTGTGTGAGGTCTCCTGTCAACGCCGCCCTCCCGCGTCTCTGAGCGGCGATCAGCTTCCCTGGACCTGCAGAAGAAGGACATCATTCAACCAGATGAAGATTTGAACTTTGCCAGATAGTTTCATGAAGCAAAACTCTTTAAATCCTTCAATTGAGAAACCTTTTGCACAGCTAGTTGGTCAGGAGACGGTTGGGGCAAGATAGAGCCCCCGCATCACAGGAACTCAAAACAATGTTTTGCAGTAGAATTTGTACATTTGAACTTTTTCACATTCTAACTAAAGACCTTGAGGTCGTAAAAAAAAAAAAAAAAACTTCAAATGATACATTAACACCTCTGTAAAGCACTGCACATTAAATTTTGACAGACTTTGTGGTAACACTAACTGGTTATTGTATGACAGATTGAGAGCGGAGTACAGCTGAGGTGTGCTGGGCGTTTGAACTCTGACCCTTCCCTCATGTAATCCATGAGCAGCAACGTTCCCAGAGCCGCGGGGTGACGGACTGAGGGGAAGACAGCCGGATAAGTTGGCTCCTCCCACACCAGAGAAATCTGCACCACAGACATTTGGAAGGTGAAACGAATGTGCCGAACACAAAACATACAAGTACACAGAGTCAAACGTCTCAGTCTGCACCGTCACCCAGTCCCTCGCTCATGATTCCCAAAAGCGCTCACCGAAAGCGCTGCTGTCCCGCCGGTTGGTTGCCTCTCTTTGAAACAAGGGCGAATCACACAGATACTGCTGCTTTAAGAACAGGCCCCGTTGTTGCTCAAAATCACGGCGCTGTGGGCAAAAGACATACTTTTGTAGAATGAGTTTAATAAGTGCTTGATTTGACAGGCAACGTCAAATCAAACCACTTTATTTCACCTATGGTTTTAATCTATGGCTGAAAAGACAAATTATTGAAACAACAGAATTTAGGCCATTTGCTGAAATATATTCAGAGCAGTAACTTAGACAAAACTGTACAAAAAATAAATAAATGCACATTTTGCGTTTAACACCTTTATCTGAAAGTATAGTTTAACCAAAACCATATTTACAGTGGCCTAGTTTACATTTTAAGCAATGAAATATTCTTAGTTAAAAAAATAGCATCTTTTAATGTTTCCAATATTGAATAAAAAGGCATAAATGATAAATGAAAAAAATTTGTAGAATGTACCTTGCTTTTTTTATCTGATTAATCACCAGAATAACCGATTACTGATAATCCCAATTCAACCCCATCTGACCTCGTGGCTCAGTCGAATGGCAGCGTCGGTAAACGCTTGGCGCTCCCTTTCAAAAGTCCTCCTCTGATGAGTCAGCTCTGCCCAGGACATCTGAAGACGTTCCCACTCCTCCAAAAAATAGGAATCCGAGAGTTCGGATGGGACCGTGGAGACCAGGCTGTCCTAAGACAAGCAGCCAGAGCAGGTCTCCATCAAACTGATCACAGCTCACCGAAAGTTTCAATAAAAAGGCGGCAGATACCTGCAGAAGCTGCTGCTGCAATCTGACCACCTCCTGACTTTCTTTCAGCTCGATCTCCAGCTGAGCCATGAGCTTATCGTGGTCGGTACCAGAAGTTGCTTGACCTGCAGACAGAATCGTTTTCTTGCAGCTTTTGACGACTGGTTTGGTTACAAAACGCCTCACGAGATTTACCGTCGGCCGTTCACCTTCGGACAAGACACTTTGCAGCTTCTTCTGCACCAGCCTCCAGCTCTGAACCACTCCTCCAGTCAGGTGCTCGCCAAGCGCCGCTTCAGTTTCATCCAACTTTTTCTCTCCATCTTGGGTAACTTCCAAAAACTGTGGCAGCCACTTACAAAAAACCCACAAAAAAAGATTAGTGTTCACTCCAGGTGATATACTTTTTAGCATTACGTCATGTTTCTTCAATTGTAGTTAAAAAGGCTTGACCTTGACCTTCTCTGACCTGCTCCATGTCGACTCGCAGCGCGTGCAGCAGCGTGGTGAGGCTGTGGCGCAGCTTCATGGCCTCCCTCAGCTCGGCCTCTCTCCTCTCCAGCATCAGGCGCAGCGCAGCCTCTTCTCGCCTGTCGGGAGGAAGAGAGAAGACTGCAGTCTGAAGGAGGGGTCCAACTCAAAAGGCCAAAACTTCAGCGACCTTTGACAAGCAACCGTCTGCATACCTGGCAGTAAACGGGGCCGATTTGCTGAGTTGCTCCCTTTTGCCTCTGCTTCCAGGAGGAACGTTTATTACTTCTATAGCTGCATGGGGGAAAAAGAAAACGACGCGATAAACCTTATTTTCAGTACATTTGTTTGAAATTATTCCGAAGTCTCACATGGCCCTTTGTGCCTGTCAGTCAGCTGGGAGAGCCTCTCCTTCAGTCTACTGCAGAGCATCTCTCTGCGCTTCAGCTCCGCCTCCTGTTGGCTGCACTGCAGCTGCAGACGAGAACTCTGACAGGAAGGAAAGCGACACTTACGGTAAACTCAATCAGGAACTTATCGCTCTCAAAAGTACTGCGCTTACTTTTGAACGCTCAGATCTCAGATCTCCCTGAAGCCTGGCCACATGCTCATCCGTCACTCTGAGCTGCTCCTGTAAGATGACACGGTTCCATGAAAAAGCCCTCTCACCCTTTGACCTTTCACGTTTTTTGGTTTGGGTCAAGGGAGTGTTGTGTGAGATATACCAACGGAGAGTATGGCGCATTTGTTTTCAGTCAGTTTTACTCTGATTCCCGTAAATAAAACCCATCTGTATTTTTTTTTTTATGTTTTTTTTTGTCTGGCAGTGTGGCATCAGAACCGATGTCCAAATGAGGCACAACAGATTTTACTTTCACAAGTGGAGCGTTCCAGCTTTCGCCATGCTGCTCCTCCTCATGCAAGTGTAAAACTTTAAATTGCTTTGATTTTAATCATTTCAAGCAGAGATAAGTAGAACTCGATGACATACAACATTTGACCCTCCTAGTTTAAGTCGAAGCACATTCATATGTTAAAACGGCTCAGTCAAAGTCCAGACCTTAACCCATTTGAAAATCCGTGGCAAGATATAAAAACGTATGTTGACAAATGTCACCCATCCATCCATTTTGTGTGAGCTAATTTTGCAAACATGCACCACAATGTTTAGAAACTATGCATCATTTTTCTTCTGTTTCACAGACGTGTGTTATTGTGTTTACCAGAAAACTGAGAAAAAGATTAAAGGCTGGGAAGTAAGCTTGACAGGACAAGTGGTTTGCTTGGTAGTTGAGCCTCTCTTTGACCCACCCTGAGGGAATCTCCTTGCTCTTTCCAGTCCTGTCCGTCAGCCCACCAGGATGTGCTTGGGTCCCTCTGGAGATACGAATCTGCAGCCACATAAACCAAAACAGAAAAAAAAAGAGGAACATCAAAGAATATTCAGTGCTAATGTGAATAAAGGTACCGATGTGTACATAAATGATCAGTTCAAATGAAACCTGAAAGCTCCTGTTTTCCACCATCTTTGCTCTGGTCAAATCTGTACGCCATCTAAATTCACATTTACGAACTGAACACGTAGCAACTATGAGCAGAGCGACGTGATCAACAAAGCACACATGCATACATTCCAGGTTAACACGCCTGTGTGCATATTTCCAGCCATTAGCGGTCAGACCTGCTCGCAGCTGCGGCTGTTTTTATTTCCAGGTGACAGCACTTCTGCTAATTACCAACAACACACACCAGGTAGGGCATGCTTTGGATTCAGTTGAGCAAGAGGTTTTCTCTAAAGCTTCGTTTTCGCTACTACTGTACTTCTCACTCGGGGTTCCTCCTGAACGCGCTGCAGGCCAGGCCGTGGAAAAACAGCACAAGAGGTCACCGACCGTGACCCTGGTTATGAGACACGCTGGGCTGGCTCTCTGGACGTCAGCGTATTCAACACATCCGGACATGAAGTCAGCGTGTGTCGTTAATCATTTTAACAGGGCCGGACGACTACACACGAAGAAGTGTCATGCATTCTCAGAACATTAAGAGTTGTGCTTCATTAGTTTATTTTAACAAAACGGTGAAAAGAGCAAAACACACATGTTGCAAGTATATATATATTTTTTATTTATTTCCTTTCATACAAACACATTACATTCACCACAAATCATAGAGGTGGCAGGTAACAATGATTCTTATGGCTTTGTGCAGATTTCTCGTATTCGACGACACAAAGCAAATCCGGCCCGGCAAGCTCCCCGCCACGGCGAAGAGCCGATCCAATCGACGATAAAATGACGACTTTTAAATCCAATTTAGTCCAACTTCACTCAAATAATTTGATTGGAAAAGCGTCAAAATACACGCGGCGACGCAGACAAGACTTAAGGACTGTCAAAAAGCAGTCACGAGTGAGAAAAGTGACAACTTAAAAAAATGGAAAAAGTTGCAGGCAGCATTTCTGTCGTTTCCTAACCAGTCAAACGTTGCACAGAAAACCCGACAGCAGGAAAGATTTTTGGTTGATTCCAGCGTGGAGAAACGAAGACCGACTCATTAAATACGAAACAACACCGAAGGATTTCGATACAGACGCAAGCGTTCGTGCAATGTGAAATAAATTAAAAGTTGTTACCACTATCCAAATAGTGCAAGGCCTTTGCGTGTTTTTATTTTAAATAAAAAGATTCAACAAAAGCACCGAAAAGGTGAGTGAAAGAAACAAAGAAGCAAAAGAATAACAAACCAGCACTTATTCTAACATTTAAAGTATGTCATGTTGTAGTACCTCAGGTTCACTGTGACACTTTTCGCTTCAGTACTTCAATCTTTTTTCTTTTTTTTTAAAAAGGCACCGGTACAGTGAGTTGGCCAGCAATGTCGTTGGGCATCATGTTTTACAGAGATACACGACACAAAACAATGCAGATGGGACAGAACCTGCATCGAATTTACATTTAATATCCCTCCACCGGCCCTTCAGAAGGGCACCGCCTGAAAAAGCAAACAGCGGCAGCAGTCCGTAAATAGATGAGCACTTAGGCAAAACCAGATTAATCATTAGTCAAGTTAGTGTCAAGGACATCTTCTGCTTGTTCGTTGAACAAGTAAGAGTTTGGCCGTGCTTTCGTGTAACAGATTGGGAGATATGATACCATTGGTTTTGGCAAAAAAATAAAAAATAAAATAATAATAAAAATAGTAGATCAACATCAACCCCACAAAAAACCTTCAGCACTGAGTGCGTTTCCTCCTCTTAACCTCCCTCCCTCCTCCCCGTGAAGAGCTGCAGAGCAAGTCTACGATGACGCAGACGAGAGGTGAAGTGAAGCTTTGACAGGCGAGGAATCCTTCATGTTCCTTCTGCTGCTGGAAGAGAGCAGAGAAAATCAGACGATTAATATGATTCAGTCCGACTGTGGTGTTCCAGTCTTGTTTCATCATGAACACTAATACGTCTGTTGCCATAACAGGGCAAATCCCTTCAAAGTGAAAATATCTCGCTGTTTTGCTTGGCACATAATTCTGCAGACAGCAGGGAAATCTCCAGCGCCGTTACTGCAACACGGTAATTACTAAACTTTACCCAAAGATGGCTTAAGCCTTTCCACATCATGCCTTTCACATATAGGTTGTTCATAGGTTACCGAAGGAAGAAAAGTGGTTTATGAGATTTCCTGTTTTGTAATAGAAGGCAAAAGAGCAGAAATACCACAATGTTGAACTGCTGCATATTTCCAACTTGGGGAAGTTTTTTTTATATATATATATAAAATAATAGCAAAACAATGCAAGTCTTTTGTGCTTTTTCCTGATTCGGGCTTATCGACAGATCAGAAATGCACCTTTTACAATTTTGGATTTGATTCCAGTAAAACTTTGACCTTTCAATATCGACTTTAGCCAGTTACGATTTCTCTTTGAGAACAGTAACCAAAAACAAAAAGGAAGAACCAGGCCTCCTTTTTCTGAGCAGTCTCTATTTACATTAGAAGCAGAGGCGATGCAACGCTCTGTGAGAACTGTCACTGGCCAACAGGGTTTTATAGTTCTCCTCAAAGGACGTCCAAATAAATCAGACCTAAATGTGAGTTTTTCATGTTTTTGATTTAGTTTTTAGGTGGATTAGCATGACTAGTTGAAGTTTCTGTGTGTATTTTTGGGGGAAAGTAGATCGAGGTCTGTTCAAAGTTTCCAAAAGCATCCTATCTGATTTTAGTTTTGGAAAAATAAAACTGAGCTTTAAAAAAAAATAGTTGCTTGTTTTCTTTTTTTCCTTCATCTGTAGTATAAAGGACAGAAATGGTATTTAACAAATGTATTGTTGCTTCTTTCTTTTTAACAATTCAAGCTTTATTTTTGATTTGCCAAAACACACCTTCTTTAGAAAAGGGTAACTTTATAGCACTACGAAAATGCAGATCTTCCTCCTAATCATCAAGGTAACCCTTGCAGGAACTCAGTTATCTTTACACATTTAAAAATGAATAAATATATATATCACTTATATTTACATTTAGTCATTTTGAACTCTCATCAGTCTTAGATATATATTTTATAAACTTTGTCTTATATGGTTATATTTGTATTATTGATATTTAATGCCTCAGATGGAGAAGCTTGTCAATGAATCAGCAATTTCTCCTTGGAGATCAATAAAGTATATTTTATTCTATTCTAATACTGAAATATTATGTTCTGCCAAGCACAATCAGAGGGTAAACCAGTGAGCTGACGGTTATCTGACAGACAGTCACTGACATCAGGGAGAAGGACAGAAATTTACAGAAGACAATGGCTACAGAAGCTGGCTCTTCAGCCTGCTTGTTAATGTAAAGTTGGGTGGAAGGAAGAAGTTTATGAACAACAGCAAATCTCGATATTGAAAGAACTAAAAAACAAACCTCATTCAAGAGATTGGGGAAAATTCACAAGTAGTGAGCTGAAGATGGATTCTCATTCTAATTTACAAGATCCTCTACAGATGGCAGATACCTTAGCATTCACACTGAACCAGGTCTGACGGATCAGCATTCAGTGACTCCTTTGAGTGTTCAACACCAAGATAATCAGAAAGTTAACGGGTAAATACACAAATTTGTTTAGTCAGTGACTCAAGCAACCTGTCTTCAATCTGAGACCTTGAGACGAGGGCTGGGCGATAAATGAATAGCAGTATGCATCACAATAGACATGTGATCATTATCAAGCCAATAGAATATCCAACCATTTAATTTTCTTTTTCTATCCACACATATCCAATCATTTCACTGAACTCTGATCCAGTAGTGCACAGCATCTAGGGAGATGTAGGCAGAGGAAAGGCTTCAGCTTGGTGACGTCAACTCACGGCCGCTTCAGACTTTGCATATCTGATAACTGCTTAAAAATAAATAAATAATAAAACCCACAACAACAGTGGAGTGAAAGAAGATGAGAAAAACTGTAACAGTTCAAGTCACCAGTTCAGCCGCATTTCAGATGATTAAAACAAAAGAAAAACAAATCAATATGCATTGATATCCACTTTTATGAAACCCTTGCCATGATGACATTTGTTTCCAGCCACGTCGCCCAGCCCTACGTTGAAACAGAAGGGCGATAAACAATAAACAGAATGTGAGAAGCGCCTCTCAGCTTCTTAAAAGTGGACTTTACCTCAGAACAGCGAGCAGGACTTGGGAGGTCTGAAGGGGTTGTCGCTGGAGGGGACTCCCATGAGGAGGGGGTCCTTGCTGGCATTCTGCATGCAGAAGTTTTTCAGCTCGGTGGCGGCCTGGGACACCTGCGGAGCCCGACAGATGGTGTGGGTGTGAAAACACGACCAGCATAATAAACCCGAGACTGTGTTCGTCTTTTCTCGTTTTCCCTGCGCCGACGTTTTACCGCCTCTGCTTTTGTTTTGTTTGCATAATATTTGCACGCAACGGGGCCACGGATCAGCCGTGACGGATGAGCCGTGGTTGCCACCTAAAATGTTTCGTTTTCATCTACAGGCCCTCTGGTTTCCACAGAGCTCGGCTCGCGCGCCTTTAACTGCAAAACTTTGAAGCAGCGGCGAGTTACTGATATTCCAGCGACGCTTTTTTTTTTTTTTTTTACTGAACTACCAGCAATTTAGTCAAAACCCCACTTTTCCCCTGGTTTCCAAACTTGGCCTCGACGTTCCGGAGGAAAGTCTTCCGTGTTTGTGTGTACCTTGATCCTGCGGGTGCTGGCCTCTAACCGGAGCTGCTTCACGGCTCTCTGGGCGACCACCAGGTTGCTGCTGGCGTTGTTGTTGGACATGGCGGCGGCGGCGGCGGCGGCGGCGGCTGGGGTTCGACAAAAATCCAACTCTCGTTTCTTCGGCCGCAGCGGAAGCGGGACGTCAAACTGCTCTCCACCCAGAACTGAACTGGGAAGCGGCGCAGGAAGGTTGCCATGCCCACAACTGCGCCGTCCGAGGCCTCCCATTGGCCAGCGCGGTCCGTCAACCACGTCATCTTCCCACCGTTCCCAAGGAGACGCCCCGAAAAATACGGGCCATTATTTGAAGTTTCCTCGACAGCAAACGGTGTGAATCGTGACCTTCGGCGGTTGTTTGCCACCTCATTTAACTTCACACCCGACCGGGGACGCTTTCAAAGAACCGCTGCTCGACCCACCTGCCTGACATGCTCAGGTGAATCCTTCAGGCTAATTCAGAAATTCAAATGAACAGTAATCATTCACTGCATTTTATCCCCCCCCCATCAAAACAGATGCAACTCAGAATCAGCTTGCTTCTCATTTCATACCTATGCAGAACCATGTCATGCCTTCCTCCTGCTATTTTGAACTTACAAAAACTTTTCAACAAGCATGTGGCAAAGGTGATTCAGCAATCCCTCCATCCTTGTGCCAGTGTGGACAATTGATTGGATCAAGTTGTCTGTATTGTCCTCTACCACTATAATCTGGATAACGTGCAAAGTAAAATTTGTGATTAAGTCTTTCGACACTTAATTGTTTAATTAACCCTCTATTAATTTACTTGAAGGTTTTAAAAAAGAGCCATTATTGGGTATTTTTAAACCACTCGTCTCCAGCAGTTTTATATAAAACCTCTCCGGTGTTTAGACACAATGTCAGCGTGTTGCTATGTTATATATCAATTTCTACATGCAAAAAAAGTGACTGGCATGGCACTTTGTTGATCCAAATCTATCCTAATGAATTAATGAGGTAATTAATTAAGTTAAAAACCGGTGGATTTCAAATATATAGATTTTTTTATGAGAAAAAGAAAAAGCTGAAGGCTGTACGGATAATGCCAGTAGAGACCTGCAAGTCAAAAAGTTACGGTTGTGTGGCAGACGGTAAACTGCAAGTCATCGACTTTGCAACAGCTCTGCATCCTGAGTAAGCATGTGGTGACTGTGGAAATGACTTCTTTTTAAAAAGAAACTGGCAGCAGAACCAAACCATCCGCCTCCACTGACAGCAGATCACTTTATAGGATGGGCGAAAGCCTCTCATCAAAGCTTTGAAAAGTGCATGTCAAAGAAAAGAGTGCCAATTCATACCTCGGTTTGTTAGGGGCTTCGGGTTTTTCTACCATCTACAGCCTAGAATACTGTTCAGGAATTTAGATAAGAAGTTGTTACTCAGTCCGACTATGCAGATAAACCACAGATCAACCAGCATCAGGGTTTCTGCAGGTGTAGCTCATCATCTCTAATTATTTATTTCTCCTGAGACGTCAGTCTATTTCCCTAATTTACTCTTACAGTAAGCAACTCCAGTTGTAATTGTTTTTATTCAGTTGGACTTTTAATAAGACACAGCTTAATAGAGGTATTTTCTTTTGAACTTCTTTTGCAAATTTTTCATTTATACAGCGTTTACATCCTCATTATTTGCAATAATTTATTTAGTTTGAAGTAGTTAATGTCATACAGTGATACGGTGTCTACTATATGTTTTTCAGTTATGTGTTTTTTATTCAACAACCCAAAACATGGCATATTTGTGACCACTAGGAGGTGTTATAGAACAATAAGAGACAGGATTTATGTTTCTTGCTGCTAAAGACAAGGATGTAACGCCCGGATAAACCACGGCTAATCTTTAAAGCCTACAGACAATGCAGTGTCAATGTGTATGATTACTGCTGTTGTTCCTGATTTATTATTCTCACTCGAGCAAGCAGCAATTAGCAAACACCTGGTGGAACTGCGCATCTGCTGAGCGCATTATAAGAGATACTTATAATCTCAGTCCAACTCTGGTGAAATTATTGTTAAAGTGTTAATAGAGGAGCTCAGTGGTGATGGCTGCTTGAATGTGGAGTTTCAGAAAAAGCTGGTGTTTTTAAAGAGACAGAGGGCCAAATTATTAAGTCAAATTTATTACTTACATAGGTATATGTATGGCATTTTTATAGCAAAAGAATGGACCATATTTACTTGAATGCGCTATAAAATACCATGTCACTGGAAAACACACCATGCTGCCCCTTTAAAACTCTACCAGACTGAAAAGGACTGTCCAGATTGTAATCGGCACAAAGTTCAAAAGCCAGCGTATGTGATGGTTTGGGGGAGCGTTAGAGCTCCCCCTGAAAGGTACAAACAATTAATGGAAGAACACATGCTGCCATCTGAGCAGAGTCGTTTTTGCCACATCATGCACGTTTTACAGCAGTGTGTCTCAGCAGGGAAAGAGTGCAGGTAGTAGACTGTCCATGGGAATCAGGAGGAGACTGATGATTCACGGTCAGAGCCCGGATGCCACCGGATGAACATGATCAGCAGAGCAAGACAAACCAGGGCCAGAACCACGTCGCCCACTCTGGCCTCTTGGATCTTGTGGAAGATATCGCAAATGTTGTGGTTTAACCACAACATTGGGTCTAAAATATCATTATAGGTTTTTTTTTTCAGTTCAATTCATTTCAAAGTTTATTTACTTAGCACTTACTTATAAAATAAAGGTTGTGGTTTATATACTAGACATTACTACCTGACTCATCTCCACTGGCGCCTTCATGCTAGTGCGCTCTCCTGACCACATCTAATAATCGGCTCATCATGAACCACCAATCACTAATGTTTCACTCCTTAAACTTATTTACAGCAACCTCACACGGCCAAAGTACTTCACAATAATTACAGCATTACATATTGGTAAAAGGTAGAAATACAATTCAATTTGACACTAAAATACAAATAACATATAAATCCTGTCAGTTTAATTTCAGTAACAGCATTTTCCCCATAAACTCATCCATCAATCAGATCAGTTTAATGCCACATTTTTCTTATTTCAACTGGTCTGATTACTTTACATAAGTGTCACGTTTCAAGAAAAAAAATCTTGTTATTTCTTTATCCATGCAAATAAGTAGAAAAAAAGAAGAAATATGATAATTGATTCTTTGTCATTAGTTCTGATAAAATACCTATTAGTGAAAGCTACAAACTATTGGTCCAACGGTGATGGGCTTCAATGCACCAAGGCTTAGAACAAAACGCAACTCTCTGCTTCGACAAACCTGTGAAAAGTAAAAAAGTAAACAATTTATTTATTCATCGTGAATGATAAACTGCTTATTAAATAAAGTAATTAATTAATCCCCAAATAATTCACATCCTGCCAGGTTGAGATTAGAAAATATTTTCAATTAACCAAGAAGTTTGTTTCAGATAGAAAATGAGAAATAATGAAAAAATGTAAAAGGATTACTGTTTCTGCAATTAGATTTCAGAAAGAGTGTCAATTTGTAGCTCAGTTTTTCTGCAAGAGAGGTGGGTAGATAGTGTGACACTATCAACCATTTAGCATTGTTAGCTTAGCTTCAGACTGCTTGCCTCCATTTCACTGGCATTAAATGAACAAAGAAAAAAAATCTCATCAACCTGGGTGCAAAGTCAGACGTTTTGAAGTACCTACTGGTATCAGTTTAAAATAACATGTGTTGCTTACTTTGACTAGGACACAATGTCAATGGGCTAAATGTTACATTTTTTGAAGGTCCCATTTAAACTCTGACGGTGAGACATAGTTGACATTTTTAGTTCTGAAACAAACAACAGCAACCATAAGAAAAAAAAACAAAACAAAAAATAAGTTTCACTTTCTGTTTCCTATTTTTTTTTTTTATAATTTATTTTGTCACCTCAAATTGTTTACTAGTTGTGGGTGGTCTGATTAGGTTACAATGTCTTTTAAATTATTGTTGTTTTGTCTGTTTCTTGTAGTTGCATTTTTAAGTTCAACTCATTTTGTTAATGAAGTCATGTGTCCTACATACTTCTGGCTACCTGATGTCTTGCTCCACCCACACATCAACACAGTTTGTTTTACATTTATTCATGACTTCGTGACGGATAAATCGGTCGTTCTGGTCGTCGTGCATCCTCCTTACTACTTCAACAGATCCATCTGTAGGTGAGAAAATCTAAAACATGGAGATTAAGAATGAAGTGAACTGTGTCATTAATATATGTTAATAGCCTTGTGTTTTGCCTTCTTAAATTAAAAATACCTCTAGTATCCTTCTATCAAGATTTTATTATAGATACAGACACATCTCAGTAAATTAGAAGGGATATTCTGATGAGATTTATTTGTCAGATTAAAAGCATCTCTGAAGACAACAATCTTTAAGCAAGAATTATACGTACTTATCATTGTGTGTGACAGTTTCCCTTGAACTGAGAGATAAAAGCAATTTAACTTTTCAATGATATTCAAATTCATAGAGATGATTTTTTACCCCATTAAATGCAGTTTTGCATGTCATCACTTAACATAAAGCAAAAGCAAGTTTATGTTTCTTTACAACTATAATTCTAGTGCATGTGTCTCAGTCATTTTATGTCATTTCGAAAGAGCAATTGCCATAATTTTGCTCTACAAATTAACAAATTCTATGTGGTAAAAGAAGCTTTTCAGACTGGAGAAGCATTTGCAGTAGTTTTCAAACAGATCACAATGGACAAACAGGAGGTCTTCTGATAAAAACAGCTTGACAGGTTCAACGAGATCCACAATCTTAGACTACTTTGGATTTTTGTCTTGGTTGAATTCCTTTTTGTTACTTGTACCCATGAACAGTCTTTGCATTCACCACATTGTAATGAAACTGACTCACTGCTTTACATGTTGGCAGCAGCTTTACCACCTTCACAATAGAGAAACAGAGTGTAATTCCAGGATATTTCGGGCAAAACAGATGCTTTCTGTGCGGCCAAAACACCTCGACAGTCGAGATGCTGAGGTTGTGGACGTGCAGCAGCAAGGTGGTCGTTTCAGCCCTGCATCGTGAACACTGTTCTGCAAAATCAGAACATCTAAACACGGATTTAGCCTGCCTTCCAAGGCATTCCTGATCAACACTATTTACACTACAAGCAGCTCTGCGCAGCTGCGAACCCCAGAAGTGCTCCAAGAAGCATGCATGGGAAATGAGATCGCACAATAAAGCCAGTAAGAGATGTCAAATCAAATATTGTAGTACTCACCTTCAAATAAATGATCCTTCCACTTTCACTTTTCTTCCTTGGTGGAAGATCCTGTGGCGACTTGAGCAAGAGAACGGACCAAGCTTTTCTTGATTTAGGTCAGTTAGAATTGTCAAAATTATTTTTGTTTGCTAAATGTTTCTATAATGAGAAAAAATGTGACTGGCGTACTCCAATCTATTTTTTTTTTTTTTTTTTGAGAAAACAGCTTGCAGTTTTTCTCCACAAACCTGCTTAGCAACTTGTTTGTTTTTACAGTTTATTTTTATTGCTTTGTGTCAACCCCACTTCCTGGCATGAACTGTCAACAGGTAGGCAATGCAAGGGGAGGTGTGCAGACAAAAGGACTTGTAAGGCAGCATTTGTCTGTCCATATATTTCAGCTTTCAGCTGTTGTCCATTTTACCAACAGGGATGTGAGCTTCTGACTTTGTCTTAGTCGTCTGTGAACCATGAGTTTCAGTGGAGAGAAACAGAGGCCATAACTTGATTTTGGTGACACCACAGGCATTATATCCCCACAAAGATATACACAGTTTTATCTGAATTCACTTTAGTAAAAACTCTGTCACAGTCATCTTCTCCTGCGCATCTAGTCTCTATGATTTTGGTTGGAGCTTCTTTACTTTATCAAAACAAGTTAGTGTACCTACTCTGGGTATATCAGTCTTTAAAGTTTCAAAACTTTCTTTTGCCGAGGCCCAAATGTGAATGTTTTCACCTCTTTGGCTGTCTGTCTCTCTGGCTTCCATCACAACTCTCACTCTCTATTATTGATCATTTTGTGTCAGCAGTTATGACAAAAAACTCAAGCTTTTCACGACTTAACATTTAAATGGACATTTAACAGATAATGGCTGTGTTGAGGAATGTGTATAGAAACTCATTGGTTACATATGAATGACACTACCTTTTCGGCTTTCAGTTTTTCACTTCTATTTTACCCCGTTACATTAGTTGTAGAACCAGAATCCATTAGCATTTTCAGCTCACAGAAAATGTTAGCTCATCAGGCACAACTTTTACAACTCATCTTATTCAAGCACATTCACATTTGAGCCTCATTTCCCTCTTGTACGACATGTTTTAAGACACTGTCATCTATCTATGTGGAGTCACAACATTGTTGTCATACCTGTGCACACCAGTCTTCCATTCGTCCTATTTTTCCCACTGCATGCATTTACATGTCATTGCCTGGTAAAGAAAACTAGAGGTGAAGAAGATCACTACTTCCAAGAAACCCAACTTGATGTGAGATCTTGGTTTCTGTCTCAGACTGTAGAGAGAAACAAAAACTAAGCTAAGGCCTGTAAATTTACACTTGTAAAACTATCTGCCCTTTTTCATTCTCCTCTTTTATTTTTCTTTCGGTTTCAAATCAAATTCTTTCAAATCAAATTCTTACCTTTCTTTGTCGTCAAAATCAGGTTGGCCTCTTTTCTTCTCCCCGTGACGCTCAATGCTGCAAGTTCTCAGTTCATTCAGATTGCGAATCCACTGCTAATGTGCCAGAAAATGTTAAACATGTTCAAATAAATATCTGTAGACCTCAGGGGTTTGTTTTGTTTTTGTTTTTATAGCTCCACAAGTTTAAGAACAGCACAACAAAAGCATGAAAACAATAAAATAGAAGTGTCATATAAACATTATCAACAATAGCAATATATCCTAATAGGAATAATAATAATGGTTTTCACCTTCCCTCGTGTGTTTAATGAGACGTGTTTAGGTGTTAGCTTGCTGACCTTCAGCATGCTTCAAATGCTGCATCTAGTTTGCCTTAATATCAGCCTCCTGCCTGCTCTTTGTCTTTTTAAGCCCTGCCATCTTGGTCAGTTTGATTTTAGAAGCGGCCGACGGCATTTTTATTACAGCAACATTAAGTTTCCTCTTTCCATATTTAAAATGACTAGAAGAAGCCTCACAGTGTGAACTGAGGGCAGCCAGCAGTAAACCATTCAGGATTGCCAGATATACTGTACAATGACACCAAGGAAGGAATTATTTTTGGAACTGCTTGAACCTTGACAAAAAATAACAGAAAAATAAAAAGTCTGAATATGTAAAATTATTAAATTTGATTAAATACGTAGTACGTTTGTCTGCCATTTGATTCTTCCGTTGTGCTTAGATGCAGGAATTTGGTAAACAGGTTTGTCAGGTTCCATGTTGTCAGTAAGTGTACATCGCTTTCAACAATGACTGTAAAATCCTCTGCAGTAGCTGAACTGTGAAAACTGTGGGGAAGAGGTGTTTTGCTTGATGGTAAAAATATGTGGTTTATTATATTATGCCCTAATAAAAACAATTCTAAGTTTATATTTTAGCTTTAAATAAATTTATGGACATGGAAAATTTGAAAACAATTTCAAGGGGTACATTATTTTTACAACACTATGCAGGGAACAACTTGTTTAGTTGTCATAGTGGATGATGGTGGCAAATGCAGAAGCAGGAAGGCATGGAGTGGATGATGAAAAAGATTAAATGAAAACAAATGATGAAGACTAAAACTATGAAGTCACAGGTGTCCAGGGCAGCAACATAAATCAAGGGATAAATCAGCAAGGAGACATGAGGAGAGTACGGAGAAACCAGAGGAGTAATGAGAGGAACCAGCAAGGAGTGACTGAAAGAGAGGAGCTTAGGCACTGGAGGGTTGATTGCTGAAACAAAGAACCGGGCTGATTGGCAAATTTATTGCATGTGTGGGGGGAGAGAGGCACAGGGGGCGAGGGGTCGCCAGTCCATCGCAGGGTCAGACAGGACAAATAACCATGCACACACACACTCACACCTAAGGAGGATTTATGGAGACAAATCAACCTAACGGTCATGTTTTTGGACTCTGGGAGGAAGCCAGAGTACCTGGAGAGAAGCCACACATGCAAACTCCATGCATAAAGACCAGGGGCTGGGAATTGAATCTAGAACCTTCCTCTCTTACCACCTGTGTCACTATACTCCAAGGCCCAAAACAAGACTAATCTAATCAAAATAAGAAATAACATAGAATAGTGATGAAACTAAAATAACTAATAAAGGACTGAACCAAGGTCAAACAAAACATAGCTGATCTATATAATAATAGAGGAATTAAGGAACACAGAAACAAACCAAACCCAATAAAAACAACCTGAAAGTGGAAAGAGTAAAATGACTGCATATGTATTTTATGAATGTATTTTTATTTATTTATTTAAATCCTGTTTAAACCTCGCCACAAAGGAGATTTCTGGTTAAAGTGTCTGGCTTTTTAGACATCTGGTTACAGCATACGAGATGTTACCCCTCCCTGATAGGTCAAAGCTCACCTGTCACAAAAGGTTGATCAAAGGTTGTTTATTTCCTGTTTCATAACTTTTAAATGTTTTAATCTGACAGAAAAATTTTTGTGCAGTCTTTTCTTCCATCTTCTCTTCTTTAGCACTTTACAAGCTTGGTGTCACATTTTGGTTCGTCACTGGAAGTCCTCAGAGTAACGAATGGAGACATATAATATTTTACAGCTTTAATATTTAAAAAAAAAATAATAATTTATTTACATTTTTGACAGATAAAATGGAAAAAGGGGAAGGCCTTTCATCTATTCCAGACATCCCATACGTTCCAGATTTCCCAGATATGCCAGATACCACAGATGTCCCAGATATTACAAATATTCCAGAGATCGACGATATCCCAGCGCCGCCATATCCTGGTCCGCCATTGGACTCAAGTGTGGTCATCAATCCACCTACACCTGTTGATCAGCCAGTGAGCCAGCCTCAACCTCAGAAGTATGAAAAATCCGCCGACCAGCAATATCCCCAGCCTGTTGCTCAGCAGTATCAGCAATCTGCTGACCAGCAATATCCCCAGCCCGGTGTCCAGCAGTATCAACAATCTGCTGACCAGCAATATCCCCAGCCTGTTGCTCAGCAGTATCAACAATCTGCTGACCAGCAATATCCCCAGCCTGATGTCCAGCAGTATCAACAATCTGCTGACCAGCAATATCCCCAGCCTGTTGCTCAGCAGTATCAGCAATCTGCTGACCAGCAATATCCCCAGCCTGATGTCCAGCAGTATCAGCAATCTGCTGACCAGCAATATCCCCAGCCCGGTGTCCAGCAGTATCAGCAATCTGCTGACCAGCAATATCCCCAGCCTGATGTCCAGCAGTATCAACAATCTGCTGACCAGCAATATCCCCAGCCTGATGTCCAGCAGTATCAGCAATCTGCTGACCAGCAATATCCCCAGCCTGATGTCCAGCAGTATCAGCAATCTGCTGACCAGCAATATCCCCAGCCTGATGTCCAGCAGTATCAACAATCTGCTGACCAGCAATATCCCCAGCCTGATGTCCAGCAGTATCAACAATCTGCTGACCAGCAATATCCCCAGCCTGTTGCTCAGCAGTATCAGCAATCTGCTGACCAGCAATATCCCCAGCCTGATGTCCAGCAGTATCAACAACCTGTTGCTCAGCAGAACCAGCAATATTCCCAGCCTGTTGTTCAGCAATATCAACAACCTCCTCAGTTTGGTAAGAGATCAGAAGTCATCTTGAGTGTTGTTTATTCTGCATTTCAACCTAATTTCGCCCTTTTTCCTCCAATCATTGCCTCTTTTCCTACATGTGCTGAAATCTTGACCAGTTCGTGGTTCATTCAGTTAACTCCAAGTTCAATGTTTTTATATGTTTAGCTCAACAACAAGTTGTACAGCAAAATCAGGCGACTCAACCTGGTGAGTCACTTTCTCAGTTAGTGTCTTTTAATTGAAGATTAGTATAAAGTTTAAGAATGCACAGTAGAACCCATGAGTTAGTGGCGAGTTTTTAACAAAGTGTTATCGACAGCAAACCCTGTGGTGGTGATGCAAGTGAGACCAACTGAGGCTCCTGGAAATATGTTGTGTCCACACTGTAAGACCAACGTTGTGAGCGTAACCGAATACAAATTGGGCATGCTCACTTGGATAATTGTTGGAACACTGTTTTTCGTTGGGTGAGTAATAAGTTGAAGTATTCTTTTCTAGCCAACGGGGTTAGCAGTGCTGCTGCCCTTGCAGCCACAGGAGGGTGGTGGAGAACATTTTTTAATTTCCACCCCTGGATTCACTCCCTGTTTGTTTAGCACTTTTCTTTACACCTTCGGTCCATGCACATAGAGGCAGTTTGCTTTCTTGTTTAAAACAAACAAACCAAAAATACACTTGGTTTTTCAGTTTTTATTTATATATTTTTTATTAAACCAAAATGAAAGATGGGAGAACAGACCATTATCCGATTTTTGTGCTAAACGAGAATGGAGAATCCAGATAAAGACTGCACACTTTTGGATGAATTAACTGTTTTTTTAATCGAGTGGTCTTACTATATTATTGCTTTGTCTTTTTTGATCATACCCCTTGTCCAGGTGTTGGCCTTGCTTTGTGATCCCGTTCTTCGTGAGCGCCTGCAAGGACGTGCAGCATTCCTGCCCGCAGTGCAACAACGTTCTGCACGTCTACCGCCGCATGTGATTCACATGTGAACTGCAGTTACTGACAAATTTGTTGTACCTCCTTTAAAAGAGGACTGACTGTAAAATGAATACATTTATTAGGTTTCCCTGAAATCTTTTAACAAACCATTGATATTTTACTCTTTATGGTGTCTCATTAACAAATACTTTTTTTTAACATGTTTTTCAACACTAACCATTGACATGAGAATGTGGTTCTGGTTGCAAAAGAAGATTTCTCTTACTTTAAATAGTGCAACATTTGATCATTGTTGTAACGAATCAGAACATAATATCTACAAAAATATCTAAAATGTTTAATTTATCTGTTCATTGAGGTCTTCTTGCACTGTACAGTTATTTAATTGAGAGCTGCACTGTGAAACTACAATTCCCAAAGCCTGCAGGAATTGATGCGGTCATAGAAATAACTGTGTTTTGATCATCATTGGTAGATGTATTTACATGTGTTTTTATTTAAAGGTAATCTTGTTTATCATCTTATAAGCAATTGTGTTTCTGTAAGCAGAAGAAGAGACAGAACTGTGACAGCCCAAAATACAGTGTATCTGGAAAGACCTGCGTGTGTGTGTGTGTGTGTGTGTGTGTGTGTGTGTATGTGCGTGCGTGCATGCGTGCGTGTTTGTGTGTGTGAGCTTGTATTTGGTACAATGTTGGGCCCATTTTTACATAAAATACTACATGACTTCATACAACTAAATGTAACGACATAATAAAATGTCATAAATTCCTAAGAGAGCTTCATGCAGAACATTTCTGACACTGACATGCAATCCTGGCAGACATCGGATCGATTCTGTTGTGATACCAAAAAAGAGATTATGGAGCCTCATGAGGCTCAGGGCTACATATTGTCACTGGAAGGAGACAGAGTTACTCTGATTAACAGAAGATGTAAAACTGATGCATGTAAGATTGCAGCCAGGTTGAAACAGATGAATAGATTTTACTGCCATCAATGATCAATAAAGAGCTTTTGCTTTAATAGCCCCAAACAACAGCTTACTTCATTCAATATTTAGTCTAACACCATGGGAAAAATCATGTCCGCAACATATTAAAGTAAATGAATAAGTGAAAATGAATAGTGGGGTGTTTCCTGAGACGTCTAAAATTTTACAATATGGCTGAATGTCACCATCAAGTGGTCAGGTGCAAGAATTACACCCACTCTGTTCTGAACACGTAGGTTCTCTGAGAATTAATATATGGAAAATAACACTGAATAAAACAAAGTTTTATGATCACAAAAAATGGGAACTTTTGTATCATGCCTTTTACTTTAGGTATTATACCTAAAGTAAGGCGAGATTCTTCCCCAAACCAGGTTTGGGTCCTGCTCTGCCTTTAGTGTTTTAATGATTCTACACAGAGAACAGGAAAGCCAAAAGGTACCACGTAAAGTTGTGCTAACCTTTTAATTAGAAATAACAAATAGTGGAGTAATAGTTCAGTCTGAAGATGAAAGAAAGAAAGGTTCGACTGTTTCTCCACCTGCTCGGTTCCTATCAAGCACATTGATCAGGATTGACACAACGGAGTTGGAAGACGTTAAACAAAAGAGAGAAAAGTTCACCTGTTAGTTAGAAGTCTGACTTTGCAATAATATGCAGGGTTTACTTTGGGCTTGGACCATGCTGAGGTTTTGAACCCTCGATCTGAACTCTAATGGTGAGAACGTTCTTTCCACCTTCAGTTCTGTTTTCTAATTGATTCCTATCCTAATGGCCCACATCCTTAAATCATCTGTGGGAGGCCTGATTAAGTGTAAATGTCTTTAAATAAATTGTGTTTTGTAGATTTTTGTCTCTTTGTCCTGTTTTTGTAACAAGGTTAAAATGTGTCTGTTTTTGCCATTTTCAAAATTTTGATCAACATTGTTTCTCTTCCATACAAATTGCCAACAAAAACACAAAAGTCAACTAAGAGTCAATCTACACTTTTTTGTTTGTTTGTTTTACAAATTTGCACTTGGCCACAGGATGTTTGCTGAAGTTATTTTTAAAGAAGCTACACCTACTTCTGCATGCCTGTTATGATGCACCACCTTTTAGCTGTCACACACCGGCAGAGTGTGTTTTGACTCAACTATTGCTCGGCGTCAGGTCAATAGGACGCTCTGGTTGTTGTGACTCTTCCTGGCCGTCTTTCAAGACATTCAACAAATCCATTGAAAGGTGAGAAAACCTAGAAAATGCAGATTAGGAGAAGACATGAACATTAAATGCTCTGGTACTAAAAAGACAGCAACAGTGCTGTGTGTCGAACACTTAATCCCAGACTCTAACAAGAAGTCAAAAATTCACAGTTGTATCAGGAAAACCTTTCAATTAGCTTTTATTACGACATACAGATTAAAGGTAACTTTTCTGAAATTAATCTTTAAACATCTAGTGGGCATAAGTTCTCATGTCTGTAAATGTTTTTATTTGTTTGATGTTACACTCTTAGCTTATGATGTTTTCATAAGCTGTAAGCAGAAAAACATAATGAACATGAACAAAACTTTAAAAACATAATCCTATGAATAACACTGAGGTACTGAGACAAATGACATTTTCAATAATATTATAATTAATTAAGAGGCACCTGTATATGGAGTTTTGTGCGTATTTCCTACAAGTATAACGCTAGAACAGGTATCATGTATCACTGTGAAAGAGAAATGCTTATGTTGTGTATGGAACGAATCCTGAAGGACTAAAAGCCTTTCAGTGTGGAGAAGATTCAGCTGCAGTCTGAAAACAGATCACATTACATAAGCTTTTCATAAAATAGGTAGGGGACAGGTTCAACAAGGTCTGCAATCTTAGGATGTTTTGACTTGCGTCCTTCGCATTCACTTCATAATAAAAATGACGCATTACGTCCAAGTTCTGGCAACATCTCCAACCCCATAAGGTGTTGTTTGTAAAGTTACACATTGCAAAAAAACAAACAAAAAAAATAACAGCAATGTTTTAGGTTATTTAGTCCACTAAAATAAATTGGGCTCCATTTGATCAAAGACATATTTTCACTATGTTATGCATATATCTCCAAATGTCACAGTTCCAGCATTGATAAATATTTAGTTCACAAACCAAACATTCAGCTGCAGACCAAATGTCTTTGCTCACAGCTAAGTATTCTCTTGTTTTGTTAAGTGGAAGTGGACTGTCAAAATAAAAGCTGGGTCTGCAAACGTCTGCGTGTCTTCAGTGTTTCGAGATGTAGTCTGGGATAGAGTTTGGAGCTGTGACATTTTGCAATTTAACAAATAACATATAATTTTGAAAAATGAACAAGCTGAAGAATGTTGCAGAATTTCAACGTCCAGAAGTGAAAGCCTGATTAAGACGTATCCACACAGAGACTCCACCTTCCCAAGGTGGTAGAAAATGCTAGACTTAAGATCAAGAAGGACTTTCCAATAAAAGCTGATAAACTGGTCATGTTCAATAAACTGAACATGGCAATCATTAATGAAAAGCAGAGGACAACCGTTGTAATCAATCTCGCTCTGGAAACATCAAGAAAAAGGAAAACAAGAGAGTACAGAAAAACCAAGTGCATCAGAGTAAAATGAATTCAATATATGTTTATCCACCACATACAACTTACAATTATGCATTTTCCTTCCACCTTGCGTTTAAACTCTACCCGATATTGATTTAATACAATCTTCAAAGGCAAAACGGTTCAAGCGGTGTGGAGAGTCTCGAGAGGCAATGCCCAACACAACCAAATCAATATCTATTGAAACGTTTGACGGGTTCTGATCCAGCTGAAGAGTGATGGGGATTGACTGGATTCTACTGATTGGGACAAGATTGACGTGCGCAAAACACACTGCTCCCGTTTGGTTGACGTCATCAAAATGAACAGAAATAGCCGTGCTGACAAAGAACAATGGTTAAAATGACTCAGCTAAGAAGCATGCCGGTGAGGCCTATTGATGAGTCAGCATTTCACCTGCTGGACTGGTTAAGCTTTCATACCCAAAGAATCCAAAAATCACATCCTGGCTGTCCACTGTGACAAAGATCGAAAGGGGTCCTGTCTGTCAACAGTCCACGGCAATAGTCCTGCCATAATTTATGTATGGGATTAGGACTTTGACTGGACCATTCCAGAACATCTGCCCTGTTGTCTTAAAACCACTTCTGTATATCTTCAACTGGATGCCTCAAGTTGTTGACTTGCTTAAAAAAAAAAAAAAAAAAGCTCTCCGAAGTCAGTCTTGCAGTTGGAAACAAATTTCCCAATATTTTGCTGGACTTACTTATTTTATCTTCTGCCTCTGCAGGCCTTCAAGGCCCTGCTCCTTTTACTTAACCTTGGAGTCTCCTTGAGTCTTGATTTGAGTTTTCCTCAACGGGAGAATTCTCATTGCCAAGCTCCCATAAAGCTTTGACTGGTAGAGAAACAACCAGAGGCAGTGTGTGCTTCGCCTCTTCCGTCTTGACTGCTGAAGTTTTTAACTTCTTCAGATTAGTCAAAGGAGTTCTGGTGTCCTCTTTCAGTAATCTCCTCCTCATAGTGTCAGTTTGTAAGGACGGCCTGATCTGAGGATATTTACACTTGCACCATATTCCTTCTGTTTCTTGATGAAGAATTTAAAGGGGTACTACATACTTTCTCCTTGAGAGACAGAGAGAGGAGCTACACAAGGGCCTTTCACGTTTTTTATCCAACAGAAAGTTTACAACCAGGTCTTTTTCCTACTTATTTGTGCTGCCTTATGTCACACCTCATTCCACTACATTTTGTTGTTCTACTACATAAAACCACAACATAATTTACTAAAATGTGTTGTTGCATTGTAGGTGACTCAGACAAGCATTTTTTAAAAATACATTCAAATGACACAGCACATAATTTAACCTGCCCAGTTTAGATAGATATGTCACAGCCTATTTTTGTCAGATGATACTCTTACAGAGCGAACGTGACCTTATGCCGTGTTACAGACACAATGAGTTTTGTTTTGGAAAGAAGTCAAGCATCACTTTGAAATGCCCCAACCTGATAGACAACTTTTCATGCATTCCTCTATGCTGCACTCAGCCTTCTTTTTTTATCTTTATCTTTTGACAAGCTTGGTATCACAGTTTACTTCTACTTCTTCAATGAAAGGAATCAGAAGAACCGCTGGACATAATTGATATTTTACGTTTTGTAATCATATTTGTTTCACTTTTTTGACAGATAAAATGGAAAAAGGTAACGGACCTCCTCCAGATACCGAGGGTACTTCGGAAATTCCAGATATCCCAGCGCCACCGTATCCTGGCCCGCCTTTGGACCCCAGTGTGCTCACCAGTCAGCCTGTTGGTCATCCTGCTGCTCAGAATGATGTTCAATACGACAACCGGCCAGTGTCCAAGTCTGTTCGTCAGGAACATTCCCAGGCTGTTAATCAGCAGAATCCTCAGCCTATTGCTCAGCCTGTTGGTCAGCAAAGCGAACAGCCAACCTCTTCACTCCAGGTGAATATTGTTGAGCACCAACCTGGAGTTCAGCAATACCCCCAACCTGGAGCTCAACAAAACCCCCAACCTGGAGTTCAGCAATATCCCCAACCTGGAGTTCAGCAATATCCCCAACCTGGAGTTCAGCAATATCCCCAACCTGGAGCTCAGCAATATCCCCAACCTGGAGTTCAGCAATATCCCCAACCTGGAGTTCAGCAATATCCCCAACCTGGAGTTCAGCAATATCCCCAACCTGGTAAGAGATCAGAGACCATATCAGTGTCATCAAACCTGCATGATCATAAGGGAAAACTAAGTTATTGTGTATCTTCATGTATGTTTTTGCTGTAATCTTTTGATCAGTTTAAACTTGATTCAGTTAACTCCAAGTTCAATGTTTTTATGTGTCCAGCTCAGCAACTAGTTGTGCAGTATGTTGCCACAACACAACAAAATCTTCACTCAGGTGAGCCTATTGTTTGTCAGGTTTGTTTCTCATTACAGAAAATTTGATTAAAGTTTAAAATATGTATACCAGTGTTTCAGAGATGGTGATGGGTCTTACCAATATATTACTGAATTGGACAGTGTCTATTGGTTGTGATGTGTCGACTACATCACTTTTACATTACTTTGGATTTAGTCATGTGAACTAAATCATACTGTTATGATGTAGTTTTGTCTTTTAGTTGCTTCCATTTCCAGATCAGTTGTTGCTGTGGGTCCAATGGTCACGAGATGTCCAATCCGTCATATATATGGACTGTGTGTTTTAACAAAGTGTGCTTGACAGGTAACCATGTGTTGTTGGTGCAGCACATGCCCACTGACGTTGCTGGAAGTATGCTTTGTCCGCATTGCAAGAACAATGTTGTGACCTCCATCGAATACAAAGTGGGCCTGCTAACCTGGATCATTTTTGGAGTGCTGTTGCTTTTGTGAGTACAAACTACCACATAGGAATGCACAGAATGTCAGGTGGCATGTTCTTTACAAACTATGATTCTACTGCCCCCAAGAGGCACTGATATGCCATTACATATAAACACGATTTGCAGAGAATTATGAATAAATGCAGGTGCTTAAGTATAAAGCCCTGGCACAGCATCCAACTCTTACTTTAGAAAATAAAAGGAATAACTCCTCAAGCTCAAGTAGGAATTTTACTTTTTCCTTCACAACTCAGCAAACAACTCATGGTGAGCCAAATATTTAATGACCTAAATGTAATTGTGCTCATGATCAATCATGATTCCTTTTATCCTGTGCTTCACATCAGCTGCTGGCCGTGCAGTTGTATCCCCTTCTGCGTGAATTCCTGCAAGGATGTGCAGCATTCCTGCCCAGAGTGTAACAACGTCCTGTACCTCTACAAGCGGAGGTGAAATCCATTAGTGCCTGACACGCGTGCTGGACATCCATTAAGAAGGACTGTAAATACATTTATTAAGTTTTTCTCATGTCTTTTATCAAGCTGTTAAAACGTGACATGAACTTATACTGCTTCACTCTGAATTATGTTTCATTGCTAAAAGGTTATTTTTATAACTGGGTACGACCATTTAACTCAAGAGCAGGAGAAATTGTGTTTTCTCTGACAATAAAAGCTGCAATAGGAAACTTAAAGAAATGAGTTTGACACTTTAAAAACTGTCACTATGTTGTCACAGTTTAATGTACCACGGGGTGTTGTCGTCTCTAGAAATAACCAATCAGAGCCAGGAGGAGGGTGGTAGCGCTGTCCATCATGCTTGTGTACAGGATGCATGGTGTGAGCCTTGCTAACAAGGGAAAAACAACTTACAGCTACAGGAAAGCTAATTATCTGTCGACATCTTTGGCTTTGCTAAACAGCCTGAGCTTTTATGACAGGCTCTGCTGGCAGTGAGAAGCTGAAGTGTGGCAGAGAGTAAGAGGGAGGCTGTGTGCGAACAGAGGTATGATTGACAGCGCTAACCTCCTCCTTCTAGCTCTGATTGGTTGTTTCTGACAGACAGTGTATTTCTGCATGACAGTGGGACCACAGGCAGGAGGCCATGCTCTACTATCACAACATAGTGACAATTTTACAAATTTGTAAAAAAAACATTTTTTTGATGAAAGTTACATTACATAAAGCAGATTTAAATGTGAAAGTAAAACTGTGCTCATCATCATGTTATTGAATATCTCCATAGTAGACGGCTTTTGTTGAAATATTGATGTTTTATTGAAACCCTGAAAGAAGGTTTTTTTATTTACCTCTGCATATACGAACAAATTATTTTATAATTTTACAACTGGAGCATTAGCCAATGTGTTAAACATATCAAAAGATATTTAAAACCTAATAAAAAAAAAGATTTGCATGAATGTATGTTTTTAATAAAATGTAATATGCTCAAATCTTTTGCTTACATTTACTTAGTGATTATTGCTCAACACTATGCATGTAAATAGTAAATAATCATGATTAAATCAAATTCCAAATTTCAAGATGTAATTTTGACTTTTTAGACCAAACATGCTCATTTAAAATTCTGTTTTATATTTTATGCGTTGATTTAGGTCAGGATGTAATTTTGTTTTCGATAGTAGATTTCTTTGACTGTAAATAGCACATTTTACAATTGTTCAAAAAAACTTAAATGAATCTCATTCCATGTAAAATTAAACAAAATCCTAAAATATTCAAAAAGAAAACTGAAAAAGTTTTTTTTGTGTGTGTTTGTGTGCTTATTGATGAAGGCTTCCTTGCACAGGACAAAGTTTTATTTAACAGGATGGAGAGTTGAATGACAATCTTTCCACGAGTAAATACCGCCCTTCTTCACAGAAACTGGCCTCTGTCTGAACCCCCGACCCTTTTGACCCATCTCGCTCTTGTCAACTCAATATCATGCCTCTTCCCACCTCATGAGTTTCAGGCATTGCAAGAGTTGAGAAGTTATTAAAATTGACTGTTAGATTTTGGCTTTCTGGCTCAACAAAAATGCCTCACACACCAATGCCTTTATGGACGGCACCTTGTCATGACATTCCCTGTGTCCTTCTTTATCCCCTCATGCAGGGGGTTGGAGATTACTTCTCTCTTAACAGACTTAATTGAATCATGTCTTCCAGGGTGTTATGCAACACTCTCCACTGGGATGGTCACATGGCCAAGGGCTCACCTGTGTTTAGAGCGACCATCTGCTCTTTCTCAATCGAGATGCCCGTTTTCTGCAGCATGCGTCCCATCTTCATCTCCATTTCAGCTCTTAATATCACGGCACTTCATCATCCATCAGCAAATATCCCCCACAGTTTAGAAGGGACTGAGAAGTAAAATGTTGTGGGAGCAAGAAGGAGGGGAGTAACGTCAAGATGAAATAACGCCAAGACGTGCAAACAAAGTGATTAATGCTAGACAGGCTGTGAACTGCCATGCTTATGTACTGAGCTTATTTCCTCTTTTCTTCCTGGTGAGACAGGTGCAACAGCTAATCATGCTGCCCGCGTGTGTGTGGGCGAGCAGAGGTAAGCTGGGACTGCATCTCTCTCTCTCTCTGTTGACACCTCCGCAGATTCAGCGTGAAGCTGGGAGAGAGAGAGAGAGAAAAAGCAACTCAGACATGCAGACTGCACGAACAGAAAGATGAGGACAGAGGGAGTGAGAGAGAAAGGAGTGAAAGAGGCTGAAGATATATTTTGACCGTGTGGGTGTGTGAAGTCTCGAGGCATGCATCATAATTGTGGGTTCTTCTTCTTCTTCTTCGCGGAGCAGCTGGACAAGTCACTACATCAGCAAGACAGCGGAGGTCTTTCAAAGTGTGCTGTTGTACTTTTAAGCAGTCAGAGCTGAAAGGAAAGGCAGCGACAAAATGGAAACCGCTTTGTTTCTGCTGCCTCAAGGACTTCATTAAGTGAGAGTCTGAAAACACTCAAGAGACTTAAGTCATGTCAAACAATGATGTGTGGGAAATGATAAAATATCTGCACTGTGAGTAACCCAGAATTCAAATCAAGAATTCATCTGAGGTGAGTTTTACTTCTTTGTCTGAAATGTGAAACCATAAGAAAGCACTGATTTTCAGCTGTTGTTGTATTTTGGTACAAGCTTTCTGCATCAAGCTTGTACCAGTTAAATTAAAGGTGCATCTTAATGCTTTGGTGAGGGCTGGGGAATGCATTATATTCATTAAATCAATCCGAGTGTGAATAATTATTGTGTGTGTGTGTGTGTGTGTGTGTGTGTGTGTGCAGACTGTTGTGTTGTTCTGTGCTTTTAGGTACTGAACTCGACTCCTGAAAAGCCCAGTATGCAATGTAACCAGCCCACGCTGTTTCCCATTTCCATGGAAACTATTGCCCAGTGCTGAAACCTGTGCTATTCTGTGGAGCGAGAGTGTGCATGTGTGTGTTTGAACAACATCACACAAGAGGCTTGTGGAATAAAAGCAGAAATTGCCGTTTCCACCATTTTTCTCATAATGAAGATGTGACGTGGACCTGAATGGATGAAATTACTTGTTGCTTATCTAACTCTAACTGTGTCTCTCTTTGCCCTGTTTTCCTTGTTTGTCGCCAAGATGGCCGTCAGCCCTTTTGTCATCTGCCTCCTGACTTTGATCAGTTGCAGCTCGTCTCAGCCCACTCCCCCGCCTCCCCGAGGATGCAGCGTGGGCGTGGAAGCCCCCTACAGAGTGCTGTGTGACCTAGAGGCGGTCTGGGGCATCGTCCTTGAGGCCGTGGCCTGCAGCGGCGGCCTCACCTCTTTGGTTCTTGCGGTGTTGCTCATCGTCAAGCTGCGTGGGGTTTCTGACCCGGCCAGGCGCTCTGGCCTCGGCCCTCTGCTCCTGCTCCTGGGGACCCTCCTCGGGATCTTCACCATCTCTCTGGCTTTCTTGGTGGGGAAGACCCAGGTGCTCTGCGTGGTGCGCAGGGCCTTTTGGGGACCCCTCTTTGCCCTCTGCTTCTCCTGCTTACTAGTGCAAGGTGTGAGACTCAGGAGGCTGGTGGCCGGGAAGTCAAGCCCCACTGGGAGCACGCTGGCAGCGCTAGGACTGGCATTGGCTTTGGTTCAGGGGATAATCTCAGCTGAATGGGTTCTGTTGACTGTCGTGAGAGAGGGTCATCCAGCATGCGAGTATCCTCCCTTAGACTTTGCTCTGATGTGCAGCTACACTCTGGGCCTGCTCCTCATAGCCATGGGTCTCTCTCTCGGAGTGGTGCTCTGCGGAGGAGAGTTTGGAGAAGATGAAGGAGATGGCAGAGAAGAAGACAGAGAAGGAGAGACAGAAAAGCGACAATGGAAGTGTAATGCCGTCTGGGTCTTTCTGTCCAGTTTGGCGTCTGCATTGCTTTGGGTGGCCTGGCTGGGGTTCTACCTTTACGGCAACCAGGCGTTGAGAGGGAAAGGGAGCAGGGAAAGAGGCGGGAACAAGGATGCAAAAGTATTGGATGAGCCTGCTCTGGCTGTGGCCTTGGTGATCCAGGGCTGGATCCTGCTGCTGTTCCACGCGATCCCAGAGTCCCACCTGTGTCTCCAAAATCCAACACAATCCGACACGCAAGATTTCTTCGACACCGGCCGCGCGTCACCTGCTCCTCATTTCGGCGATGACCACCCCGCACATTCTCACCAGTCTTTTCAAGAAAACCAGGCCTTCTCAATGGAGGAGCACAGTGCAAGTAAGCCCAATGTGAGCTTGTGGTTCTGTTTGTTATGTCAGTGGCCGATGGTCATGCTACTCAAGGAATTTCCAACATGTCTTAGATGTTCACCTGTTGCCACTTGTGTAATTGAATAAGTGAATCATAAACAGATTTCTGCAGAGCTCGGTGGAAGTAATGAAGCAGAGGGCAGGGCAATGCATTTAATTAATAATAATAATAATAATATATATATATATATATATATATATAATATATATATATATATATATATTATATATATATATATATATATATATATATATATATCTGAAATAAGTTTTACAGTAAGCTGTGAAACCACTGAGTCTGGGCAATCTAAAGAAAAGTGAACACAGTGAAAACAGTCACCCAGTGCAGTTTCTCTATAAAATAGGAAGACTAAGCGATTTTGAAAAGGTTTGACATTTTCAGACAATTATGTGATCAGACCTATAGGATAGGTAGACTGACATTCCTTGCAGAATGTGAAAACCATATGTTAGAAGCTAAGTGGATAAAATTAATTATATCCAGTTCAGCATCTCTAACAACTATTGGTCCAAAGTGCCTAAAAATAGACCTCACACAACAAGTGCAAACCGACACAATGGACTTCTAAAAATAGCTCATCCTCACAGGGAGGAAGATGTTAACACCAAGTAGCATTTCCAACAGCCTGGTTCCCACTAGCAATAAATACATGGAGGGGTAATTTAAACTACCAGCTTTTAATGGAGAATCTCAAATTGAGTAGTAAATCAACATAGATCTATATTAGTTTGTGTTCAAAAAACACAGCAGCAATGCATTCATAATCTTCATTAAGCTATATTAATGTACATGAATCTAAAACGTTTGCCTGAAAAAGTGTCTTTCTATTTTCATTGAAACATTTCTATCATAAATTTAAAGAAGCGGGGAGATTATAGTGTTTTTGTCACAGTAGCATGTATTTAACATCAGTTCTGCCTGATTACATTTTAACTTTGGATTTCAAGAAAAAACACAGCAGGAGTCTATTGTAGTCAAACATTTATTTTTACTAGCAATCATTCCAAGTTTTAAATGCTAATCGTTAATGTAATTAAAATAAAGATGCGGTCACAAACTGCTTTACAGACTATTTCTACAACTAAAAGTGGCGTTTTATGAATGAATGTATGCGAAAGTTAAAGGACTCAAGTTTCACACCTCTGAGGTGGAAAAAAATAAATGTCAGCTCCGTTGCTCGCGTTCAATACAACAAACAGATTGCTTTGTAAAAGTATATTTATGAAGCCGAAATAACTTATCTCATTTTGTACAGTTTAGACCGTAGGTGTGCTTTGGTTTTATCTTAAATGAACAATTCAAGAAAATCAATAATGCTGGCTGTTTAAACTTAGCAAGTCATTATGAATTATTGGCCATCAATAATGCAATAATCTTCCTGTTTTGCCACCTAGTGGACAGACAACGTAAGTTCACAACTCTTCAAGGTGAAAACCACAACCAAAGCCATAACGTTGTCTGAAGTTTCACATTTGGCAGGGATTTTTAAAAAAATCTAGTTTCCGAATCAAATGATGCTAATGGCAAATGGTGAAACTGTACCTACCAACCTACAGATGTTTATCAAAAATCTGTCGGGAATCTCTGAAGGAATTTATCTACTTACTTTGGATCAACTTAGATTGGATTATGAAACTGACATCACTGTCAGGCCCTGTGTTGTTTTGGGATTTGATTTATTGACTCTAGTTGTATTATTATTCTGTGCTCCTTAGTCTATTTCTTTAATCACATCAGCCTGGTTTCTGTTTTATGAAACAGAAACAGTTTAAATACTGTGAGCGTTCAGCCTCACAGTATTTAAACACATTATATTCCATTGCTTCCCTGTCCAGTTTTTTTTTTGTTACCAGTTTCTGTGTTTTATGTTCTACCAATAAGTTTGTTTTTTTTTATCACCGTTTTTTTCATTAATCATTCATCACTACAAACTACCCAATGTCTCTGCCTTACTGCATTTGGGTCCACCATCAACACTCATCATGACAGTCACTTATTTTACTGCAAATCTAAACATATATGAGCAAAGTCATGAATTCATGTGAAAGCCTCTTTCATATATTTTTAGAATATATTTATTGTAAATGTGTGAATACGGGGAAGGCAGAAAATAGAAATGGATTGTTCCTCCAATCTAGTATATTTACATACTTTAGACAGCAAAAACAAAACCAAAAAACAAACCAAAACATATTTCAATCTGAGTCGCGTCGAGGTTTGAATATGTCCTTTGTTGTGGCTTTGTGTAAATCAAACCGCCCGTCTTGTGAAACCGCTTATTTTGCCAGGGTCGTCGGGGAAGGGGGCGTGGCTGGGGCTGCAAGGATAAGTACCTGCTGCACAAGACAAAAAACCCAATTATATCTGAAATGTCTGAATATCCACCAGCCTTCACAAGACAGAAATTTGTGAGTCATTCCTCTTCAACTAATCACTACATTTTTCTGAACCCAGCTGCACTTATCAGGAGTTGATCTTTGATGAGACATAATGTTGACTGCAATGTTGCATTCTGCATTCTGCAGGAAGCTGCTGGTATGCGGTGTTTACGGTACGGTTGATATTTAGGAATCAGAGTTAATTACAGGGGCAACCAAGTGCCTGATAAAAGTTAAAAGGTGATGCAGCACATTTTAAAATGTGGAAACGTTTTACTGTCAGCAGAATCCTTTCTGTTTAAGTTGCTCCAAAGTTTAGTCTCCTTTACATATCTCTAAAAATAAAACTGGAGTCTTACTTCCTTTCATTATTGATTAAGCTTCTTAAAATAAAAAAAATCACAGTTTAGCTGTGCACAAATTGAACATAATTTTCATTTCTATCTTCGTGAAAACAGATCCCAAACTCGAGCCAGGCATGTTTTGTGGTGCTCCTCCAAACCCGCTGAAAACACTTTTCTTTTGTCACAGTAATGACATAAAATATCAACGTTGCCTTGGAGACCGCAGTGTCTGTGGGCTTTGGCAGTGAGCAGCCGCTCCAGACAGAGAGGGAACTGATATCACAGAAAAACATACAAGACTTCAGAGGGGCTCCAAATTAACCGACTGCAAAACGGATTCAGCAGCAACCATCTGTTTGTTTCCTCTCAACCGTCTCGTCCCTCTCCTGCAGCATTTCAGTACCGCTGAATTTCTGATGAAGCCATTCTCACGCACAGTTATTCTTAAAGCAGCACAATGAGTCAGAAACAGGCGCTGAAATAATGGCCGTTCAGACTGCGTGCCATCCAGCAGGCCGTCGTTTTCAAAAGTGATACTGGGCTTTCTTTCTGATGTGCTTAAATGTAAAATGTCTTGAAAGTTTATTTTGATGTTACAGCTCAGAGAACAAACGCAGAAAAAGCAAAGCAAATCTTTGTGATTCATCATTTTTGATCAGTTTTACAATAAAATTAGCAAAGACCGCAGCTAATGTGTTACATTTTCTCTTTTCTTTGTTATGATCTGTTATTGGGAACAGCATAAACTAGCCACTACAGCTATGCTAATGGGTATCTAGTTAAATGATGCTTGATTTGGTTAGTCATCCCTGTTGTTGCTATTGCCAGTAAATGTTAAGAAAAGCGTTATCTCGTCAGTAAAAAAATAACAATGCAGAGGAGCAAGAAAGAAAAGGCTGTCAGCAGAGGAAAAAGAGAATAAAATGGCTTCCTGCATGATCCCTGGTCCTCAGCTGACTCATCCATCCTAAGGAAAGCTTCATGTGAAAAATGTTTTTTCTTCTTTTTTTTTGTGGTCCTCGCAGGGTAATGCTCAACATTTCACGACGACGCAAATTACGAAGGAAGATTTTTTTTTTTAAATGTCTGCATTCCAAGATTTTTATTCAGTCCTTTTTGACTTACCCACACGTAGTAAAATTTAGAAAGACGTTTGTGCAGAAGAGCCCCTGTGTTGGTGAAAATCTTTCCACTGCAAAAGTGGTTGGAGAAATTTAAGCTATTGTGAAAGTCAGACTGTTTTGTTAAAATAATTAACAGAATCTCTTATGTTTGACTGAGCTAAACATCTGGGTAATGAGAAACACATTGTCATGTACTAGTCTTCTTCTTGGCAATTTTAAACAAAACCAATTATTAAATAGAGGATTTGTTTATGTGATTAATTGATTTTAAAGGGCTGTTTTCTAGAAGAATCGAATTGTCAGTCTGCAGTTTATGTACACAAATCTCAGTGAATTAAATATTTTTCAGGTTAAACATATATTTGAAAAACGACATACTTTATCAATATACTTTATCTTGATTACTAGAATCAAGAAGTCATTTGAGGAGGATGGAGTGTCCTCCCGTTTGTGTAATTTGTGAGAATTCAACAGTAGTAGGCAGAAGCAGTAGTCTGCCTCCGTCAGTGTGTGAATGTGTGTGTGAAGCGCTTTGGGGCTCTCTGGACTTAATAAAGCGTTGTACAAGTACAGCGGTTAAATCTATACTCCTAAAATGTTATAATTATCTCTTCAAGGAGGGGAAAATCTCATCACTTGGAAACAAGTCATAATAATGCACTTCATGCTGATGGTTTAAATAAATCTTGCTAAATAATATCCGAAATTAGCAAATTTGATCGCTCACAATGAGGCTCTTGTAGACGTGGGTATAATGACCTACATTTACTTGAGTAAATTGTTTTACAGTATTTCAACTGCAATGTACTTTTCTGCAATGTACTTTTTGCTTTAACTTGAATAAGGTTATTATGAGCAGAGTACTGCTACTCTTACTGGAGTAGAATCTTTCTATACTCTTCACACTGTGAGGGACTTCACCAAATGAAGAACAAACATGTTTGAACCAAAAATGCAACACATACATACAAACATCTGCAGTTCATGGCAAAATGAAACTTCATCTTTGTACTCGAGCTTCATTTTTCTAAAGCTGTTTTCTATTTGCTGAGCCTTTTGTGCCACTTGGAGGTCAGCAGTCTTTTAGATTTTGTCACTGAAGGTGTTTTTTACTCTGTTCAAACATAACATCAAATACTGTGAATACTGGTTTCATAAGTTTTATGTAGAAAAAAAATAACTTAATTTGGAAAATCGGTCACTGTTACTTGAGCATTTCATTCAATTTATTCACCCATTTAAAACCAAGGCATGCCTCAAATACATCCAGCTGCACAGATGTGTTTGAGGGGATTTTAGAAACATAACTTTTTTTTTTCTTCGCATGTTTTGCATCGACCATTCTTGCAGCTGCCCGAAGTGGAACGTACCACAGCGGCCATGGCAGTATGCGCCCAGGCATCGCCTACAGAGGCCACGTCTACCAGCCGACTGAGATGGCTTTGGTCATGAACGGCGGTACTGTGAGTATCGACAGGCACAAACACTCCGCATCCTTAAATCTGTAAATATGTCCCTAAATATTCCTGTGTCTCTTGCAGATGCCCACAGCTCCCATTAACTACACCGGGAGGCGCTTATGGTAACACAAGACAGGATTACAGTCAAGTCACTTTTGTGATGCTGAAGAGTTTCCTGTTACCGAAGAAGAAGTGTTTCAGTGTGTTTGTGTTTCTGCACATGTTTTAATATTATATTCAAAAGACAACTACAAATAGTATTTCAGACTAACTTTTTAGCTTATTTTACAGATTGAGGCGACAGCACGACATATGACAAGGATGGAGCATAGTGGCCGTATTTCCACTGAGGAATACATAAATATGACGAACAAGATTTATTTGAATGAGAATCACTGAACATGTCGAATTTGAACATGTGAAAGTCCAATTAACATGCTGAAGTAAACATCCTATTTAAGAACCTCGACACCAGTGCCACGGCGTCTGGTTTCTGTTAATAGGTGATGCTTACTTCAATAAAACTGCACTTTTGTCAAACTCAGCCTTTAGGACTTTAATGTAAATGACGAGCCTACAAAGCTTGCTTAATCTCTGTGTTGTATTTCAGGGTTCTTTCTTAGTGACCTTCTGACTCGCTGGGACACTTGGGCACACTTTTATTTAAAAACGTTGGATTATCAGGTGCTGTTAAGGGGTGAAGAAATGTCCCAACTTAGTAGTGGTATTTTAAGTGTTATGCTTTAAGGAAGCATATAATAAAAGCCATTTGATACTGCAATACCTAACCTGCACAGACAGTCATCAGTACAGAGATCGTGGTGGAATTGTGAGATTAAAGATTGTTTAAGTTGCATGTGAAAGCACAATGTGGGGGAACAGTATTTCATCTAAATGTTTGCATTTTATGGATGATTTTTTTAAAGTATTTAAAGTATTTTTATTTATACAAACATTTTTATGTACTATATATATATATATATATATATATATATATATATATATATATATATATGAGGTAGTTACTTGTTACAGTGGTTTTATAGTGAATTTATCATCTTAGATAAATAACTAATCAAATCAGTCATGTCTATTTAAAACCAACATAAAACTGGACGCTGCCTTATTAAAGAAAAATGAGACTGATTGCACATTTTCTCATGACTCCAGAGTATCTCAGAAACAAATTAGTAATGATCAAAACGAACCTAAAGAGCACGCTAGACTTTTTCTATTGGCAAATTTGGGAGATTTGTCATCAACAATTTTACTAAAAAAATAAAAAACAACAGAAAAAAGAAGTGGTTGCATTTCCTCTGTTTGATATTAAAGATGTCAACGCTTAGAACAACCCCAAATACTCCACTATGTTGTCCTGGTAGTCATGCTTCTTTGTTTTGCTGTTGGCTTATTATCAGCACAAGCTACACCAGTCAAATCTTATTAATAGATGGATCTCGATAAAATGTTTGTGTTATCTAGAAACTATCTGCAGCACCTGTTCCAGTACAACACTGAAAATGACATACCGTCTGCGCTCACTGCTCAGAGATGGTATGGTTTTTGGTAATTAGAAACTTTATGGCTTCCAGCGAATGAAGGACTTTGTTCTGGATTGGATTTTTGGAACTGGATTCCAAAAATCCAGTTCCAGAAATCTGAACATTGCATAAGACCAATAAAAGAAGCATTTTATTATAAAATCATATCACCTACTGAAAGCTACCGGACAGTTTGTCCTCTCAGCACTTGGCATGAATCACTGCGTCAGTATGGAGGAGACTGGCCTGCAGCTCTGCTCAGCAGTGAAGGAAGTCCTGCTTGCTCTAATAGTCACTTTGCTCTTTTGCATTGCTGGCTGTGGTGTCTCTTAACTCTATGTGCAGATAACTGGAGAGGTTCAATAAACAATTCGTCATACGTTTATTCTTTATTTTAACTGCTGGGAAATACAAAGATGATGTTTATTAATCCAAAACTGTGAATTTATAAAAAGAAAAAAAAATATATATATATATCTTATGTATGTTGCTTCTATTACAGTCTTATTGTTTTGATAGCTCTAGTTCGAAACAGCTTCTCAAACCTGTACTTCAAACACCATTTTGTGTACGTATGAGTAAAGGTTTTTCAGCTTCATCTTCTGAGCGACAGTGGATTCAATCCAGTTAATGCGTTTGTGCATGCGACTGTGACCAGTCCTTTTTGCTGTAACTCCAATCAAAAATGTCAATGGCTTTGTTTTTGTGTGCAGCCGAGTGCTTGTACATTGTACAAAGAAAACATGGGATCAATATGTAAAACTCTGTCTAACCTGCTTTTTAACTGTCACTGTAAAGAAAGACTGCTTTTCAGATGGGTTTATAAGAACAGTACTGCCACTGTTTTCTGGCAGCGTTTAAAATGAATGTTTGTAACGTGACTTGCACTAAGTGGCAATTACATCCTTTGCACAGTTTACTGTCTGGTTTGACTTTCTTCTCCTTCGGGATCTGTTGCTTTTAATGTCAAAACAGTTTCCAGGCGGCACTGATTTCCACAAATACAGAAAACCTCAGAAAAAGGGGCTGCCACAAGAAATGTGCAAATTATTTAACAGCTTGCTCTCTTTAAAATGACTGAGCAGAAGTCCTAACACTGCCGATAATGTAAGCGTTTCAAAGTAGCTGGAATATTTTTGTGAAACTAAGTCGATTTTGAAAAAGTATGGCAGAAAAAGAAAAGGAAAAAAAAGGCTGCAGGCCAACTGGCTGCTGTTTGCCAACTTCAAAATCAACTGAAAGCACAGTGATGGGTCTGTGAATGCTGAGCCACATGACATGACACATCAAATCTCACAAAATAGTCCAAAAACTACCTTCCTGTCTGTGGGAGGGTTTTAAAATTAACCATTCAATACTGAGTGAGTCATCGCAGTGTAAGTGCAGGGGCTGCAATTTAAAACTGGACTGCAGCTGGGTCCTGCACAGAGCCCAAAGCGCTATTATATTTAGTTTTTTCAGAGTCTGCTTGACCCAAACATGTATTCCACAGAACGAACATCATTTTCTGTAAGTAATAATCATTAAAATAATAACAAACAAGAGACTTGAAGTATTTCATTGTATGTGCATTTGAACTAATACATGAGGTTTACCTTTATTAAATTAAAGTTTAGGAAATACAGAAGGTTTTATCGAGATACTATTTTTTTAAGTAGCTTACCTGTAGGAACTGCCTGGTTGGAGCACAGGTCGTCGGGGAAGAGTTTTACCGGGAAAACACGATCCTTCAGGGCGGGGCAACAAAACTACACACAACACCTGTGTTGAAATCAGAAACATGTGAACAAAAGCAAAGAATTTGACTTCGGTTTCTCTTCTCAATGCTCTTCCGCGCCGCACGGGGACGCCAAAAGTATAGAAGAAAAAAAATCGCAATTTTGTGATGTTTCTGTATGTCGAATGAAAATCCGGTGTCAACATTTATTCCAGCCGTTATCGCAAAGAAAACGAGGGCCGCGTTTCATGCGCGCGCACGTTGCTAGGGACGCTCGCTAACAGGAACGAGCAAGCGCTACTTCCGCCTCGGAGAGTAAATGTGTCTCCACGTGAATTGTCAAAGTGTGCAAAGTAAGTAAGCAAGCAGCTCACTAACTGCGGCTTTATAAACACGTTTCAACTGTTCTTAGGTCGGAGTTGCTAACAGCTGGCAGGTTTTTTTTTTTCCATTTTCATGCTTTGTGGCTAACTTCAATAATGCTGCAGCTAGCCAACAGACAATGCTAGCAGCAGCAATGAATGACAGAATAGTCTAGCATGTTCATTTTGTCAGTTTTTACTCGTATTATCCTTTTATCCCGTTTGTCGATTTTTTTTCCACTCCGAATTAAGGTTGTGTTGAGTCGACTGTAAATGCGGTTGTTCTGAAAACACCAACTGTTGTCCACATTTCAGACGGATTCCGATGAGGACGTGGTGTTTGTTTCTGAAAAGTCTGCACGTAAACCCGTAGGGATCACAATCAGCCTGGTAATGACGCATTCTAACACCCAACTCTCTTTACAATATGTCAAAAAACTGCTATAGGTGATGCAAAGTAGCTTTGACTTAGTTTTCCCACGATGATCACTTTTTTAAAATAATCTGATAGTTGACATTTGTACAGTCAGACTGCTAGTAATTAAAAACATTTTGTATTTCTTCTATTCTTTGTCTCTTGACGAGTAATTGAGTATCTTTTTAGCCTGGCTGGTAAAATGTCTCATTCGTCATAATAAAACTTCTTATTTTTTCCTCTGTACTTTAAGAAACCTTCCAAGGGTGATTCAGATCTTAATCAGATTAATTACCACTCATGTCACGTTCAGCTTTCTCTAGATCAAAGTCAGTCTTCTGTCCCTAAATATATTAAAACATCCGCAAACAAATCTGGCCCCTCACCAGTCAGCAAAACATTCAAAAGTAAATTAGCCACAGGGTGCTGTACTTGTTGGTAGAGCCACAAAACACAAGGACAAACACCTAAACCCCAGTGCAACATGACTGACTTTGTTGTGGTTGTTTGGCTTCTGTGTATTTACATTTTAAATATGGCAGCAAAAGCACCAAGCAGAATGAATTAAATGTGCTGTTTTTCACATTTTGTCATAGGAAATCCTATTTAAATTAAGGCAGAGTTGCATAAAATTGTGAATATAAACTATTTTCAATGTAAATCCTTGAGAAACATCGATTCAGGAATCTTAATAAGCAGGATTCCTAACTGGATCAGTGTGGACAAAGAATAAAACTGATTGAGTTTCCAGACTGTTTTCCTTTCGCAGGAAATCCGATAATTCTGCTTGTACAGCATTTGCTCTCTTAAATGATTTTGATCATATTTTTCCTAATTCTTTTTTTAATATGTAAACACATTTTTCAAAAATCAACAACACATAAATACTTTAATAATGCATTTATTTATGACAAAACAGCCTCAGAAAACAAGAAGACTCAAAGTGAGAAAACCAAGTTGTAGACAGTTTTTAATTTGAATAAAAAACAAAAAGACTAGCTTGCTTTTTGTCAACTCACACTGCGACTTAATGCACACAGTTAAACTGTGATGGAGTAAATGTAGCTCCAGACTCAGCTTCGCAAACGACACATATGTAAATGACACGGTAGTTGTTTTTACTGTTCATGTTATGCACTCATAGCGAACATTAAGGCAGATTTGTCGCTTGGCTCTGCTGCAGGAGAAGCTACTGGCTCTGCAGAGGGACATTGATGAGCAGTCCCAGCCCACACAGCCAGCCAAACCTCTGGTCAGTGTTGACTCCTCCGGCATGTACAAAATGTGTTTGTGAACCATGATTTTATTATGAATCGAATTGTCCCCCCAAAGTAATAGTATTTATTTTTTGCATGATCCTATTTAAACCAGACAAGCCATGAGATGAGTGCTGACGCAAAGATGGAGGAGGATAACGATGAGGCAAATATAATAAAAAAGGAGAAAAAACAGAAGAGAGGACAAGCGTGTTCACCAGAAATCCAAATGTGCGCAGCTGAGAACGGGAGTCGAGCCAAGACTAAGAAGAAACGGAAAAAAGTAGAAACGGAGTCACAAGAAAAGGAAGATGAAGCAGATCAGAAGAAAGACAAGAAAAAAACAAAAAGGCAGAAACACAATGGAGTTTCCTCAGCTATTGAAATGAATGACGACGACAGGAGGAAGAAGAAGCCGATAGGGGACAGCGTAATCCAAGCAGAAAATATTACCTTGAAGGCTGAAAAATTGGAAAAGAAGAAAAGGAAAGAGGAGAAACTCAAGGACAAAAGTGTACAAATCAAATCAGAAAATCTGAAGATGGAAGAAGACGAGGAAATGCAGATCGGAAGTATTAATCACAAGAAACCCAAGAAGAAAAAAGGCAACGTTTTAGTTTCGAGGACAGCTGAGACTAAAGAGATAATTGTAGAAAAGAAAAAGAAAACTTCTGTAATAACTGAGGGAGTTGATGAAATCAAAGCAAAAAAGAAAGCAAAAGTGTTGGAAAATGGGATGAAAGTAGAAAAAGAAGAGACAGAGGTTAGCAAGGTGAAATTAAAAAGAAAGAAAGAGAAGGAGAGTAAATCTGAGGGACTTGGAAATGAAATCAAAGCAAAGAGGAAAAGATCGACACAGGACGAGAAATTTTTCCCAAAGGAAGAAAACAAAGCGATAGCTGTAGAGGAAGATTTAAGTGAGGTAAAGACCAAAAAGAAAAAAAAGAGGAAGAAAGCAAAAGAGGAAGACGGGCAAGTAGAAGCAGAGGAGATGGAGCCACAGAAGAAGAAAAAGAAAAGAGTAAAGAAGAACGAGGAGGTGGAGGACAAAATCACTCCGGCCGCTGAACCGCAGAGCAACAAGCGCAAAAAGAAGAAAACCTCAGCTGAAGACGATCAGGACATGAACACTGAGGCCCGGGCTGTGGGGAAAAAGAAGAAAAAAAGCAAAGAAGAGCAGGAAGACTCCCAGGTGAGTCAAAAAATAACTGTTGATCTGTTGTTTTCAAATGCCTGAAGCGGTCAGTAACCAGCCTGCGTTCGTGTTTCAGGACTTTCCCAAAGGCGATGTCGTCTTCCTATCAGCAAAGACCGGAAACGTCGACGAGGTCACCATTAATCCGGTAAAAAGCATCCCTCTGCATTGTGCTCACGGATGAGACCCTTCCTTTGCTTGAACAAAAGAAAGAAAAATAAAAACATGCAACTGAGAGCATTTTAAGCATTTTTCTTGGGATCAGGATCGACTTTGATTGAGACTGATTCAACTCAATTTTATTATTTTTCACTAATTCCAAACTCTTTAAAACATGTTTGGTATTTGTTAAAGGAAAAAGAAAAGGAGGATTCTTTGTGACCCACTATCTGTCTGTCTTGACATATCATGGCTCAATCGCCCAATCTAATTACATATTACCAAACAAGTGTTATTTGAAGAATGTTTAGTTTAAAAATTACAAGTTCTTGACATGGGTTTGAACTTTATTACATGCCTGTATTTCATATTTTGATGTCTAATACAATGTTTTGGTGACAGGAGAGAAGAAAAGCTCTTCAAATGGAGGTCGAGGAGGCTTCCCAACCTCAGAAACCGGATAAACCTGCAGTCAGTATCAGGATTTTTCTTGAATTCCTTTGATCATTAATTGAATACTCTAAATGCTTCCATTTTGTCTCCAGGTAGTTATGATAAAGCCAAGTGATACTCTGGGTGTTTTGGGGATAAATCAGATGTTTATTTTTACTTGGTTTATTTTGTTGTTTTAGCACATCTAACCAGTAGAGACCAAATTATTGCATCGCTACATTTCACCAGCCTGATTGGATTGTAGAAATGAGAGCCTGCAGAGCTTCATAGATATCTTCTTAGTAGATATTTTCTTTTCTTCTTCATGGTAGCTCATCTATACACTAAGCCTGCACTATAAATACTTTCATCTTTATAACTAGTCCTAGTTGTGGGCACTGCTAACTAAAAAGCTAGTTCCACTAACCTTAAAGGGCTATACCAACACAAGCTAATGCTAATGCGCTAAGTTCAACCATGTTGAATATGTCAGTGGCAAACCATATTGCAACTAGGGGCAGGACTTTAGCACATTAATGTCAATGTATTTATTTTAGAGACTTTAAAGCGTTGAAAATTGTAAAAATGAAGTTTAGAGGAAAAATAAACTAAAGCGCTGAACAAAACATTAGCTCCCCCGTTAGCGCATTAGCATAAGTGTGCATAAACGTTTCAGATTAGGGACCTGATGAGAGCTGCCATCAGGGCCGAGGCTTCATTCATTCCTTTGACACTGCAACTTTCTAAGATGGAGATTCAGAACCTAAATGTTCTCCCTAATTGTCTTTGGAAGGCTTTGGGTCAGTGGAGTACCGCTCAGTTCGACAACTCCCAACAGCAGCAGAAGTTCTTGCGGCTGATGGGCGGCTTCAAGAAGGGCTTCCAGCTGACTGGGCCCCCAGCTGCAGGAGCCAACATGGCGCTGGGGAAGGACGCGCAGCAGCACCTGCAGCAAGGGCTTCTGGGACAGTTTGAGCGAGCACACGCACGGAAAATGGACTTCGGTAACAGAGGGGCGGGACTTGGGTTTACGGCACCCTCCAATAAGAAGTTTTCCATCGACATCAATGCGACTCGATCCGTCCGCTTTGAGGACTGACTAGGGAGGTTTTTGTACTTCTAGTGTTTTAACAGAGTATTAATTCAACTGGGGACTGCAGTTTATAACTCACCAAAATGTATGTCTTGACATTTTATGAATGAGAAATTTGCAAATCGTATGTTGTGAATGTTACATACCAGACTTAAGATAGTAGACGGTTGTGGTTTTACCAACTTCTCTGAAGACTGTGATGATGTTTAATAAATTCTCAAAAACAATCTTGACTTTGGCTTTTTTCCATTTGAAAATGTGTTATACATCTAAATTGGTCTCTATGTTCTTGGTTTGAAAGCCTTTCCTCAGCCCAAACAGACGTGAACGTCTGGACACACTGGGCAGAGCAGCTACTTGACTAGCAGCTGACGTTCAATAAAAAGTCACAGGCAAATGCTCTGATAGTCATTTAATTTCATTCCTGCACATTAGCAGTCAGGGACAGAATAAAAGGAAAAGTTAACTTTAAGAAAAGCAGAAAATCAGGTTTGTTACTGATGGCTCGCAGACATTCAGCTGGAATATTGTGCTGGAATCGTACATCGTGTTTCATTGTGTTCCAAGCAAGGCAGCCTTGTTAAAGTCACTTTGCTTTGGGCTTTCCAGTCGCACTTTAAAAACACAAAGTCTTGCAAGGACACAAAAAATACATGCCATACAACATGGATCATCGTTCTGTAAATTCTTATTGACCAGCCACAGAACAACAACCTGCAGGAAAGATGCTTACTGCTAATTCATGCGTTTATACAAAAAGCCAACCTGTGTTACAAATATCCACGTTCCAACCACTTCAAGGTTTTAAGGCTAATTTGTTCCCATTTAATTACGTAAATTAATAGAAGTTAATGAGGCGTTTCAATATTTTTTCATGCGGTTTAATGGAGTGTTTGAACAACAGACAGCAGTCAAAGCTCAGAAAAGATTAAATACTCAGGAAAGGCCCATTCAGAAAAAAACTTTCCACCCTCTAAGTCTACTCAAGCAGAAAGCTTCAAGTGAGCGTGTTGCTGCTTTTACGAACACATCGGGTCTGAAGTGTCCCTGAGCAGGACTGTCCACCCGATTCCCCTTTGCTATGCTTATTTACGTCTCATATATACGCATATAAAAGCAGTATAAAATGAGAGCAGGCGTAAAAGAGTAGGCACTCGACAGAACCTCTCAGAGGTTAAAGAGGCGCCCTCTAAATTGACCTTGACTTTGTGTTTATTGCTGTCCGTGTTGAAACCATTAGTGTATGGTTGGAACATGGACCATGTCAACACGTCCTGTGTCACAATGTTACGACCAACCAAATGATGCAGCGTAGACATTCTGAACATAGCACTCACATTTGAAGCCCGACTTATTTCAGATGGCAGAGATTTCATTTTTAATGGAACCGTTCGTAGAGAATTACTCCATTTGACCCCAGATAAAACTTGAACTTTCCCTAGGAAGCAGCGGTCTCAAACTCCGGTCCTCAACGGCCGATGTCCAGCAACTTGCAGATGTCTCTCTGCTTCAGCACACCCGACTCCAATACCAGATCCTCAGCTAATCTGTAGAGCTTCACTGCATGTTAGCGAGGCGATTGAGCCATTTATGTTAAGAGTGGAGGACAAGGGACGTGTTTAAAAGTTGCAGGACACCGGCCCTCGAGGAATGCAGTTTGAGACCGCCGACTTAAAGAAAATTATGCAAAGCGAACTTTCACATCCCACACTGCAACCACAAGCTTCTGTGGATTTTATTGGCATTTAATGTGATCAACCAACACAAAGTAGTGCTTAATCTTAAAGCGAAATAAAAATGATGCAAGGGTTCCAAAAGGTTTTCAAATAAAACATCTGAAAGGTGCGGCGTGTTTTTGAATCTCCCTTCCCTTACGGCAATACTTTGTAAAACTATGTTTTTCTGCAATCAGGGAGGAAAGCCTATCTATTATTCGCAAAAATAAAAAAAGCTAAATCTCTGGACCTTTTTAAATCCACTTTGGTTTCAACTGAAACTGGTCCATTCCAACACATTTTCTAACTGGCCTGCCAGCCATTTACCTCCACTCATCTACTCCCACCAGCTTATTTGTCTCTGCTGAAGAAAAGCGCCGCCATAGCATGACACTGCCGCCACCAACTCTTTTCTGTGAACTTCTCCGCAACCTTATTCCTCGACTGTCTGCTGTGCTCCTTGGTCATCATGATGCTGTTTGTTGACGAATGAACGTCTGAAGCCTTCACAGGACACCGGGATTCACGGCGACATTAAATCACACACAGACAACCTCCGTTTTGAAGGCAACTTGTTGCTCTGTATTTTTACGTGGAGGTCAAATCAAAGTAAAAGGTGCTGAATCCAAATGTACACCACACATTTCAGATGTTTTATGTGTGTTTTGAAATACATGTATCATTTTCTTTCCGTTTCTCTTTACTGCACCACTTTGTGTCGATCCATCTCATAAATTCCTAATTGAATGCTTTACATGTTGCGATTGTCACGTGAAAATTTGAAACTGTTCAAAGCGGTGTGATTACTTTAGAAAGCCCAGGTACGTTGTTGGTTTGGAGTTTTCCGAGTAAAAACTTCTCTGGCAGCAAACTTTGCTAGATGTCCAGCAATGACTCGCTTTACATTACTCTACTTTTTTTTTTTTCTCTGACAGCTCAAATAAAATGTGCCAACCTCAACCAGAAATCCAAAATATAAATCCACTCCGGGTTAAAACAGAGGGGGCCGATAATTCAATTAATTATAATAAGAGTCTAGACTTGGCCTCTGCAGAAGTGGCTCTGAAATTTGGATTTTATAAATAACAGTTTCAACTTCCAGCAAAGCAGCGGCAAAGACGCTTCTGGCTGATGCTGCCGTGAGACTTATCGATGCAACCCTGAATCCTGCGTTTGGAACAAAAACTTCTCCTCTCTTGCCGCAAAAATGACACTTTTTTTTTTATTCTGTAAAATCTTAGCAACCTCAACTGTAAAAACCCTGAACTGACACAATTCTATAAAGCAATTCAGGGTGGCTTTGAACGTGCCTGTTGCTGGCCTGTGGACCTTTGATAAAAACAAACTCCATTTATTTGGAATAAAAACAAATTTCATTAGTTGGAGCTCTGTTGGTTCAATCCGGCACAATGAAAAATGTGCAGAGGTAAAGCCGCTTAATGTGAGAAGCACCCCAGGAACCGCATGTCACCCAGAGAAAAAGAGTTGGGAGGCCACTTGACAAAAGGAGTCGTTTGTTGGTGGTGTGACAGACTTTCAGGGTCTCTCAGGCTTCCAGATACTCGGGCTGAACTCGGGCCACTTTACGAAACTCCTTGGCGTTGGTCTGCGGGCACTGCATCTCACGCCAGCTGATGGGAATCATCTGGGCACCTGGCATGCAGAAAAATGTTTTTAAAATGACGGGCTCAACAAACGAGAACAGAGTCTGACGGCAACTGCAGACAGAAAACATCAGGATTCGTACAAATTCAAAACTGTACTTATTTTCACAAGAAACAACTACGTAAACATCTCGCCTTGTGATTATAATCAAAACCACTGTCGACCTGAAGAGCTGCAGCTGAGCGGAGAGATTTACCTGCTTCGCTGTGGGCCACCACCACGCCCAGTTCGTTCTCAGCTGTTGTCAACAGGTATGTAGACTGAACGTCCCCGAGCGAAATCTGACATCGCTGGTGAAGGATTCAACTCTTCACAGGTTTATCTGTGTAGCACTATTTATACGTAAAGTCAAAGTGTTTCACAAGAAAATAAGGGAACAGAGAACACAAAAGCAGAATAATTGTAAAAACGTAAAATTCACTAAAGAAAAGAAACATCGAGATGAAAATGTAAAACGAGTAGTTAATAAATGATAACGAACTGAGAAAGCAAGATGGAGTTCATGGATAACAATGATAGTCATGACAATGATAGATTGTCATAGCTTCACCTCTGAAAGGCATAGAGAACAACTTTTTCCTTCCACAAAACTTTCCATAAATGCTTGAATTCAGCGTTCTGGACAGCCGGGTTCTTTAGCAATGACTTTTTGTTGATGTTGTTATTTACAGTTTTCTGGACAGCAGTTTTCCTCAAGACTGTAGGATCATGTGAGAAACTAGATTAACATTTGTGTGAAATGAGTCTAATGTTCTAGCTTATTTGCTACAATTACCTTTTTAAATCTGTTCAGGTTTATTGAGATGCATTAATGCACGGACTGTGAGACTCATCACCTGTTTTAGCTGCGGCTTTTAATTTGTGGGAAGCAGTCGCATGCAGTCCAGGAATGTCAGTCAGTAACAAAGGAAGAATCTGAGTTATGAGCTGCATAGTTCCTGCATTCACAAAGCAATTTACCTGTCATATAACCATGCCAGTCATTTGCTTAAAAAAAAATAAAGGATACAACTTTTGCCAGCACAATGTCACCAGGTCTGAAGCTTTTGTAAATGTCCACCTACACAAAGAAGAGCGGAAAGTTTTCACTCGGTACACATTCACACATGAGGAGAAGAGGAAGTGTGGAGGGACGAGGGAGACTGTCTGAGTGAAAGCTTCGATCGTCACGCACCTTGTCTTTCTCCGACTCTCTCACGTCTTCCTTTCTGGTGGCGCAGAGAGAGAGAGAAAGAGAGAGAGAGAATGAGATAGAGCCTCAGAAAAGGCAATAAATCAACCAGGAGACACTTCCGGTTTTACCTGATGGTCCCTCTGAAGCGGTCTTTCAGCGGCGTGGACCCCACGTAGAGGATATGGACCTTCGCAAACCTGGAGTTGATGCCGGTCACCTTTTAAGTTGAAGCGCGAAATAGATGTAAGATTACACAACTCTTGTAAAATACTTTTGTTTTTGTGTGTGGACAAAGAAAGATAACGTTCTCCTACATATCAAATGTAAACAGGTTTACTGTTCTCTACATTATCCATCACTGTTGATTGATCTATTTCTGTAAATCAATTGAAAGTCAATCTCATCTTCCAGATGTATCACTAATATGTGATTCATTTTGATTATCATAAGTTAAAGGAAATTTAGTTCCTCTAAAAAAATTAAAAGATCACATAAAACCAATAAAAAGTGGTTTTAAAAGAGAAATGTTGTTATGATCATGTTATTGCCAAAACAAAATTATGGAAAACAGCGAATGTAACAAGACAGTCACTCCATAACGAGGATAAGGCACCAGGTTCGAAGCACGTTCATGGAAAATTGAGTGAAAGGAAAAAGTGATGCTGAATGCAGTTTGTTTTTTTTTTTTTAAAGATGCACCTGTAAATCAGTGACAGGTGCTTTATTATGTTTCAAATATTCCTAAATGTGCAGTTCTGTTCATAATTCATCTCTTTTATATGAATTTCTTAAATAAACTAGCTTTTCCATAACAGACCTTGCAGGTGACAATGGCGCCAACATCTGGCAGCAGCAGTGCTTCAGTTTCCCTCACCACTGAGATCACCGGTAGCTGGGAGAGAAAAAATACCTCAGTCAAATCTATTACAAAAAATGTGTATTGAAATTTGCTCTCATTTCAATACCGACTCTGAACATACCTGGAATGTACAGTAGAGGTGGGAATATTTCCGTGCAACTTAATGATACGAGACTATACAGAGAACTCCATCAAAAGATGTTCAATATTTAATATTCATCAAATATTAAATACGTGCACACAATGCCTGCTGTGCACAACAAGTAAATACAAACCAAAGTCAAAAATAGTGAATTTGAACTAATTAAAAATTGTTTCAACTGAGGCTACAGGTGTTTCTATGGAAACAGACTGAAGCAGACAAAGACACTTTATTAATTATGATGTTCTTGTAATATTTCATAATTAGTAATTGACAACTGGATGGAAATGATTGTTTTCGGACTGCTGCATGTTCCAAAATCCTCTTCGAACTTCAGACATGGAGAATTCATTTCCTCTACAGATTAAGCCGCATCCCAACCAGATATACAGGTTGTTCTTCTGTTGCTGATTTGGAGCTCAGATATTTTTTTTTTTTTTACAAAATGAGACAAATTATTCCACTGGAAAAAGCTCTGAGGCACAGTGGAATACATGAAGGTGACACGTTTCTTTATGACAGTTTACAGGAAATGTGGGAGTAGCACAATGTGAACAATAAGTTTCTCTAGCATCGTTATTAAATCCTTGGCTGAACTTCAAAGAGATTTTAAATCCGCTGTTGAAACGGGCCAGATGACGATAAAACAGAAACTGCAGCAACTGTTTAGCGCTGCACGCCTCTCTTAGTGTGCACTAAAACTCTTTGAAACCCAACTAAAGAGCAGGAATGTACCAGCAGTTTGTGTTTGTGGAAAAGGGATTCAGTCATAATACAGTTCATTACAATACAAAGGATTTAGAGGGTAAAAGTTCAATCAAAGTGGAAGATTGTTTTGTCTGAAACCGTCCCAAGAGCAGTGGGAATCCTGGAGAAGCACACTACACTGAACAAGGAGTGAGAATGTAATGGTATGCCTCTATAGGAGCTGAAAACATGTTGCAGCAAAGGCACTCACTGGATGACATCAACACTTCTGGCTTTTAAAGAAATAGAAAACAAATGTTCCAGGACAATTGAAAAGTTCTAAGAAGAATTACTAAAAATGTTTTATGAAAGACTAACCAAACAAGTCCAAATTAAAAAAAAATACATTTCCTTACTTGTCGGTATTTAATTAAAAAAAAACACACACTTGTACATATTTTCTTCTTCTAGGATGCAAGAATATGTTTCTAATGTTACAATATTCACACTGCAAGAAATTAACAGTTGTGCTTTTAAAATAATTTGTTGCCATCGTGCAACAGACTGACTGTAAGCAAACGCTTTGTTGCGGAAATCCATCCGTCCAAAACAAAAAACGTGACCGTTTTCAATCAGCTCAAAATAAAGTGACACTGCACACTGAGCTGCTCACTTTCATTACTTTGTCTGAGCCACGGCCACAAATTGCACACAATGCTCTCATTCAGGCCTTTGTGCGAACCTTGCTGGCGGCTTTCCAAACGCCTGTCATCCGCACCAGCTAACACAAATAAACTCTGCCTCTGCCCTGTGAACCTCACCTCCTCTCCCTCGTTCTTCCTCATTACGTAACCAGCAAGGGAGGAGTAGATGTAGCCATGTCGCTGATACACTCCGGTGCCTTGATTACAGTCTTCGACACTGCACAGTTTCTCACCTGAACACAAAGAGAAAAGGAGTCAGTAAAGGGAACATTGCATACTGTTGTGTGCGAAATCACTCGTACCTGTGGTAGATTCTAGGCTTAAAGCGATCTTTTCAACCGAGCACAATGTTTCCTTTGGCTGGTAGTAATATCTACAAATCAAAGTGATGCAAAGGAGAACTTCCAACCTCCAAGACTTGGTGCTCATCACCAGAGATAAATCATCAAGCGCAAACATGAAGAGTTATGATGCTTAGAAATCAACTGCCTGTTAATTATTAAGAAAGGCTACAAATCGCATTCGACATTTAGTAAAACGTCATCATAAAACACTGCAGTCGATGTCGATACTACTATAACATCGTGTTATTATCATTGAAATCTCCCTGTATCATTTAATAGTCACATGAAATAAAATAACTTCATATGTAAGAATCTGGCAGGGAGCTGACTCAATTTAAACCCGTTATAAATAAATAAATAAATAACGTTAATCCTCATAATGGAACTGAATGGGGGAAAGCTGCGGGTGGAGTCGGTGTGTCAAAACAAGAGCGCAGAGGAATGTGCGGGAATGCCTGGGGCGACGGGCAGGGCAGGTGAGACCAAACCAGCGAAACGAAGTCGATTTAAAAACACAAAATAGTAAGTCTAACTACATATCGCTCCCATCTTGTCTGGAGGCCATAGATTACATTTTGACGCACTGTAAGGCTACAAGAAGAGGCAAGTCTCTGTTCACGTGCGGCTAACTTATAGCTGTTTCCACATGTCTGTCTGCTGCTCCGTTTCACTTTTCAGCTCCACAAAAGCCTCTCCGTCACCCGAAACACCAGCAGCGCGACAAACAAGGTCCAAATTCCGAGCGGAACTCGTTTGAAACGCTTTAAACGGAGGACTCACCTGGGACACACAATCTCAGGGGCGACATGTTTTCGGAGAGAGCAGAGAGCCGCCTCATTGGCTATGAAGAAGGCTGGTCTAGATTCTGATTGGACGGTTTTCTTTCTTCTTCATTTGTGCCCTCTTTTGGCGATTGGTCAATCAACGGTAGGGCCACCTGGTGGAAAGGAGTTGGAACTGACGAGATCTGTCTTTCCGGCCTTCCCTTGTCATCCCTTGCACATCCCTTGTCGAGACCATGGATGTGCAAAGTACTTTATCGTGAAGTGTAAGGAAAATATCAGTTTTTTTAAATCAATTAACAAATAAAAGTCTTAACAGTGCGGAAGCAGAGCCCCTGAGTCAATACCTTTCACTGCAGCTGGACTTCTTCCAGGGCGTCTCCATCAGTTTTGCACATCATGAGACTGCTTTTCTTGTACATAATTTGCGAAGCATTTCACCATCTTTTATATAGGTAGCAAACATGAGTGAATAATTTTTCCAAGTCTTGCCACAAATTCTGAATAAAATCTTGGTTTGACGTTTGAGTCTTTTGAGCAAATGACCTTCGATCAAAGTCCTTCCAACACAGCTTCATGTTTAGTGTGCGATAGATGTTCAGTGAACTTCCATTCCAATCTAACGCTCTCGCATGGTGTCTCATACTTAGCTCTGTTCATCTTGACTAAACTGTTTTATAACCAACCTGTTTTTATCTTCTCAACAACTTTTGCACCACTTATCCTGGTTTATCAGCACTTAATACATAAAACATGTGTCCAAAAAGTGAAGTTTGAAGGGTGTGCATACTTTTTTAACAAGATTTTATACATTTCCTTATTGATTGCCTTAAATAGTTAATACATAATATTTCTGATAACTTCTTGTAAAAAAACAAATATATATATAAGAAAGTTGTGCTGGTGGAAGAAAAAAAAAAGAACAAAAACTTGTAAAAGAAAATGTAATCATCAAATTAGGTTTCAACATTTATTCATTTTTGCCACAGCAAACAAAGTTCACCATTGTACAACAAAACAGAACAATCCACTCATCCTTTTAACAACAACAACAACCAGTGGGGATCGGGTTCCCGTTGAGTTTCATCTACAGCCACTGGTCAGATCTGAATCCCATTTCCCTTCTGCTCTCTGGTCCCTAATTTCCAATTTGGTCAGTGCTTTAACTATTCTCGATAGTCTAATGATGAAATGCATGTTTCAGTGTATAACAGAACAAGGACCAATAAACACAAGCAGAGTATTATTTCTAAAGTGCACGTTTCGGGTCTAATTGTGTTCAATTTGTGATGACAGACATTAAATAACCGTTTTTTGTTTTTTTTAATTCAACTCAATGTGGGTAAAACACGATTGGTCTTCATTCTGGGCTTTGCCGGGTAGGACGAGTCTATTTCTTGGCTTTGCCCTGAGCAGCCACCGCTTCCATGGCCTTCCTGACGGTCTCCTCGTCTCCCAGGAACTGCATGGGTCCCGTGGGCTTCAGGTTCTTGTCCAGCTCGTACACAATGGGAATGCCTGTGGGCAGGTTCAGCTCCATGATGGCTTCCTCTGACATCCCTGGAAAACAGCAACGCACGCAAAGCAGGAAATACGTTTCATTCACTCAACCTTAAGCAAGGCAAATCTCGTTAAGAAATCAAAGTTCATGTTAAGGCTTCAGTGCTTCATCAACTGTTTTTTTTTTGTCTTAAACTCAATTTTATCATTTTCATTCAGAAGAATTCCACAAAAACCTCAACACAACATATTTAACGAAAGAGCAAAACTTAAGCAGGGGATAAACATTTACAACATCTGGGTTTTGTCTCTATGATTAGTTTTCTCTCTCTTACCCTCGAGATGCTTGACGATGCCCCGCAGGCTGTTGCCGTGGGCGGCGATAAGCACCCGTTTTCCCTTCTTGATCTGGGGAACAATTTCCTCGTTCCAGAAAGGAAGTGCCCTGGCAATGGTGTCCTTGAGGCTTTCACAGCTGGGAAGCTGATCCCCTGTCAGGTCACCGTAACGCCGGTCCTGCCACGAAAAGACAAAGCTCCAGCCGTTAGAGTTTAGCCGGCCGGGTAAGCCAATAGACTGCACACGTTTATGTTTTATAGGAGGAAAAAAGGCTTCATTAGATGCGTTTCCACTGACCATATAATGACTACAAACTGGAATAACAAAAATACATTTGATAAATGGAAACAACTTTGGGAAAAAAGAACAAAAATATTTTGCCCTGGGATGAGTGGATTTATTGAAATGAATTCACTTGGCAAAACTGCAATGGAAAAACTTTTTTCACCTCCCAAAAGTCACGTCAACGATAACCAGATGTTACCACCGGTGGAAAAGACAAAAACAGTGACAGGGAGTGTTAAAAGGATGACATCTTTAAATGTCTTATCACGTGAGCAAACTTACTTATATTTTAATTACACATTTGTAATAGAAACTCAGGTGATGTGTCAGTTTTCCTTGTTCACCTTGCTGATATTCTGGTAGTAGTCGTGTCCTTCGTCCATGGGTGGGGGAGGAACGTCGAAGGAACGCCTCCAGACCTTCACCTGAGCCTCCCCGTGTTTGGCAGCAGTTTCTGCCTTATTCAGCCCCGTCAGGCCACCGTAGTGGCGCTCGTTGAGCCGCCAGGTCCGGTGGACGGGCAGCCACATTTGATCGATGCTGTCCAGGACAAACCAGAGGGTCCGGATGGCCCTCTTAAGGACAGAGGTGTAGCAGATATCAAACTCATAGCCAGCATCTGAGGGTAATGAGAAAGATGAGACGAGAAACATTTTAATGAGCATTTGACAGTGGGAGAATAAGATTATTCACCTTTTCTCATCTTGTCAGATTCATATGGGTTTTATGAGGACCATGTGTGACAACTGGTGCGCAATTGCAAAGCAGAAAAGTGATAAATGGCATTCATGTCTCTCTATAAATAAGAATCTGAAAAGTGTGGCATCCCTTTCACTACTACACCACCAGAATCAGGTGCAGTCCACTCCAACCTTCAGAAGTCACCTAAACACGGATGCTATGTAAGCACCTCAGCTGCTTGTTAGAAAGTATGAGTGAACAAACAGCATCACAAAGGCTAAAGAGCAAAGCTGAAAGGTCAGGGATAAAGTTGTAGAGAAGCTCAAGGCAGGGTTAGGTCAGAAGTGGTAGGCAAGTAGTCAAACTGTCATTCAACGAAGATGAACTAACTATACGGCTGTCTTGGAGGAAAAACCTGTTGTTCACTTTTAAGCATTACATCCATTACCAAACAGCTAGGCTACAGATCAATATTAATCAAATATTCATCCACTGGAATGGTCCAGTCAAAGCCCAAACTTAAATCCAATTCCGAGTCTTGGCCAGGACTTAAAAATATATGTGTTAAGAAATTTAAAAAAAGACTCACAGTTGTGACTGTGGAAAAACACACATCCACAAAGTATCGACTCTGGTCAGCATGTGCACACCGCACTTTTCAGATTGTAATTAAAATTAAAACACCATTTAATATCGTCCTGTTTCACAATTAAGCATCTGGTTTGTATTGGAAGGTAGGGACCCCTTTAAATGGTGCTGTTGCACAAATTTTTAAACCATTTAAGAGACTAAGAGAAATATCATCCTGAAGGGGAACATTTCTCACAAGATCCAAAGATTATCTCCATGTCACATTTCACTTTCCAGAGAAACGAAGCATTTTCTCCTTTAAAGTCATCGGCCACTTGGTGCTGCCTGACTGAGAGCTCTGGGTGATGTGTTTGCAGGGGAATGTGAGGTCAAATTAACATGGGATACACGCATGAACACGTGTCCAAAATTCAGTGACTCATGGGAAATTTCCACTTATGCTGAAAATTGAGAAACTGTCTCTTTGTGAGGCACAGAAAGCTCCTTCACTTCTGCACACGTTTTGTTTTAAATACGCATGTTTATATTTGAATCAATCTAAGTGAAGCGACTGGTTTCATTTGTCTGACAAGGTTTCACTAAAATCTAATCAGAAAATGATCCTTTTTGGTTTAAACAAAATGCCAAAATAAAAGGGGGAAAAGGCCATCTGTGAGGAAGAAATACGTCCTCTGTGTTTGCAGTTGAATGGTTTAATGGAGTTCCTGGCCTGCCCGTTTCTTCATCCCCCTGTTACATAAGCACCATCTTTTCAGGGGCTTAACCCCGCGACCGACTTACAGAGAGAGAGAGAGTCCGACCTGCTGACCCTACCTTTCAGGGCCTGTCCTCCCCTTTTCGCCTCCTTCTCTCCGGCCTCGCTCAGGTCGGCGTCGAACCAGCCGCAGAAGCGGTTCTCCTGGTTCCAGGCGCTCTCTCCGTGGCGGATCAGAACCAGCTTGTAGGCAGCCATCCTCACTCCAATGCCCTTTGCGCGGTACTTCCGGTAACTTTGGTTCTTCCTGAAGAGCTGCAGCGACGCCGGCGGGTTAGTCCTGACTCCGCAGCAGCGTCTAAAGAGTTTGTTAAAGAGAGGAGTCGGTATTTTTGGACAACCCGAAGGGGAACAGCGTGTTAGTGAAGAGGGGGTTGAAAGTAGTAGCGTGAGTGACGAGAGGGCTTCCCTACGTCTCTTCCGGGTGGTTTCCACCAATCAGAAGGCGAGCTGAACGAGGCGGAGGAGGACGGAGTCAAGAGGATGCGCTCTGCGGCACGTCCACAGACCCATCTCTGTGACCGCCAGGCTGACACTAAACAGCTGTAATTTTCATCCAAACATAAAGAAAAAAAAACGGTTTATTAATTTATTAACATAATTATCTGCCCATAAACTGTAGAATACTGTGGTACTCTAAAGGAACCCGCACACTAAAAGTCTAATTAATAAATGTAGCCTATTTCTTCTTCCAATATAAAGGGATCACACTAAATTTTAAAATAATACAATCTTTAATTTTAGAGAATGGAGAAGAATTTAAACAAAAGTATAAATGATATGAAGCAGTATAAAAATAAATGTTTCTGTACAATGTGAAGCAAAATCAC